GTAAGCTGTTCAAGATTGCGTTCCAAGAACGCCATCTTCTTCTGCTGCTGTCGGTTGTTACTCGATCGGAGGACGTTGTTGTACTGTTCTCGTGTTTCGTCCAGCGAAATCTCGAGCTCAACCACTCGCTCGCATCGGTTCTGCAAGTCGCGCATGAGGTTCTTCTTCATCGACTCAAAGTCGCTGATCTGTTGTTGGAGGGTCTTGCCCGAAATGCCGTTTGCCACTGCTCCGTTGGATCCTAATCGAGATTGCAGGTCTGTGATGGTCTTCTGAAGCTTTTCAATCTCCTGAGACTTGTGCGTCAGTTGGTCTCGGAGATCATGGACGAGTTCGTTCTGAGTGTCCCTGCGATCAGAGTACAGCTGCTCCAGTCGTCCCTTGACGCTCTCCACGTCATCGGCACCTAGCTTCCCAGAGAGCAGATCTTCATAGTCTTGTTGCACGGCTGCCAATTTCTCCTCAAGTGCTATCGTTCGATCCTCACGGTCGTCCTCCGCTCGTTCAGACAGTGACTTCTCGGCTTGTCGGACCAGAGTCTGGGAGTCGAGCAATTTGGCTCTCAGATCTTCCAAGACGTGGCTAGGTACGCTTTCCCCATTGAGGCTGGCGGCATGGAGCGCATCCACTTGGTCAAGCATCTCCCGCATGCGATTTTCGTTCTCGGAGAAGGCGTTGTCACCTAGGTCAAAGCCTGCCATCATTTTGGCCATCTTTTCCTTCTTCTTGCGATCCTTCTCGTCCAAAACGGCCGTTGTTTCCCTCGCACTCATCTTGAGCTCGAGGAGTTGTTGCTTGACGGAGATCAACTCTGTCTCGAGCTCTGAGTTCGCATCTTTGAGGCCTTCCATGGTGATGGCATCTTCCTTGCCCTGGTAGGATAGTTTCTGCAGTTCAAGTTGTGTCTTGTTGAGCTTGTCAGCCATGATCTCATTCTCCTTCGCCGTTCGCATGGCGCCTTCCTTGTATGACTTGAGCTCTTCTCTCGCTTCTTGAAGACTTCGCTCTGCATTGGCTGCCTGTGTTTCCTTCTCCGTAAGTTGATCTTGGAGTTCATTTTCTCGCCGCAGAAATTCTTCGCGCTCGTCCTTCTCGAGTATGATGCTAGGCGTACTCGATCTCTCTCCTGCCCGAGAGTCAGGCCTGCTGGGAGTGTCCGATCGGAGAAGGTCTGATGGTGCTCTTGAAGGGGTATCTGGCCTTGCCCTGGCTTCTGTTTTCTGGCCTGCACCACTCAAGGGCGGTACCCATTTCTCTTTCGGCACGGTCTCGCCCTTTCTCCACATCTGCACTTCCGCATCAAGCGATGCAATGTACTTCTCAAAGGTCATTGCCTGGTTCTGAGCAATCTTGAGGTGACGCTTCAGCTCGGCGGGGCTCAACTCGGCATTAATCTTGGCCTTGTTCTTGATGGTCTTTGCACGCATACCAAATCGCAAGGTACTGACTGTTTCCGCATCGTTGTAGCTGCTGGGCGAACAATTTATGATGAGTGTCGTTCTCGAGTTACCACCCAGACTTTCTTGCAGAATCCTCGTCAATTTCGAGTCTCGGTAGGGCACGTGAGTCGATTTGCCGTCGGTGAGAGCGTTGATGACCATGCCGAGTGCGCTCAAACTTTTATTGATCTTCTTTGCCTCTTCCAGCGTCTGGCCGCTTGCGCCGGTTTTGCCAACCTTTTCTGAACCTGCCAAGTCGACCAGGTACAGCATTCCGCTCTTCTGCGAACCGGTGTTAACATCTTTCTGGTTGATTGTGACCAGGAATATTGAGTGTGATCGTGAAGATTCCAAGTTCATATTTGTGGACGCTGTAACTCTTGATCGCTGGCCCAAGTGCATAGCCGTGTAGACCTCTTCGACGGTATTGACGTAGATTTCCCGCAACCCTTTCACGTATGGCCCCTTGGGTCCCTCGTTGATAGGCAAATTGTCAAAGGCGGGGTTGAGGAGATCGCGTATTCGCTCCATGTAAATTTCGAGGTACGAGATTCCGACCGTGTACTCGATCTGGGCGGAGCCATGGACGAGGATGGCGTCGAAGATCTGTTCCGTTATGCGAGGAATGATGCCTTTCTTGTCCGGATCATCCATGTCTCCCATCATGGTATATGACTTTCCCGCCCCGGTCTGCCCGTAGGCGAAGACGGTGCCATTATAGCCGTTCATAACATCCTCCACGGTCGATCGTATGGAGAAATCGAATATATCGGCTTGCTGGGAGGACATGTCAAAGACTCGATCAAAGGTAAAGGGCGCATTTGTCTCGGACGACTGCAGCTGGACCGTGTCGTCGCCGGTGAACTGGACGATGGGTTGGCCGCCATTCGCATTCTCGACTTTGTTCTGAGGTCGGAAACGGGCAACAACTAAGAGACCGGCTCAGCAACAGGCCAAAGACGAAATACGCATGATCATGATCGCGAACCTTTGATGTTGTTGCCCCCTCCCTCTCTCGTTGAAGATGTGCTGGATTCCCGTTATCAGCGCGCCTCTCAGCGACAGTGGAGCAAGAAAACCTACGCCATGTTCAAAGCACACTTGACGTTGTCAATCGGGCCAACGTGACAGCATCAAGTCTTGTGCGTGGTAACCCGACTGCGCGGGTTTGTCGAAAGGACAATCGCGGTCACGGATGAATGGCGACAGGGCGACGAAAGGATGTTGAGGACACCTAATGCTTGCGGCACTCTTGCAAAAGTGTCACGGTGATGGTGCAAGTCCTTTTGCTGGCACCACGACATGAATCGGATGGTTCGTGATGCACGCGTGGTGAGGTGCAGGTGATGTGGCTGCAGTGATACTGTTTCGCTCGCTTCGCTTGGTTCCCCCCTGGCCCGACGCGCCAGCCTCGCCCGCGCCCTGAAACTGGCGCCCATAACTCACTGCCCAGTACGGAGTACTGTTGCCGCAGTTTCAGCCCCCACACAGTCTTCAGATCCGTAAACACGGTCCCCTTTCCGTCCCTCCCGCTGGGAGCCGTCTGACGAATCCGTGGCGGTTGGTTCTGACCTCGAACTGACCTTAACTTGTCCCGCACAGTTACCGAGGATCGATTGATTCGCTCATTGCGCAGGGTAAAGCTCGCAAATGGATGTAGTTTAGTAATTGCGACGATTACGCCCTTCTCATGCTATGACCTTTCTATCATCTGGGTGGCAAGGTAAGAAAGAATCTAGATATCGCCTACACCGACGCATTGGACCTGGTGCTGTCCTTTATCAATAACAGACCAGCTCAAAACACATAGCAGACATAGGGTAGACGGCATCCATGGCGGCAGCAAAGACTCAATCCCTTTTCTCTTCACTCAATCTACAGCACAAAGTCACAAAGACATCATCTGGCTCAGAGGTCCACAGCTACATATCCGACCTGGGGCCCGACAAGCCCATCTTGACCTTGATCCATGGGTACCCCCAGTCTGCTTATGAGTGGCGATATGTCGTCCCTCTATTACACGGCAAAGCCTCCCTCTTCGTTCCTGAACTGCCGGGTTACGGCATCTCCTCGCCCATTGTCGGCGACGCGACGGTCAATACCAAACGCTCGGTTGGCACAGCGCTGCTCGAATCTCTTGCCTCCGTCTTCAACACGAAATCGTCCTCAACACCACGCAAAGTAATCCTAGGAGGCCACGACCGCGGCGCGAGGATTTCCCATCGTCTCTCTGTCGATTTCTCTCACTCACCTCGGCAGTCCCCAAGCCTATACAAGGACTTGAACCTCACTGTCATCGGCACACTTATGCTCGACATCATCCCCACAAAGGAACAATGGACCGCCTTCTCCGACCCGGCAATCGCCCAAGGATATTTCCACTGGCCCCTGCTCGCCAACGCTCAGCTCGCCACTGACATGATCTCTGCATATGGTGGCGCCAATTGGGCGAGGAGTGCGCATACACGGATTGCAGGTCCGAATCCGAAGTCGCTGGAACGGATCTGCCAGGACGGTGCGGTGGATATCTATGCCGAGCTGTTCGATAGTAAGGAGACGCTGTATTATACAGCGCTCGACTACGCTGCCGGGGCGGCGCCCGAGGCGAGCGAGCAGGAAGAGGACCAGAAGGCGGGACGGAAAATCGGCGTGCCGCTGCTGGTCTTCTTCAGCAAAGCCAAGCTCGGCGCGAGAATTGATGTGGCGGGAACCTGGAAAGCGTGGGTCAGCGAAGGGTCTCAGTACGAAGGGGTTGGAGTGGGAGAGGGTTATGGACACTATCTGCCTGAAGAGGCGTATGATATCGTGGTGCCAAAAATCGAGGAGTTTATAAAGAAAGTCACCTAGATGCGCACGCTGATTGAAGCAGGGTGGCCACTCTATAGATGGAGGTCGCCCCGTGCGGCACTTGCTCGCCGCCTCCCGATGGCTGTTGATTCTGCTAATGAATCTACTCCAGTGGTCAAGGCAGAGGTCTGAATTCTAACAGTGCTTCATGAACATGGGAGTGTCCCTATGCACGTTTCGTCTCTTGCTGAGACTCGTATTCAGCTGTATGTTTTAGGTCATTGTCGCCTCGCAGTTATGTCACAACACGCCGCGGAATGTGCTCCCAACTGAGTTCTGTGTCTCCTGCACCGCCCAGCTTCGAGCTGCAACCCCGTGGTCAGCTCTCGATGTTTAGCTCACTTCTTTCTTACATGCTTGACAACTTGCCCTGCATCAGACGCCAATCGATCCTTACCATAGTCTTGCACACCCTCGACCTGATGTTGATCTCTTCCAATCGTGGTTTGCCAACAGCCTTTAAGCTCATATTCAAGTCAGGATGTTCCAATCAAGCTCCTAGTGCTGACAGCTCTCTTTCAATCCAATCTCCACGCATGCTACAGCTTTTGCCGGTACTAGTAACTGCTTCAATCTTCATATACCAGCATTCTCATGTGTGCAATCCTCTGTGATGATCAGGTTCGGCGTCTGTGGCGGTGGCGATCGTGACGAAGTCGCAATGAAATTCGTCTCGTCGGGGACGATCCCATTTCTCCTCCCATCGATTCATCCTCACTGGCAGGCGACCCTGGTCGGTGCAAGAGGTGTTTGAAACGATCGAGGATCTTCGCTCGGGCTAGCCAATATTAGTGAGTGTATGCTTCCAGTGATCAGTAGGGACTTGCCCAAGACTTTTCCACTTGAAAATTCCACCGGCAGAACATCGTTTGCGCGAGCTTCAGCTTGAAGGGCTGGGAGATCCAGGAATAGAGTGGACTCGAAATCTGGAATTTTCGAAGGATGGATGACTTTGAGGGCATCGATGTGTGTAGTCTCCAGCGTTGCAAATTCAACAGCCATTCCCATTGCTATCTTCTGGTGCACTGTGAATAGCTCGACCCAAGCGTCCTTGTCTTCCGATTTCGAAATCCAGAAGACAATGTGCTTGACCAGGTAGGATTGCATGAATTTCTGTTGATCATCTTCAAACACGCCATAAATAAACTCACGGCTGGGGATCGTGGGTTCGAAGGAAGAGAATGTGTCTTTGAGTTGCTCGATAGCCAGGAGTTGGAGGCCGGGCACAACAAGGTAACCTGCAAGGCGGTAGATATGGAGAAGTAGTTCATCGGGTTGGAGTTGAGCGTCTTGTGCTCGCTGGTAGGTTACCTCGCCCACTCTCCGCACAGGGGAGTACAGCCATCGATAGAAAAAGCCGAAGAGCTTTGCATCCAACCCGCGAAGTTGGATTTCTCCCGAAGTGGTCTCTTGGTAACCTCCGTTGAAGGCACTGTTGAAGAACTTCGATGACGCGCAGATAAGGTCTTTATGGACGCCGAACTTCTGTTGTTCTGGTCCCACGAAAACCGTGACGACTTCCGTCCCAAGTGGCACAACTGGCGGCGACCAAGGAGCGATGCTTGTTGAACCCGCCATTTAGGCCGAGATGGGCTTGGCCGATGTGGCCGTGGTCATTCGTGACAGTGACTAGAATGCATTGGACAACAAGCGGACCTGGTGTATTGTGAAATGATGAAAAGCAAGATGAGAGTGGGAAGGTCTGAGAAGAGGTGGGAACTTAGTGGTGGGAGTACAGTGACGGAAAAGTGAGAGAAAGAAGTGATGGAGTAGTGGTGGAAAACCAGAAGTGAAGTGAGCAACAGATGCATCGTGATTACCCTCGTCGGGCATCATGAAATGTTCACTCTCACCTTGTCGAGCTGCAACGTGGCCCAACGCTCCGAAAGGTCTTCAAGGAGACCGGTCAATAGCAGTCCAACGGCGCTTCCCAGGACTCCTGTCCCTTCTGATAGACGACTCACCGCCCCAAAGACCCCTTTGACTCGCACTACGAACGGGTAGTAGGTGGGAGTCTGATCTTCGCTCACTGCCCATGGTATCAGAATGGACTTCTGCCCCGTTCACCTCTACTGACGGAAACTCCTCCTGGATACTGTCCGACCTCGTTCCACTCCAGGTACTAGGTGTCGCCCCTGCGTCGCTCGAGTCTGCCGTCTCGTCTCTCGAATAACGACTACCTCTTCGCCATAGACCAGTTGGGGGTGTAGACGGGTCCATGGCGTCTGCGGCATACGATGTCTGACTCGAGCTTCGGGCTGGCATCATAGACCCTGACCCACGAGGCGCCATGGGTTCGCCGAGACTGAAGCCATCCGGTGAGTCAGCCCCCACAGCTCGACGACTGGCGAAAGCAGGTGACTTTCCAAGTCTAGGCGAGTTGAGACCCAAAGGGTTTGATCCAGCCCGGAGATGTTCTGTGGAGGCTATGATCCTCATGTCATAGTCCTCGGAGATGCTCGTGTCAATTGAGCCTCTTCGACGAGTCGGGGAAGGCGGCTCTAGATCTGGGCGTTCATTTCCCTTTCTAACAGCCATGGATAATGAGGACAGGCCAACGTCAATTAGAGCAGGTGCTCCAGTCAGGAGTCTGATGAGAGCATTGCAACCAGCTTGGTGAGAAACCAAGATGATAACCAAATCCTCGTCATCTCCATTCGATGAATCCGCTTGATTCTCGTAGTATGCGATCAATTTCTGCAATCCATTGCGAAATCTTCGATGCATTTTGCCCCATTCCTCGTCGTTCGGACCCCCGTCGCCCCAATCGAGAGGCTCACCCTGACTATCCCAGCAGGCATCAAACTCGATGCACGCATCCCGGGCGTGTGCGACAAAGCCTGGCGGGATGTTGTCCGAAGATCCGATCGCATAATTTGGTACCGGCGGACTGTAGCCCAACGGCCGCTGCAAAGCCTTGTTCAGAATCCTGGCACCGTTCGCCAGCTCGGTTCCAAACGAGATGTTCCTTGGTCGCTTGGGGAAAGAATGACCGGCGGCCGCCATCGCTCGCAAACCCGTCTTTTCATGTGCTGGCATTGCCGTTGCCTCGTTCTCTTTCTCTTCCATGACATCAATGTCTGGCAGGTTGAAACTGAAAGAGGTCGACAGATCGGCACCTTTAATTTCTTCTTGCGGTATCTTGAGTGCCATCTTTGCCTGGGAGACCAGAATGGCAGAGGGCGGCGGATATGAAGCCTCGTGAAAATAGTTGGCAGATTGCCACTCGCCGAGAAAAGCATCAAGCCGCAGGATGCAAGTATTGTAACCGATGCGATTCGTGTGTTCCTTCTCTTTGCTCGCAAAACGCTCTAGAGAGAATCGACTGACATCTTTGGCATCCGAGGCATTCTCCGACTTCTCGTCTGTCGGGGAGAGGCTAGAAAGTTGACGGGATCGCAGGCGCTGTGGCTGTGGTCTGTTATGGTTCTGAGGGTGTTGGATGCCGGCTGCGATCGCTATCGAGGTTTGGACGCATCGCAGATACGGAGAGCTGTGGATGATAATCTTTCGCTTCTTCCGGGGATGCTCTTGACCAGCATCTTCTTTATTCTCACTCGAAGCCTTGGCCTGTTTGTCGAGATTGTGCAGCTCGTTATTGATCCTCACGCCTAGAGATTGACACTGTACCCAACCACCGTACGATAAGGGAGGATCATAAGGTGCTTCGGCGGTGGCAGTCCATTTCCTGTCTGCTTGATCAAGACGTGCACCATGCCTGCGGAGACAGGGTTAGCAGAGGACCGATCTGAGGACGGATGGAATCTGATACCTGGCAATGAATATCACAGCTGGTTGTTTACCCATCTCGTGGAGCTTGTCGGCACAACACTTGGGTCGATTCTCAACAGTGCGATATACCTGCGATACTGACGTAGATCCTACTGCGGGGAGGCCAGGACAAGGATTCGGTTCCCGAGTCTCGAAACGACCAAAAACTAAACACAAACGTATAGGTGGTATCACCGTGGGCGGAGCATTTTGCAAATGTCCGATGTACCAGATGACAGGTACTCAGGTCGAACTTGCGATGGAGGCATCATGATCACCTGGAATCTTCATTTTTACAGCGGGCAATTGAAGGATCGGTGAAGGCCCAAAGTGCGTCTTTTGGCGCGGTAGCTGTTCCGCCAAATACTCCGTAGCAAACCCCCATCCAACGGTCGGTCCGCCTGCTGCTTTGGCTCATCCGAGGCTCTCAAGGCTGGCCTCCACAATTGAGAAGGCTTTCTACTCAGTAATTGCCGTGCCGACACGAGTGTCACGCTCCAATGGCACGTGCCCAGGTGCTCGAAGAAGGAAGTAGTTCAGATTCAAGCTTGTCACCTGGCTTCTGATCGACGTCCATGGGGAGGGATGATGGAAACCACCGGATGCACAGGGAGCAGAGGCACAATATGGGCTGCTAGGGATTCCCCTCTCGCATGCCTTCAAACTTCCACCTCAAACGAGCCCCAGACCGTGACCCTTGGCATAGCTTGACCGCGTCGGTGAAGGTGCCAGTCTTGCGCCGACATCTTCGTGTCGGTCAGCTTTATCTGTTCGATGACTCTCGTTTCATAAATGATACCCGTCTGCGTCAGTTCCAAGGCAGCAATGTGAACCACGAGCACCGTCAGCTTTTATTCTCCGAGATGAGGTTTTCCGTTACGGTGTAGAAGTTGAGCTATTCTTCGCTAGACCATGGCTAGATCCGCTCATCTCGCTTGCTCGAATTTGAAGTTAGTAATACAGAGTACTCATCTGGTGCATGACTAGCAATATTATGAGATTTACACCGTGCAGTCTGCAAGGGGAAAGAGTTGCAAGTGATTATCAAGTCGACGATTAGAATGTGCCCGAATACAGTAGGATTCGCTGCAAAAGTGAAAGGCCGGTGAGGGTGCTTCGAGGAGCCTTTCTGGATTCGTACTCGTACTCCGTATCCTGTGCGGGATTAGTGCGTCGTCTGGGTCATCAGCTGTGGCTAGTGAGGCCTAGCCACAGACCAGCCCAGCTGGGTGCCGTCCATGTGCTCTGGAGCAGTTTCATGTTGGTGGAGGCCGATCTGCGGCCTGCTTTGCAGCAAGTGAATGGATTAGGCCCTCAAGAGCGCCCGGCAATTCTTAGCGAGGAGGGATCTGCCGAGCCCTTGCTGATGGCCCGACGCCGCAAGCGCATTTGAGCAGAGAGCAGTCAGGCGAGCTGCACAGCAGCCATCGGCCAACGGGCAGCCCAATCACCTTGGAGTCTTGCTCTTCCCCGTTGTCATTGACTGTTACTCGCACCTCCTCGCAGCTCCAAGATCCTTTTCAAAGAGCTAACGCTCTCTCACGTCAAACACGACCGGCTTCCGAGCCCATTCATCGCATCTTGACGAGGGACACTGCCATCCCCCAGTCTCTTCCCCGCGTCCAGCGTTTGACCACCCTGATCCCGGCATTGCTGCTGGACCTTTGGTGCTGCCCATCCCTCTGAGTTGGCGTTTCGAAAGCTGGTGCTTCCCTGGTCGCGATCCACTCGATCTCCGCAGCGGTCCTTCTTTAGTGCGGCCTTGTTCCTGACGATCCAGTGGTGGCGTGGCCAGGTGTTCGTCGCTTCGTCCAATGCAATGGCCTACTTCCTCGTGCCCCTTGCATCGCGCTGCAGTCTGCCTTGTTCCTTGCGCCAGCCGTTCTCTAGTGGCTCCTTCCCCTTGCGTAAAGACGACTCGTCTGCTCTTCATTGTGTTTCAAAGTGCTCAATTCGCTGCACCTTTCACACCATGCACATCCACACCCCGGCCGAAGTGCTTCGTTTGCTCCGGCTATCTGCACCGTCATGCTTTTCATTCTCGCAACGCCGAGTGCCTTCAGCGTACCATGCTCCCGCGATAATCGAGATTCGTGCCGCGTCTCGGTTTGTGTTCCTGGAGCATGTGGCTTACACTTCACAAATTGGCAATTCGCCGTCGACAATGACGCTATGATCCTTTTATTTGCATGAAAACCTGGCCCCATCCATGCTGGCGATTGCAGCCATACCCCCGTAATTACTTCATTCATCCAGCCGTTGCTTCCTCGCACATTTCCCGACCACCACCCATTTCCACAACCCCGTTCGGAGTCGGGAATCTGCCAGCCAGCTGACATGGTGGGATGCCTGGCAGCCAAAAGTAAACTTTGGATCTTTCGGAATCCTCGCCCAACTGCCTTTTGTTTCTCTTGACGGGCTTACAAGAAAAACTCGTTGACCGCGGCCTGGGGCTTATTGGCGGTTCACGTCTTACTCTCGTTCTCGTCCCAGCACCACGCCTTGCTGTTTCGCAACACCGTTCGTGGTGGTCACCGTCTCTTCACTCAAACGTCTCATCTTCAATTACAGCCGAGTCCGCCTCTTTTCTACTCACCACTATTTCTTTCATCCACCACAGATTCAAAGTCGATGTTGACCTTGGCCGCATTTCTATTCCCTTCCACCTTCGCCGATATCGTCTTGTTCCCAAAGACGACAAAAAATTCATCCACCTGAGATCTTTGCCGGCATACTCCCCGTAGAGGTGCAAAGTGTGTCGCAAACCACGGAAGAGCTTGCATGAACCGCTGTCACAACCTGTCAAACGAACTTTCCACCATCCATTCGGACTCGCTTGCCACCAGGGGGCACTGCAACCACTACACTTCATCCTACAGCTGTCGCTGACTGCCCCAGCCGGTTCGTCCACCACTTGTGGTCTTATTATTGCGTCCCAGGCACTCAACCCTCGACAGTCTGGCTCGATGCCGCTCTCCACAACTCGACCATCGCATAATTCTTCATGACTCTCTTCGACCACACTGGTCTACCGCTCTGGGTTTACATTGTCATCATCGCAGTTGGTTCAATACTATTACTGGTGATACTCGCCATCGGTTTGCGATGTTGGGTTTTACGTCGCAAGGCGAGGCAGCGCCACGAGTTCGATGGTCTCACAGGAGGTCCCATGCGGCGGGTAACGTTGAGGAGAGGCCGGGTAGTCCCCAGTTCTCAACATCTGTCTCTTACGGGTTCCAAGTTTGGCATGAGGCAATTCGGGATACTCGCGGACAATGACTCGATGATGACGGGCAGGAGAAGTCCCTTTGAATGGTGGAGTACTATCATGGAGAGATCACAGTCCCGACAAGATCAGATGTCGCAGGTAGAGACTGGCTCGATAATGACCCGGCCAGCATCCAGAGCGACCACGATTACTGGGCGCAAGGAACTTCATGGCACCCCCATCCAAACCCCTGAGAAGGACACGGAAACGGTCACGAGAACGTGGGAGCTGACCTTACCTTCGCCGTCCCCGTCGCCCTCGCCATTGGGCCCGAACAGGACAACCAATTTTTCCCGCTCTTTTAGCAACCGTGGCACCTCGTCGCCGATTACGCAAAGGTCCCAAGCTACTCTATCGAGGATATCCGAGCGATCACCCCATGACTCGATTATCAGCGCAGCGAATGGACCAAACGTCTCCACTCAACACCGGTCATCACATCACTCAGCCATCAACCCACTGGACAATACGCCTCTACAGGAGAGAATGCCTCAACCCAGTCCGACCACTCCGCGCAAGTCCGCGAACCTTGCGATACCCTCCCCGAGAAATCGTCCTCCAACCCAGTTGCCCAGTCCGTCCCATGATTCTTCAACACCATCCCACTTGAGGTCGACGTCGGGCAGGCAGTCCAGACGATACGACGCCCTACCAGATCAGGCATCTGGTCCATCTCTTCCTAAAGCGGTTGCGCATCCTATAACGCCGACGGCCTTCCGGCTGAACCTGCCTGAGTTCAGCTCTCCGATCTCGAATTCTTTCTACCGACAACCAAATCCATCACGCCTAGACGTATCTCATTCACGCGCGGACAGCAACGTGACTTCTCTTTCCGCCTCCACGACGCACTCGCCGAGAAAATCATCTTCCAGCGTTGGCCCCAGTGGCGTTTTCTATGAGACGCAGGTTCCGCCTACTCGCAACGGAGCCGATTACTGGTCGACACGGGTAGACTCGGATGACGTCCCCCCTGCTGCACAAAGGGAGAGCAGCAGTGGTATGCCACGTTCGGGACACTCCCGGAATCCAAGTACAGACCAGCACCGGCAATCACGCTATTCACGTGACGAACAGAGAGGAGAGGTGCAAGAGAATAGAATCGGCATCATGACGGTGCCAGGAAAGCACAACACGCGAGTGCTGAGGAAGAAATCGCTGAGGCGAGGGCAGGTCGTCAGTTCACTGGCTACCTAGCAAGGGATCACTGAAGAAATTGGTCTGGGTGGTAATTTGTCTGTACATTTTTCCCTTTCTTTTTCTTTTTAGCGGCGACGATCCCTTTCACGAATATTCGAAGCTTATCCAGGGCTGGGGCCAGACTGGTTTCAGCAAAAGCATCTCACGGTGGAGATGACAGGTTGACCGATCCAATATCTCTCTGATACCCGACTTGTTGAACATTTGGACATTTTGTCTCAGATGACGGGGCTGGAATCTGTGGTCTGAGACATACCATTCCAATTACATTATTTTCTAGATGGAGGACCAACCACTCTACTTATGACGAACACATCTGTTGCCAGACGGCCGGCTTCTTTTGTACTTACACCCGGTTGATATACAAAGTTCTGGGCCAAACTCATCCAATGGGGGAGAACAGGCCGTTCACACACCCCCGGCATGAACCGGGGCTGCATTACGCACTCTGCAGGTCAATTTCATAGCTCTATCAATGCAAGACAGCCGAGTGAAATTTTCCAGGACGTGAACACCGTCCCGTTTCCAGTCTCATGGTCTGCTTGCCATGGATGAACGTGAAATCCAGCAAAACGTAGCACTGTACGGAGTACGGAATATCAGCAGCGCTTCCCGCTCGACCAGTCACGGAGAAAGAGTACATAACAGGACACCAGATAACGCCGTACCATAACAATTGTCCCCCCTCCCCTGGTGGGAAGCTTTGCCTCCAAGCACGCTGAACAGACCACAATACAACAATACAATATCTGCAACCTAACAAGCCGTTGTTTCCTTCCCCGTGCACGGTACAGTACAGTATAGTAGCGTCACATGAAGGGACTACGTACAGTCTGATGATGCTGACGCTGATACTGTAGGGGTACGTCCTCAGTCGGCAGGGCGGGCCGTTCACGCAGCGCTAAACACGATCAAGTAGCCACTGTAGCTATCCCAAGTCGTATCCTATACGAGTATTCGCGAGGCAGAACAGAGGACTGGAAGACCTGGATCGATTCCGCGAACACATGTGCACCTCTGTACGGAGTCCATACCTAGTTGACGCATACAAGCACGGATATCAGTACCGGTACCGAGACCGTGCGTGGGACGGCCGAGCTGTTTGCGAAAGGTCATTCCGCCAATCATGAGGCGGGAGTGTCGGGCGCTGGAAGTGGCCATCCTCGCCACCCTCGCCAGTAAGGCCATCCATGCCAGCCCATGCCTATCGGCAGGGTCTCTCTAGCCTTGGGCAAGCAGCATTGGTCACGTTGGTGCACATATAAGGCACGACGAGTAAATACTGCCGGGTGTAAGCATCTCATATTCACCAGCGCGTCATGTCAGTCATCCGTCTTGGGTACTTCGTTCTCATAGGTTCTTCCAGTCCAGTCTATTGCTCCTCCTGCCTGGATATCATTCTGGAGACACGTCCCTCTTCCAAGATCAAGCCAACGCGCCCATTGGATCCCATAGAGGTAGTACCGTAGGCTCGGTCTTCAAAATCCCCTTGACATCCTTGCCCACGAAGCCGGGTTCTATAACAACCTGATAGACAAACTCGTCCATCCACTTATCCGTCATGACGAAATACCCCTTGTCGCCCGCGTTCTCACCCCAAGAATTCATAACCCGCCACCTTACACTCTTGTCTTCACCCGTTTGCTCATCCCTCTCGACCTGCACCGCTGTCAAAACTATCGCGTGCGTCATGGCACTTTCGCGGACCCTGAGACGCTGAGATTTCGACAGGTTGAGGGAGATGTTGAATGCAAGGCCGTAATCGTAGAGATCGGGATCCATGATTCCAGACTGTGAGTTTGAAAACTTCCCCACGTCGCTGCCGAAGAAGACGGGCACGCCGGCTCTGAGCATGGCGATTGCTGCCTTTTTCATGGTTGACATGTCGACATTCACATATGTGATTGGGCGTCCACCAACGACGTTGCCGAGTCGAGAAACAGTAAGTAGAGACATGTACTTGTTTCGCGGATCATTCACCAGCGAAAACATCTGCGACACGTCTGCACCTCCAAGGCTTCGGACTACGGATGGAGAGGACATGGACTTGGCAAACTCCAGCGGTGTGAGATTCAATTTGTGGTACTTGTCGCTGCTGTCGTAGTATTCCCAGGTAAACTTCTGATCTGGTTTGGGTGGTGGGCCGAGCATGAGAGTGAGGATGCAGTGGATTTCGCGCATCATTTTCGACTTTGCCAACACTATAGAGGAAGACTTCTTCGTGGAGGCAGGACCGCTACTGTTGACGAGGGCGCGGAGTGCTAGGCCATCTTCCCGGAGTTTGGTGGTGATAATACTCCCCATGGCGGAGGAGTTCATGGCGTTGTAGCTGTCCGGGTAGAGTTTTTGAGGGACCTGCACGTATCACATTGCTGTCAGTGACGAGAACTCAACGATCAAAACATGGAGGATATATTTCTCACCAGCCCGTATTTCTCCACCAAATTACTCGCCATATCCCATTGGCCTCCATCATTGACTGGTGCGCCCAACAACTCCTGCACAATGCGTTCGTCCAAGTCTTTACCCGCAGTGTCGATCATTTGCTCGAGAAACCAGTTCGCCTTCTCCATCTTGTCCCAGAAGAACAAATACGCCTGCGACAGCTCAAATTCCTTGAGGTTGTACTTCTTCATGATTGGCACGCGCAGGACGTTTGTCGTTGCGAAGAGCCAGCATCTGCCTGAGCTGCGTTGGTTTGTCACCGGGGAGCCTTCGAACGGGATCTTAACATTGAACGTCTGAGTATCGGAAAGGGTCGTGACTTTGTTCGAGACTATATCGCGGATGTTATTGGAGAGGAGGGCGTTCAGTGCGAGCCGATTCTTAGGGTCGGCGAGGAGCTCCTTCTCCCATTCTGAGGCCGTTGTGACGTCGAGAGATGGATCGGTCGAGAAAGATCGAGGAATGCCCTTCTCGCTTTCGACTTGGATATAGTCATGTTCGATTTCGCGTTGGTGCAGGGCATCCCGAGTTCGGAGGGCTTGAAGTTGCTGTACCAACAGCTTCTCCACGGCGGGCTCATTGAGCCTCGGTGAGCTCTGCGAATTGCCCATGACGATGTGAGACGATGTGAGAAATCAAGAAGAAATGAGACTGGCCAAAGGAACGAGAACTGGACTGCAGTTATACTCCGTACCAAGTGATGTGAGACGAGAGAGCGCGAAGGGAGAGGCATGAGGCATGGAGGGGGTTGGAGATTCCATGCAGGCTGCCGATAACGCGATAAGATCACACGGCCTCTCCACGCAGCAGCCCTAGTCCACATGCGGCAATTACCGACTGTTAACCATCAAATACCTTTGTACGGGTACAGAGCAATGGGGGGCGGAGGCGAAGGGAACAGACTCAGATTCGTGACACTCTCACATAGGCTCTGCTTGCGAAACTCAAGACATGCTGATATCGTCTCGTTTGGTCCTTCTTGGAATTGAGATGGTAGCAAAAGCGATACAAGTCTCAACTCCTGGCTCGTACGGGGACGCCATCCAAAACTCATTGACGTTGCGACCTCGTACCGCTGCTAGATGAGACGTCGACTCCAGCTCTTCCTTGGTAACCATTTGACTTTCCAAGCCCGAAGGTGTGAGGATAACCCATCAAGAACGCCCTATTGCGCCAACACCGTTTCGTCCGCTTGCTGATGCGATAGCTGATAAAAAAAACTCTGGAGTGGTACTTCCACGAGATCGCTTGGGAACAACATTCATCAACTTCATTCTCGTTCCCATCGTCCAAGCTCAATCCTCCCAGCTCTTTTCCACCGTCTCCCTGACTCTTTTGGTATACTCCTTCCGGTTATCCTTGTACAGATTACTCGCTTCGACGTTCGCTGGCGAGCTCGTATTTGGATCATTCAGCAAGGACTGGATGCTCGTCAAGATCGCAGCCACGTCGTACGTCGGAGACCATCGGTTCTGCAGGATGTCCAAGCACAGCTCGCCGGTACCGTAGACGTTGGGGTGGAACATCTCCGAGACAAATTTCACCCCAGGTGGTTTGTTCGGGTAGGCTTCTTCGAATTGCATGACGAGGCGGAAGGTGCCGTCTTCAAATGGTGTATCTGCGGGGCCAATTATCACGGCGTTCCTGCGGGTTGTGTTAGTTGGACTGTGCGTGGGCTCATAGGGATAGAGAGGGGCAGCCGTACCATGTCATGACGTTGTCTGCGATGGGAGAGGCTGAGACACCGGCAGGAGGATCAGTCTGCATGCGCTACAGGCAGAGTCAGTATGATTGATATTCACAGGATATATGATTCAGCTAGGCTACGCTAGGATCCTGGGGTCGAGGGCCGTACCTTGAAGTCCCTCATCAAGCGGCGTCTGGCGGAGGTAGACATGGCGATGGAGGTCTTCTTTTGACACAGCACAAGGCTGGACTGGCAATGAAGAGTAATGCACAATCGCAGGGAATTAACGTAAGGGCTGTGTTGAAGAGGGAAGAGCCCAGGAACGAGCTCACGCGACGTATAAGGTGAGGCGAAGGCGATGGCGGTTTGCCCGCAGTTGACCAAGCAGTGAGTTATCATTCGTCACAGTTTCTCGAAAAGACGATGGCCGATCATTACCCAATATAGTTACCACGACGTGCTTCTCACGTGACTGCGGTTTCGCCCTCGAGTCACTCCATTTTGATCCGAAATTTGTCCCCAAACCTGCCTCGGCAGCTTCCTACAGTACCGTGTCTTTCCGCTCCCAAGGTCGGGATTCCGCGCCCTCAGAGTTTTGGTGGCCGAGAGAAGCAGAGCTCGCCGCTCCCTATATCTTGTGGACGGGAGCCTCCCACGGATCTTGACTGATTAGTAGGGCATCTCTACCTCAGCCAAACCGCTTCCTTCAATTCTCATTATCCTACCACTTTTTCTCTGTCCATCACTAGCCACTGACTGTTGCAGCGCCGCTTCCCCGCTTCTAGCCGAGTCTTCACATGTGCGGTTGACGCAAACATATATACCTGTCGGCATACCCTTGGTCTCACTCTTGCTCTCGCTTAGCCTTCATCCTGGATTCGCAGTCCAGCACAACCGTAGAGATGCCCTCCCTTACCACCTCCGCGGCCCGTACGGCCATGCGAGCCTCCCCCTCTTCGGCCCGCCTCTCCCAGATGCGGTCCCACCTCAGCACCAACGCCACTTCTCCCATGGCCAGGAATAAAGAGGTCGGCGAAGCATACATCCTCTCGGCCGCGCGGACACCCACCGCCAAGTTTAACGGCAGCTTCATGAGCCTCTCCGCGCCTCAGCTGGGTGCCGTGGCCATCAAATCCGCAATCGAGAAGTCCAAGGTACCCATCGCAAAGATCACCGATGTATACATGGGCAACGTCCTTGCAGCAGGCATGGGCCAAGCGCCGGCCCGACAAGCCAGCATATTCGCAGGCCTACCACCAAGCGTGGAAGCCGTGACGATCAACAAGGTCTGCGCGTCAGGTCTGAAGGCGGTGGCCATCGCGGCCCAAAATATCCAACTAGGACTCGCAGAAGCGCAGGTCGCAGGCGGCATGGAGAGCATGTCCCGCGTCCCTTATTATCTGCCTAGAGCGGCGCAGAACCCTGCGTTCGGCCATATGCAATTCAAGGACGGCCTCATCGAGGACGGACTCTGGGACGTATACAACCAATTCCACATGGGCAACTGCGCCGAAAACACGGCCAAGAAGTTCAAAATCTCCAGAGAAGCGCAAGACGAATACGCGATCCGCAGCTTTGAGCGCGCTCAGAAGGCCTGGGCGGAGGGGAAATTCAAGGATGAGATCGTGCCCGTCACCGTCAAGGGCAAGAAAGGCGACACCATCATCTCCGAGGATGAAGGGTATACCAACCTCAGGAAAGACAAGGTCGCGTCATTAAAACCTGCGTTCGTGAAAGGTCCGGACGGCAGCGTCACGGCGGCGAACTCATCCACGTTCAACGACGGCGCAAGTGCATTGGTGCTTGGGTCGAAGGCCATCGCGCAAGAATACGGCCAAGGAAGTCGTGTGCTCGCGCGAATTATTAGTTCTGCAGATGCCGCGACCGACCCTATTGATTTCACCATTGCCCCTTCCAAGGCCGTGCCCATTGCGCTGGAAAGAGCGGGATTGAAACAGGAGGATATCGCGATCTGGGAGTTCAACGAGGCCTTTGCCGCCGTCATCAAGGCCAACGAGCAGGTAAGTGTCCTCTTCCCAACAGCATGGTACTTTAGAAAGTCTCCAGTGCTGACTCTGTACCAGATTCTCGGCCTTGAAAACGCAAACGTGAACCTTCTCGGTGGAGCCATCTCTCTCGGCCACGCCCTTGGCAGCTCCGGCTCCCGCATCCTCACCACTTTACTGCACCAATTGAAACCAGGCGAGTACGGCTGCGCGGCTATCTGCAACGGCGGCGGCGCTGCCACGGCCATGATCGTGCAAAGAATCGAGAGGGTGGAATGATTGCGACCAACAGGGCTCCCTAGAGATGGGCAGAGGGGCAGATGGGCAGTGCACGTGAAGGAGACACTCCAGGGGTTTGCATCCTCCTTCAGCACAACGCTGAAATGCTGTTCTTGGACCAAAAGAAGTCAAACCCAAATTTGCACCGAACAAGCTGTTGCTTGCCGGCATAGCGACGGCGTTGTATAACCACCGGCTGATCTTATAGTCTTTTTATACTTCACTGCACATTACGATGGGATAGTTGTAACGAGAGGTAGCAAAAATGGGAACGAACCAGCTTTCCACATACCGTGGTGTACCTGAAGCTTACCTCGGACCTTTCAAGTGATATCTCCAGCACGACTCGACTTTTTCGACTGGAATGGATCTCTTTTGGAAGCTCCGAGACGGTGTTCGGCCTTGCTCCATTATCTCCAGCTCGTAGTGTGCTAGTGTATGTGGTGTTGGGGGCTTAGGACTTATACATGACGGTGGCTTTCGTCCCGGAGGACGCATCGAATACTCGGTGGCGACCTACCCCCAAGGGGCGTATGGTCGTTTATCTCCGCTGTAATCCCGTATAACAATACCCTGGGCGACTCAGAGGGACGACCTGTCCACGTTGCTTTTTGTTTTTCTTTAAAAGCTTGCGTTCTAGGGATCAGCATCCGGGGCTCCTCGCAAGTGAATTCTAGGATATTGTGGAAGGCGATGTCCAGTAAGCACCCCCGGGGCTGCTGCTTGACCCAACCTCAAAAGGTGACCAGTCACCATCAGGAGGGTAGCTGGATCGTGCGATACTACGGCCAAGCGAGTGTCTGAATCCATCCCCAGATCACTTTCCGGTTTTTGTCGGGTGCATAGAATGGTCTTAAGAATTCCATCTTGGAAGTTATGCGGTAGTGCACCCTCCTTGGATAATGAAATCATGAGAAGCCGCCGTGATTGTCCCACGTCGACCATAGACGGACAGTGATACGCAATTGTGCATCGCCCAAAAGACGAAGTTCCGGAGGTTCCCGAAGATTCGAGTCCAGCTCCTGAGAGATGTCAGGGAACCCAATATCAAAAGCGAGTCCACGGTTGGATGCATGCTATCAATGTCAAGGTGCCGCACGGACCGGACCTGTGAGCTGCGAATGCGTGCAGGTTGACGATCCCGCTGGCACCTTGATCCTACAACAAACAGCCCGGCTTCCCGCTTGCTGAGGGAGTCTTGTCTTCACTCGGTGGCGGGCGGACTTCCACCTCTTCACAGACGCCACCTTTCAGCGCATCCACAATTCGCGCCTCAAAGTGGAAGTTGTGATCGGAGTACAGTCTCTAGTCGTCTTTGTTGTTGCTATTGTTATGCTCCTCCGCTCAGGTCGATCGCTTTTGCCGTCCATGGATCCGTGAAACGTACGCTTCCTCTACGAACCTCAAGTCCATACTCTCGCTGTCCTCATGGAGCAAGAAAGGAATCGTGTCGCCATCAAGAACGCAGACCAGGTTCCCAGGTCCCCAGGTCGCACATTGGATGTGGAGCCATTCCAAATAGACCTTGCTCCTCTGTGACGAAGAAACTTTTTGTGCAAGACAGGTCCTTGTACCGCCTCCGAAACATGCTGCTGGACGATCGTGTTCGCGCGACGTCGCGGCCATCGGTGCCCTGAGCCTTCCTCGTAGACAGCGCCGCAGGTTTTTCTCTGGTTGTGGAGGAAGTCCCTTTTCAAACTCCTTGCAGAGACCAGGATCAAGAACACGGGCTGAGGGCTGAGGACTTCGCCGTGGAAGGGTGGCAGACTCCTAGGCTGGGATGTGGAAGTGTTGGCAGACTCCTAGGCTAGGCTCGCGTCTATCTTGATCCTGGACATTTTACGGACCACCAGATACCTCTGCGATGACCCAGCACCACCATTGTGACATGTTTGGCCCGCAGGATCAGACCAGACGCATGAAGACATTGAATTTGCAGTCGGCCAAGGATTGCCTGGTAGAACCAAAATAACTCCACGAGGTAAATGTAAATGCAAATGTGTCTGGAGGTCGAAGATGGAGGTCATGTGAAGGTGTCAGAAATTGGTCTGTCATTTAAAACTGCACGTCAGTGTGTCATTTGATGTGAGCCGACACGCGCTGACAAGCGTCCTTTCGTTCCTCTCTACAGTAGCCCACGAGGCCGATTTCTAACTGTCTCTGACTGCGTACATTAATAAAGGGAGGTGAGTGCAAGCTCAGCTCATCAGTATCGTGTTCACTGGCTCATCCCATCAGTTTCCTGTGCATTGTCTCATCCCAACGACTATGTGGTATCCAACACTCTCGTTTCCCCAGAGAATCTCAGCCATCGCTTTCCAGAACGCAATTGCTGAACCCGCGAGCTTCCCAGTAGTTGTGTTTGGCAAAGTCATGCCAGGACGGCGTTCCGACAGATAGGGCGAGAAGGTATATTCATACCGTCGTGTAGCTCTCTTGTCTTCTCCGCTAGTTATCGAGGACCAAGTGCTGAAAAATAGTGCTGCAGTATTGCTCATCTCCCTGTCGCCTCTTATCTGGGCTGCTTGGTCTGCAGTTCGGAGGATGATCGGATCTCTTCAGCGGGAAGTCCATGCTCGCACAAGTGCAGAATGACCCCGGACGAAATCGAAGCTATCAGGATACTGCGGCTGCGGTCTCAGCTGGGGGAGAGCATCCAAGGGAACGGGGCTCGCCCTACATTTACCCGCTTTTCGTCGACATTTTCCAACTCTCCGTCAGCGTCCCAATTGATCACTTTAGCTCGTCCTGCGGTTGTGTGAGTGCTTGGACATTTGACGTTGGAAGCGGAGAAGTAACTCCACGCATGTGTTTGGCTCGGATTTCAGTACCACCGCGATTGTGCTCTTCCAGCTGTACCATGACTCCCGCGGTCTCCCACGGCGACAGATAGCAATGGGAGCCGCGGGCAGCATTGCCTTCGTGTGGATGGACGGGCTCGTATTTCAGAGCCAGGATCGACTCTTTCGCTAACGCTTGGCCGAATCTCATATGTGCGTCGGCCAGTCCACTCCACACCGTGGCATCCGCGGAGCTATGCAGCCAGAACACCACAGGTTGGACCATGTAAGTCTCTAAGCAGGGCAACTTGGCATGATCGAACAGCTCTTCGATGAATTGCGTGCTAGGGACGAATGGCTTGCGGATGGTAAAGAAGTTTTGGATCTTGGCGACGGCAAGGACGCGTAGCTGGTCCATCATGAGCCGATCACCCAAGTGGTAGACTCTCCACCAAAAGATATCTCCAGAGCACACATCTTCTTTCTGAAGGTAGGTGGTGACCCCGTCGGCGACTCGACCGGAGTACAACCAGTCGTATGCCAGTTGAAGATACTGAGGGTCTTCTTCTGAGAGGGTGACTTTCTGCTCGGCGCCTTCGATGAAATTGCCAGTGAGCGCAGTTTGGAAGAATGTTGACGCTGCGCAGATCAAGTTCTTGTGGATGGTGAACTCTTCCTGCTGGGGTCCGACAATGATTCTGACAACTTCATTGCCATGCTCGACGTGTGAGGGTTGGATCGGCGCGACTTTGCCGACCAACATGTTATGCCGCGAAGGGCAGGGACTGGGAGGTTCCTCGGCGGGAGGGACAGTCAGCGATTGTCGTTTTGGAAGAGGCAAGATACAGTGAGGGACAGTGTCAAAGTGTCAAATTCTGAGCACACAGCTGCGAGCTGATGAACGACATCTTGGAGTCCTAGCGAAGTGAAAGAAAAGTGACCGCAGGTAGAATGTGGGATAAGACGCTAACCGAAGAACAGGAACCCTCCTCTCTTGCAATGAACACGCAAGACAAAAGTGAAAAAGCCAAGTGATATACCAAACAGTACCAAGTACGGCCCAGAAACCTCATTCCCATATCCATAGTCCTCGCTCGTCAAGCTCCAACTCATGCAAAAGACATCTGCCCCGGACTATTGTATGGCTGCTTGGTCTTTGGATCCATTCCTGTCGTCCTCACAATTGCTTCCTTGTCCTCCTGGATCAAGGCACAGCTGCTGCACCAACAAGTCGCGCAGAAATCGCCGGCGCTGCTGCCGTCAATGCCAAACTCGTCTCGCGTCTCGCTCCTGTTGATGCATTGTAGAATGCAGGGTACCCCGACACACGCTAGAGCGAAGAAAGCGCAGCACTATGGGATACAAAGTCAGTAAGATCTAAGTGGAGTATATGGAACAAGAAAAGCGGCTCCGCAATGTGCTTCTTGACCGTTGTAGGAGCGACATGATTTATGACCAGCTGCGACGTCCTGCTTGGTCTGGCAGCCACAGTACAGAGACAAATGTACAAGAATGAATGACCTACCGATCCGTTGCAACCGCTAGATTCATGGTCGCCCTTGTATCGGTCTCGTGTCTTGCCGTAGAGAATACACGGACACCAACATCCCAGACAGCCTTCTCCGTGAGTTCGGGTCAGCAAGCCATGATGCTTCTCAGACTGAGCTCCGGGCTGGCGACTTACAGGTGCCAAATGGTGAGAAGCAGTCGAAGAGGCCGAAAGACCATTTCCCCCCAGCACCACCACCACCGCCAGGGTAGGCCCCAGCTGCTCCATGCCCAGGCTTGTCAGCTCCGGTATGCTGCGACATTGTGAATTTGGAAAGGGAGTTTTCTAAACGGTACAATGGATCAAGAATTCGAACCAGGTTGGAAGCAGGGAACAACAACGACAAAGATGGAAAGCGCGCGAGATCGAAAAGAAAAGGCCACACGAGAATACGTGCGAGCCAGCTGGATATATCACCAGCTGAGGAGGCCAATTTCGATCATCGAACGGCCGCTCAGTCGTGTCAGGAGTTTCGGGAATCCTAGCGTTGTCCTTTGCGACAGAGGCTTGGGCATCAGCTGAAGGCCATGGTTTCGCCCCAGTGACAACCGGTGGTTCTCTATTTGCCATGCTCGCCATTTACTGTATGACCTCTGCATGGTTGTCGGCGATCGTGCCCCCTGGAGCTCCGCAGAGCCACCAACTCTGGTAAATGTAATTGGCTGGTGAAGGTTTGATCGTTTGGTAGAATCAGAGTTGTGGAGGCTACAAAGGACAGGCCACCAAGGCTGGGCACGGGGATTACCTAACACGGAACGACAGAGCGAACCCCATCTATAACCGAATGAACTAACACAGCTCAGGTTTGATAGTCGGGCCAGAACGGGCAATACTGCGAGAATGGACAGATGGTCTTATAGGTCGCCTAAACACGAGGTTTGGAATTGAAAGGGAGACGTGTCCTGTGCTTGTCACTGTACTGGAATTTCCGGGGGTTGGCTCCAGCTGATACGAGTGCTGAGTGGCGACGCGTAAACAGTCGTCTGTTTGACTTTGGCCCTCGTGTTAACGTCTCGAATCCAATGCCATCGGGGTCTTCTCCATACAGCACTTCGGCCAAACGCTGTCCCTTCGTGTTAATACCCAAGCCCCGAGCAAATGCGCCCAATTTCTGGAAAAGGAACAATCGCGAATTCGCCTTGCATGGTTGCGGTCCTTCAGCCCCTCGAGGAATGTGCCACGCCCGCAAAGGCGGCCGCATCCAGCCCTCGTGCGGCCAGATTATCAGCACAACAGCGGCCGACGCTATGACAAGTTTGCCGTGCGTCGTGAAGCGAAACAGATGAAAGGTCAAGGAATCGCAGCTTTGATGTCGTAAGGGATCTTTAGCCTTTTACGAAACCCCACATTTCGGGGCTGAAATCCTCCTGCATCTCAGAATAGGAGGTGGAGACCAGAAGTCCGCATTGGCGGTGCTGAGCCGCGCGGACAAGGCTTTTCCCAGAGTCGAGACGCAGCTGTTGACCCGCTTTGTACGATATATGACCAGGCGGGAAGCTCATCTTTGCCAGATCCGCAGAGGATGTTGAAGCTTCAACGGCAGTTTCAAGTGATTCCTTTGACTCCTTCCCCGCTAGCTAGTGTAAACGGACGTTGCGTCGCGCAATCTTTCGGCATCAGCGTCAGTACAGTTGCACCCTGCTCTTGGTTCGTAGGGCCGGAAAACTCTTTCGATAAGCCACAGTAATACTGTCGAGAACCCTTGAGGCTACCATTAGCTCGCAGCACACGTTCCTGGAGCCTTCCACCAGTCGTTATCGTCGTTAAGCCCATCCTCTTTGTTTCGAGATTGCATCGTAGCGCAAGCGGATGACCCAGATCTGTGCCCTCGACGCTGAGGCGGCGCCAAGGCGACAAGAGCTGTGCTTCGGGTGATGGTACTTATAAGTTAAAGCGGCTGTAACAACAGCGAGAGGGCGCAGCGGAGGTTGATGTTCCTTTCCACTTTTCTGCTGTCGATGCAGGTCTTCGAAGGGACCGCTGAGCCTCGTCCGTGGGGATGATAATTCAGTCGTGGCCAAGGTCATGATACATCCATAATGTCTCCCTTCCCAAGTGCATCGCCGTTTGTTGCAGCATGTTTCGTCTGTGCGCTCTGGTACTCGTCTCTGATCAGTTGCACAATCTTCTGGATCTGTTCTTGCCCCTCGTCACCAGGGAACCGGTCCTCGAACTCTTCGATCACACAAGAGAGTAGCTCCATGTCAGAGGGTTGGTAGGCCGCTTCGTCTCCCTCTCCTACGGGCTCGTGTTGCTCTTCGTCACCAGAAGTACCGGCATTTTCGTTCCCAGAAGTCGACTCTGCTGTACCGCTTACAGCCTTCATATCCCCATCTCGACCCCCGTTCGCTGATGGCTGCTGTTCGTAACCCCGGGCCAGCCCAACTCCCAGATTGACCATCATGAATGCCTCCGTCTTCGACAACCCGAATGTGCGCAATTTAGGCACCAGAGTGTGTATGAAAGTCTCTGGTGGTGGGTACCCGGCGATGTACGGGATGGTGTTTGTGATATAATCCAAGAAGTCCTCTCGCACACGCTGATAGCCCTTCAAATTGACGGGCGTGTAGGAGCCGATTTTCTTGGGAGGTGGGCGGGCTGGATTCTCAAGAAGGAAATTATAGACTTCGGACGTCGTCAGAAGGGCGGCTTGAGGATCGAGAACCTGAGGTGCATGTACAGTCAGAACGATTGGCCTTGAGACGGAGGCGCTGAAACCATAGGCCGGGCGTAGTGTACCTTCATTTTGTTGAAACTGCCTGACGATCACCGCCTCAATTGAGGGATTGTTTCTGAGATATCCTCTTCTCAAGCATGCAGCATGTGTCTGCCGGCTGCAGGAATACCGAGACAGGTAAATTGTTTTCACATATCGATGAGCACGAGAACAAACCGAACGTACATCTCAGTCGGTGCGGAGAAAATTCAAAGAAATCGCAGCTCCTGCGGGGAACTTGATTCCGAGATTCATCCGTGTTAGTCAGCACAAGCCGAGTCCTGGTCGCATCCAGGTCGTCACATGGGTAGCATCATCATAACCAGTCTAGGATCCTGGAATCTACTGCCTGCTCACAAGTACTGAGCATCCCTTCATAGAGAGGGTGCAGACCCAGTCACGGCTGGAAGCAGAACATCGGGTGAGAGCGACCATCACTACAACATGACGAGGGCTACCTCGAACCATTGTAAGATCACAATGCAATCACATATTGACGATGCCTGCCACCCTTGAGCGCTCAGCAATTTGTTTGACCACCAACAAAGTCAACATATGGACATATTGTTCCGTAAGGCAGCTGTTGTATTGTGCATTGAACCGGCCATGCGAGCAACAAGCTGTTCATTGACCATGATAACTGGCAGGCCTACACGATCAGTGCTAACCATCCTGTCCGTAGATTGTACATTTTTCTCGTTCGGGCCACCACCTTCCAAACTCCATACCCCGGCGCCATGCAGCAAGCAGAAACACACGAAAATGCAAACAAGACGAAGAGTAAAAGAAGAACGCTTATGCCTTCTCCTTCCGCTTCTTCTTCTTGTCCGCTTTCGGCGTTTCTGCATCCTCATCTATCCTCTTCCTCTTCTTTGTTCCTTCAACCTCCCCATTCGTCTTGGCCGAGTTCGCCTTCTCTGCCGCCCTCTTCAATTTCTTGATATCTTTCTTGCTGATCGCACTCGCCTTCCCATCCTCGTCAAAATGAATCTCACCCCTGACAAGCTTCCTCTTGTATCTCTCCACACTCAAGCCACACTGCTTAGCAAACTTCGCAATATCAGCTTCAGATTGGTCCGCCGTTGCTGCATTCTCTGCCTGTGCCTTCTTCCCCTTCTTGGCGGCTTTGCGCGCGGCTTTCTCGGCGGCTTTGCGTTCCTTTTCGGACTTGCGGGCCTCGCCCGTTGATGGAGTGGACGACGACCCATTCACACCGTTGACTGAGGACGGGACGATAGCATCAACCTCGGCTTGAGTTATGGGTTCATCAGGTTCGGACTCGTCCTCCATGTCCTCGTCTTCATCTTCGTCCTCTTCTTGCCTCACACCTGAGCCCCGTTCTTCGGGCTCGGCGATCTCTTCGATGAGTTTCTTAGGTTCTTCCTTGCTCTTCTTGGCCTTTTTCGATTTCTTTTCTTCTTTGGCCGGAGCCTCGTCTCCGGAAAGACCATCAGCGTCGGGGTTGTACTTGCGTGCCTCCTTGATTTCCCATTTCTTTGGCTGTGGGGTGGCTGATACACCGTTTGGTGCGATGGCAACTCCTCGAGGCTTGAGAGGTTTGCCTTCCATGCCGGCCAGCTTGCGCTCGAGATATGCGCGTGAAGACAGGCCCAGGGCGGCTTTCTCGTCTTCAGGAATGTTGGCTTCGTCGTCGCCCCATTCTTGTAGGGCGTCGACTCTCAGACCCAGTGCGGCTTTTGCGGCGAGCACTCTGGCCATTTTGCCCTTGTTCTTGCCCGAAGCTTGGCCAATGAGGGAAGCGTGGTAGATGAGGCCATATTTGGGGGTGTCGTGCTTCGTCTTCAGAGCACGGAAGAGGGCCTTTTCGGCGCCAAGTATCTGAATGGTGCTGGCTGGGCTCTTGGAAAGATTCATTAAGCTTCCGGCGTGGGCAATCAGTCGGGCACCCACAAGTTCACCCACCAGTGCTGTGAGGTTGGGTGCAATGGCTGTCATTCGTGCTGATAGGTAGCTTGCCAATTGAGTCCGGTATTCTGTGAACTGCACGACCTGCTCAGCCAGACTTTGTATGTTCTCCAGATCTTCATCTGTGATTTCTGTGCCCATCGATCGGTCTGCTGCGGCCTTGACGGCGGCCTCGATCTCCTCCGGCAGAATTTCCGCAAGGTCGCAAGTCTCCCAATTTGTACGCATGCCCATCTTGAGCACTACCTTCGCGTAGGCGAGGTTATCGTTCAGTATCTTGGCCATTTCCGGAAAATGCCATCCGTACCACTCTTTGACTCGCATTGCGTATGTGTTCAGTTCCTTATCTAGATCATCGAGAAGCCCTATTGCCTGTACGATCATGACATCGATCTTGTCCGGCGAGAATTTCAGTTTGTGTCTGGCGAGAGAGTGTGAGAGACCCAAGGACATGGTCTTCATGTCGTCGGGTAGGAGTCCGGGGATCAATGACGGTAGATGTTCTCGAATAGATCGATAGAGGTCTGCGGTGGCCGAGTCCGCCACAGCCTTGATATCCAACCCGGGAATCTTGCCGATCGCATTCCCCAGCTTGGGATCCGCAACCGCAAGTGAAATCTTTTTCTCGTCCTTCAAACTGTTCAGCAGTGAGGACAACTTTGGTGTGACTTTTCCTTCTACGATAGCGGCCGCCTCTTCCAGTGCCGCTGCAGCGCTGTCAAACTTTTGAAACTCCTTCAGCTTCAGCTGCGACGTCACACTTTCGACGCTGGTCAGCTCGGACGCGAGGTCATCTCGTTTGAGGAGCTTTTTATCTTTGGCTTTGAGGAGGGCGTAACCCGCCGAGGTTTCGGTAAGGATAAGGAGCGTCATATTAGATGTATGCGCCGGGCAGACGCTCGGCCAACAGCGGGAGAGATGCTGCGATATTAGATACCGTCCTGTGAGGAATATTATCGCGGCTGGAAAAGCTCTCCAAAATTTCTTTGCGGAGCGAATCCACTTAAACCGCCAAGCTTTAGGAAAGGAAAGTGCGGCGAGCGGAGCTTATTATTATGTCAGCGAAGCTGTTTGCTCTTTGGTGAGTGTCGCGTTGGTGTCGCGTCACCGAGGGGCGTGTCACCCCCGCGTGCTTTCGATGCTCATCCCATGGGCGAATCACTGTTTCGGCCCAGCTCCTGGCAGCTCTCTGTATCTCGTCGAACCGGCTGACAAAGTGTGAATCCCAGAGCGACTGGTCACAACATTTATTGATGAAGGCCCGTCAAGTCTGGCAGACATGTCTGCAGCTTCCAGCGGGCAGCACCCCCCTACGCTTCCAGACTCCAATGCCGCCTCTCATACCGGAGGAGGCCGTCGTGGCCGTTGGCGGCGCATAAAATGTACCTACCCTTCTTGCCGCAAGTACGGACACTTCACATCGCAATGCTGGGTCGCGCAGCCCGAATTACGACCTGCTGACGGCGTGCATCGCCGTATCTGTTACCGCTGTCTAGCTCCAGGCCAACGCCCTGGCCGGTCCGCCCACGCCACCCCCATCAACTCCGACGCCACGTCCGCCTTGCTCGCACAGACCGAACGAACCCCGTCACATTCCCGCCCAGCATTCCGCTTCCTTGATCTCCCCCAAGAGATTCAACACATGATCTACGCCCACGCTTACGCCGATGGGTACCGCATCACCGTGCGCATGCTGGACATCCCCACGAGGTCTATAGGGCGCATGTCTGAAGCAGACTGTGCCACCAGGTCTATAGGGTGCATGACTGAAGCCGACTGTTCTACCAAGTGTATCTGTAAGGGTAAGGGTGAGTGTGAGGTCGGATGCCCAGCAACCCCGTTCCAGCTCTGGATCTTACACTACCTCTCACCTCGACTCGAATACTCGACCACGCGCGCGGACGAGATCGAATGCAACCTCGCCTTCGTAAGCAAAAAGCTGCGCAGAGAATCACGGCTCGCCCGCGAACATGCCTTCGACGGCACTTTGACCGTGGCGTGGGACCCCTACGCAACGTCTATGGCGTTGAAAACGATCTGCGGCTCCGACGAGTGGGCTAGTCTACGCGCCCAGATCACGGACCTGAGGCTCGTTGGCCTGTCTCGCCGCTCGATCCGGGGTTCCTTGAAGAGGGCATTCTGGAGAGATCTACCTTTCCCGGGAGCGTTTCCCAACGTCAACGCAATAAACCTCTGGTATGATGTCGTCCGCCGAGTGCATAAGGATCGTCATTCCGAAGCACCTGGCCGACCAGCATACACCGACGAGAGTGAGGAGGCGGCCATGGACTACCTGCCTACTCACCTGGAGTATCTTCTGAAGGTTCGAGAACTTGGGAACGGGATATGGGCGACGGGACCGGTCGACTGGTCCATCAATCTGAATAAGACGGTGACTTGGCTGGATAATTGTGATCGTGGCGACTGTAATCGTGGAGATCAGTGGGTGGTATTCCCTGCTCGCTGAGAGCCGACCTTGTCTCTGAACGGACATGCACTATGACCCAATATCGATTCTCGGATCGAATGTGAAATCGCTTATCACCTAGAACGGCTCGGTTTCGAGAGACCCCGTCGAAGGTAATGAAAGAAAGAGGGTCCTCATAATTTGGACCTGGGTAGACGCGGAAAGCGTGACGGATCACAGCTGAACTCATGACCGCGTCAAAGGCATTGAGAGAAAGAGGGTCCTCATGATTTGGGCTTGGGTAGAGGCGAAACCTGTGACCGATCACAGCTGAGCTTACGCGAGCGAGAGCATGAGCGTGATCAAGAGTACGAGACTTATTCGTTAATCCTCAAGGACTACGCCGGGCGAATGAAGCACAAGACAGGCCTTCCGGCGAACAAGGCGTCAAGTGCTGGGACCAGAAGTCCTTGTACGCTGGGGACAGCGTGTTGCAGCCTGCACAGAAGTTAAGTGGATAGGCTTTATGGCACACAAAGCCGTCTAAAAAGCGTGTTATCGATCATTGATTTTTGTCTAGATGCGTCCCGAGCCTAACTCCACATCCAAGCACCTGCTGTAAAACTCCAAGCTGACCCGCAATTGCGCCCTCAGTATCGTGCTTCTCCCATCTAGATACCTTGCCGCCATAACTCTTACGCGTCTCTGGACTGTAGGGACAAGACCGTACCACCCACAGACTTCCGGGAAGTTCGGACAAGAACCAACGGCGTCCAGTGCTCAAGTCTTCTTGTACGCATGTAGGAATCGCACGATTGCCAAGTGCCCGTTGTCGGCAGCTAACTTGGCGGCACTTTTCCTCTCTGATTCCAAGGCCTCGTTGTCTTCGTGCGCATCGAGGAGCAATACTAGCGTGTCCACACGGCCGTGTTCGGCTGCTCCTTCGATGGCAGACCTTCCCCGCTCATCGCTCCCGGAGCGGCAACATTCGCTCCTGCTTGAAGGAGGATGAGAGCAATTCGAGCATAGCCGTGGATGGCGGCGGCCTGGAGTGCGGTGACTCCAGCGATTTTGGCCGCCGGCGCATTCACATCAGCCCCGAGGTTGAGAAGCTGTTGCACGAGTTTGGTGTCACCGACCTCCGCTGCGAGTTGGAGTGCTGTCCTTCCCCAGTTGTCGCTCGCAGGTGCGTTTGGGTCTGCACCTTCACGTATGAGTGCTTGAACGACACTCGTACACTTTGTTGATGCTGCAATTTGAAGGGCTGTCATCCCATCTTCCGGATTAGCCGGGCTGTTCACCCACGCACCGGCTGTTATCAAGGTCTCGATTATGTCGATGTTTCGAGTAGCCGCCGCCGCTTGAATCGCGCTCCTTGTTTCCTTGATCTCAGCGTTTGCTGGAGCGTTGACATCGGCATTTGCAGCTAATAGCATCTGCACGACCTCCAACCTGCCTCGCCTGCATGCCAGCTGGAGAGCGGTCCATCCATCTGCGAATGGGGTATTTGGGTCGGCGCCTGCGTTCAGCAAGGTTTGTAGAATCTGGGGTTCTGGGTAGTAGGCTCGTACGGCTGTTTCGAGGGCTGTCAACCCACACACAAAGGCAGGTGGAGCATTTGGGTCTGCACCATGTTTGAGGAGCAGCTGTACCAAATGTAGATTGGACCCCTCGACAGCCACCTGTAAAGCAGTCCGGCCTCCGTTCGCGGCGGCCGGAGCATTCACGTCCGCGCCAGAATCTAGTAGAAGCTGCACGAGGGTAGATGAACCGCTCCTGGTTGCTGCCTGTAAAGCCGTCTTCCCCAGATCGAAGTAGGCGGGGGCATTGATATTGGCATTGGCGTGAATGAGCAGCTGTGTTAGCTCAGCATTTCCGTTCCTGGCGGCTATCTGCAGAGGAGTCCATCGACATCTGTGGTTCGCTTCGTCATTGGCATTGGCGCGAAGTTCCAGTACAAGGCGAGCGATGTTGCCACAGCCGTTGTCAATCGCTCTTTGAAGTGCTGTTCGACCATGGCCATCGGCTGAAGCATTGGCATCTGCGGAAGCATTGGCATCTGCGCCAGCATCCAAGAGGAGCTTGACAACGCCGATATCGTCGCTTCGGACGGCTGCCTGAACTGCTGTGTATCCATGCTCATCTGCTGCAGGCGCATTCGGATCTGCTCCAGCCTTCAGCAATAACTTGACAATTTCCAAGCGGTTTCTTTTCGCAGACGCGGCAGCTTGCAGTGCCGTCACGCCTTCAGTCGAAGAGGCGCGCGCGTTCACTAATGCACCAGCTTTGACGAGAGCTTGAACGATCTCGTAGCTTCCCACCTCTGCTGCGGCTTGCAGTGCTGTTCTTCCCCTTTCAATGGCTGGGAGGGCGTTGACATTTGCACCCGCGTCCATCAACATCTCGGCCAGCTCAAGATTGCCTCTGTCAGCAGCAAACTGCAGCGCTGTTCTCCCATGGTATTTTGCGGCCCCGGCATTCACATTTGCGCCTTTTTGTAATAGACGCCGCACCGTTGTCTCGTTTTGAGTAGCCACTGCCACCTGGAGGGCTGTATGCCCGTATCCTCCCATTGCCCTGAATTCCAGATTGGCACCGGCGCCCAGGAGCACTCGGACCATCAGAGTGTTATTGCTCCAAATAGCTCCTTGTAATGGCGATACGAGTCTGTTTTCGACGTCTCCTTCCAGCAATGCGCACGTGGAAAAGTCCCCTGAGTTTGCAAGAGACAAGTCAACTCCAGCGCCCGCCGCAAGTAGGATCTGGACGGAGACAAGGTCGTCCGCCTCGGCGGCGAGCTGCAATGGAGTTTTCGTCAAGCGAGGGGCGTAACGCTCGTACCTAGTCAGCACTTCCTCGTAAGCTTCTCCCCATGGTGCATCGACATCTGCGCCAGCGTCGACTAGAAGATGAACCATCTCGGGTGACCTGGTGGCAGCTGCTACTTGCAGAGCAGTCAGATATCCTTCAATGCTTTCGCTGCCCATGTTTGGGTCAGCATGGGCCTTCAGTAATATCTCCACCATCTCTGTAGACTCATCGTCCGCAGCTATCATCAATGGTAATGTGTTCAATGGTAATGTGTTATCGAGCTGAGATGGCTCGTTAGGATCTGCACCCGCTTCCAGTAGCATCTTGACCATTGCAACGGAGCCTGTCCTGACTGCAGCTTGGAGGGGTGTCATCTCAAACGTGTCTGCAGTGACGATGTTCGGATCTGCCCCTGCGGCAAGTAATATCTCCACCAGCTGCATGTTCTTCGTCTCTGCGGCCAGCAAAAGGGCAGTTTTCCGATTTGTTACGCCCCCTGGAGCGTTGACATCAGCTCCAACATCGATAAGGCACTTCACCATTGAAATGTCTCCCCGCTTTGTGGCGTTAACAAGTAAGTTCGAGGCAAATATATCTGCTGTCAACAAAGACGACTTGCGAATAATCTTTATCACCCATGCTTGTCCGTTGTTCGATATCCATTCCACGAGGTTGGCTGTCTCAGTATCCGACATTAGATTGTTGGAAGAGAGGTATGCACAAAAAACAAACAGGCGAGACAGCACGACATGAGGTTGTGAGTTGTAGAGGTTCTTCACGCTGACCGCAAGTCCGCCGTTGTCTCTGTCGACCATGAAGGGCTCCAAGCGCAAATATATGTGATCGATTTCGGCGGCACTTGAACGAGCTCCACCCTCCTCGAGGCATCTTGCTAATAGTAGTCGTGCTTCACAAACGGATCCTTCAGTTGGAGCACCTGAGATTGCAAGAAATGGTTGTTGCAGGCTGGGATCTCCCGCAAGTAATGCTGAATGGTGGTGATTGGCTGAGGACTGGACGTCGAAAAGGTCATGAAGCCAGGTGTTATCAGCACTCAGAGTGTTGGCATGCGGAGGGTATCGAAATGTCGTATGCCACCAGTCGAAGGCATCGCTCATGAAAGATATAGGCGCGAACGATACGTATTCCTGATTGGAAACTTGCCCAAAGGCAGTCGGTTGAAAGCGTGCGCGTACTGAAAGCCATCAGATTTTGGAGGAGATGAACTCGGAAAGAGGTTGGTTCTGAACTCACGCTGCCCCTCGAGTAGATCTTCGAACTCAAAATATGGCAAACTTCGAGGCTGGTGAAGCTGGAATTCTGTAAGCGCAGCTGGAGTGCAGACAGATACATCTCTGGGAGTTGCGGGGTCTGTGTGCAATTAGCCAGCGTCCCATGAGCGAGCCTGAATTCGTGTGCAACGTACCGCCTGCAGAGGCTTGCTGGTAGGACTGAAGTAGAGGTACATGGCGAGCGATCTCCTTTCGCACCTTCTCCGCAGTCTGCTTTTTCCCATGAATGAATACTACGCTCTCTTTTCCAAACAGCTGCCGCTTCTGTATGCGATAGCTGATAAACTTCCAGCTGTCATCCCTGGTGTACTTTGAGAAACCCCATTTCCTGAATTTCCGAGTGTACTGAGACAGCCTAAATTTTCCACATCAGCATTAACGGAAGGAGAAGGGGAGGAGCAGAACAAACGACTTGTCGAAGCCATATTTTTCCTTCATGAAGCCCAGCACTTGCTCTTTCGTCATCCCTTGCGTCAAGTATAATGACTCCATCTCGCTTTTGTACTGAGTCCATTCTCCATCAGCGCTGGGTCCAAGTCGCGCCATTGATACGGGCAGATATCAACTAGTGGTGTCGGCGTATCAAACTCAAATGATTGAAAGCCAGGTGGCCGGAGTCTGGCCCTGTCATAAGGAGAATATCCGCTGGACGTCCAGTAGTAATGGGCTAGGAGTGAAAGAAGTCAAAGCAGGCACTTTATAACTCTGAAGCAGGTGTAAGGCTTTCCAACACAAACAGGATCGTGTATCCGATCTTATTGGCTCAAGCCGAATTGTGCGCGGCCCCGGCAGTGGTGTATGCAGGGCGTTGATGCATGAGGCTGGCATTGCTCATTCGCAGGGCCGCTTCCACCGATGAGGCATAGATCCGCGTGTTGTTCAGCGCCTTGCCTGCTCCACAGACCGTAAATTTGGCCTTGGGCATGACTGGGCGAGGCCACTTTATTCCTGGCTCTGCTGGTGCTTTTTTGTGATTGGCGCTCACTTACCCATCGCCGTGCCGATGAGTTGCGAAGTGATCCCATCGGAGCGAGAAGGCATGGCCTACGAGCGTGTCTTCTACTCCACAGAAGCCTTGCATCTCCATTGAGCGCTCGGACACCCTCCAGGCCTGAGGCGAATCAGTATTGAGAAAGACCGTGGTGCCGAAACCCGGACAATGATAAAGATTCCCTGATCGCAGCTGCTGGCGAGAGCTGTCTGACAGGTAGACGAAGGTTTGGCGAGGCGGTAGTACACCCTCGCAGGCGATGCGACACAGTGGATGAAGAGAAGAAACACTCGGGAAGACAGATGGTAGAATCAAATCGACGGAGCGTCAACTTCGAGACGGAGGCATCAGGCCGACTGGTATTGAGTGATACGGAGGACACGAGTAGGTGAGCAGAGAGCTCTGATGGAAAGAGTCAGCAAAGAAGTGGGAAATTGCCACATATGTGATAGACGCATTGCACTTTCAAGCTTCATCTCATCTGCTGAAACCCAGCGGCGGCTGCACGTCTGTATGCACTGCTGCCAGCGACCAGGAGCCAGGGTAGCTGCCCAGGGCACACAGGGTCAGCCCAGGCTTAATTAGGTGAGGGTGAAAGAACAACCAAGAAGAGTGACTTTGGGTAGTTAGCGACTTCGCCTTTCCAGCAGAATCACGTGGAAAGGTGGGATTACGGTGGAGAGTTTGACAGCGTAAACCTTACGGCGGACCATTGACGCTGTGCAGCTCGACCAGACAAGAAACGTCAAGCCGGTTGATCTATTCGCCTGGTTCCTGTCCTTTCGCAGCATCTCTTTGCGCTCTAGCAAGCTGCGACGTCAAGAGATCCTGGACACAACAGCAACAGTGCTCCTCTTCCTATTTTGCGTACCTGAACAATCCAAAGATGGAAGGTAGGTGGCGATGTCTTGACGAGGACCCAGCTTCCTACTGAACACCGTCCCAGGCCTATTATTCAACGTGAATGGCGGCTACCTAGAGGGCATAGTTCGTGGTTACCGCAATACCTTACTGACGGGCACAAACTACGGCAACGTACGTCGCCACGGACAAAATCCCAGACTATTTGACTGACACAGCTTAGCTTACACAATGCGAAACTATCGAAGATGTCAAGACACAGCTGGGTCCTGCCTACGGCGAGTCGCTCGCGAGCCTCCCTCCCAATCCCTCAACATCGGCCCTCGCGAATAAGACGACAGAGAAGCTTGTGGCAGACTTCCGGTATCTTCAAGGTCAAGCGACGGGGTCTTTGGCAAAATTTATGGAATACCTCACCTATTCGTACATGATTGACAATGTCGCGCTGCTCATTACGGGGACTCTGCACGAACGAGACACAAAGGAATTACTGGAGAGATGCCACCCACTGGGTTGGTTCGAGACGATGCCGGTCCTGTGCGTCGCAACCAACATCGAGGAATTGTACAACTCGGTGCTCATCGAGACACCGCTGGCTCCATATTTCAAGGGCAGCTTGAGCCACCAAGACTTGGACGAGCTCAATATCGAAATCGTCCGGAACACATTGTACAAGAACTATCTGGAAGATTTCCACAATTTCGTCAACACAGATCCTGAGATGGCCATGACACCTACGGGGGAGATTATGTCGGAGATTCTGGAATTCGAGGCAGATCGACGAGCCATCAACATCACTATCAACTCATTCGGCACAGAGCTCACCAAAGATCAGCGGAGGAAGCTCTACCCGGAGTTCGGCAAACTATACCCCGAGGGAATGCTGATGCTATCACGAGCCGATGATCTCGAGGGCGTCGGGCTTGCCGTGAGCGGCGTGGGTGACTACAAGCGATTCTTCGATGAAGTCGGCTTCAACCAGAGCAGCGGTGGTGGCGGCGGCAACATGGCCGGAGGCATGGGTAGTGATTCGAAATCACTCGAGGACATGTTTTACCAAAAGGAAATGGAACTATCAAAGATGGTGTTCACCCGGCAGTTCACCCATGCTGTCATCTATGCCTGGGTCAAGTTGCGAGAACAGGTCAGTGCATATCCCTCGGATCAGCATGGAAAACTTGCAGCTAATTCCCTTGCAGGAAATCCGAAATATCACGTGGATTGCCGAATGCATTGCTCAGAACCAGAAAGAGAGGATAGGGAACTACATCAGCGTTTTCTAACATGGCTTTCTAGGTGTACACTACCATGTGATATTGCGCGGCGTTTTTGAAGACGGGACGGAACTATAGTATCGTGCACGCAATTCCAGCACCGTCGAACAAGGCTGTACGTACACGGCAAAATCTAAACGTTGCACACCCCTCGGAGCCGTTGTCTTCTCGTTTATGAGTTGTCGCGGCCGCAGGCTTCCAGGTACCGCTTTTGAGAGCTTTCCACTTGAATATCGTTGAACCCACAGAGACACATCAAGAGATTTCGGTCATTTTGCTGGGGATAAAGTATATCGCTTCGAACCAAATAAGCCACCCGCCTGCTGCTGCACTCATCAACCCCAGCTTATCTATGTGAAGACTTTGCATTGATCCTGCCAGGCCCCATCCGCTAGCCCTCAACTATCCGGTCGACTCGTGTTTTGTGTGTCGAAGAAGTTTCTTTTCGTGTTGATAACGAAGGTATATCCATCACGCCTTTTCCGTCCCAGAGGGAGCTCGATGATCATCTAACTCGAAGGTCAAGCCATTAGAACCAAGGGGGGCTACCGCCGCTGTCGCCAGACGTGGTGCAAGGAGAGGCCGGTGTCTTCGTTCCACGACTTAATTTACTCGTAACTAGGTTGGATACGTCGCCTGGGTTGAGTCGGTCGAGAACCAACTCAACCAGCAGCATATATACAGCTCGGCTGCTACTGATTCTGCTCGCCTCTCTCTGGATCAACGCCTACGTCTATGTGCCCCCGAGGTGGATGGTCCACGTTCATCCCTGTATTCAATATGAAGCCCGATGATCCACTTCGTGCCATGTTCAATATTTAGCCCGGTGTCCATCACGCGCATGTTTGTCCTCCTCGACATCACTACCTTTATCCGTCCCAAGCCGCGGGCGGGACTACGACGGGGCCTGGCTCGAGCTGCTGGGTGCAAAAGACCTATGCTGAACGTCTATAGTGGTGGTGAGGGCTTGCGATTTGTTCGCGTTGCACAGGCCAACCAGCATCCTGATGAGATAGCACTTGATATGTGTAGTCTTCACTTGTCGGTAAATCTTGGTATACACCTTGAAAGTAGTCGAGCTGATCGCCTTTTCTTGATAATATAGCAAGACTGCTGCGATAGGAAGACATTGCCCCTATGCCGCAGCACGCGACACGACGCAGACGATGTCGGCACGGAAGAAAATGCAGCATTGCTAACCGACAACGCGAGGTCATGGTGTCGGTGACGGACTGACAATCGAACTGACTCACTTAGTCGCACAGCACAATGTTTCTTGTGGTGCTACTTTTTGAGATTGAAGGAAGCTATTTCCGCTCCCTGAGCTCAGCACAGAGCCATCTCAGATAGACTCCAGCAAGACGTATTCAACAACTTCAGGGCCGGATTTCTCACATGCTATGCATTAGAGACTCTTGGCGCTTCGCAAAAGACCGCCCCTTGTCCATGAAAGTATGCACCCCCCACGAAGACCTTTCCAGCACTTGGTTCAAGGCATCTTGGTGAGTTTGGCATGATTTAGTTGGTGTATGATGAGAGGCCTGGCTGTCTTGGTACGAGCGCAACCCGAAAAATGAGCCCGAATCTTGTGAAAACCAAAGTCTAAGGTGACGAATGCCCAGCAACGTGATATAAAAGGGAGACTTTTGGGTGACCCAACCAGCGCCCAGGTCGCCTAAATCCAAGCAGGAAGTCCTGCCACGGGTGAAAAGGTCGATGATAGACCTGCGACTGGGACGAATAATGCCCGGTATGATCACTAATCGTACTGGAATAGCACGCTGATGCTCTCGCCATAGTGTACTCTCCGGATGGCCTGCCCAAGGGATTGTCAATATCACTTGAACCATGGAGAATTGGACGACCATGGATGCCACTTACCTCAGCAAAGACATGCCCAACCTCAAGCACTTCAAGCTTAGGGCATCGTTTCGCATGTTCGGACTGATCGACTGTGTTCGTAACGATCACCTTATCCAGGGCACTTGCATTGATACGCTCGATCGCATCGCCGCTCAAAACACCGTGAGTGACCAGAGCATAGACTTTGCTTGCGCCTTCCTTCTTCAATAGCTTGGCCGCTCTGGTAATTGTGTTGCTCGTGTCGGCCAGATCGTCGATGATGAAAGCGACCTTTCCGGTGATATCACCGACCAGCATCATCGTGGCATTTTGGCGATCCGTGATCTTGGTAGGTCTTCGCTCCTTGTGAATCAATGCAAACTCAATGCCCAATGCATCCGCTATTGCGGTCGCTCGTTTGGCGCCTCCAGCATCAGGACTGACGACTACACCATTCTTGTAGTCCGGAATGTGCTGCTGAATGTACTTTTTGAGGATTGGTCTGCCGTAGAGATTGTCGACAGGGATATCAAAGAAGCCTTGATACTGAGGATCATGCAGATCCATGGTGATAATGTGGTCAGCTCCCGCGCACGTCAGGAGGTCTGCTACCAGTGTACCTGCTTGTGCGACCCATTGCCGATAACCAGGGCGAGGCTTGAACGTCTCTTGCGGGTCCACCTTCTGCGCCGAAAGTGGCACGGCGAAGTCGTGGTTCGCAACGCCATTGGTGGAAGCCGCCGAGTCTCCGCGTTTTCTCTGATTGGGAAAGTATTCCTGTTTGGTGGTCGAGTGAGAGCTTGAGTCTCGGTAGTGGCTGAACCGGGCCTGGTGGGTGGGACTGTTCTCGACTTGATCAAGATCTGATTTTGAAGCTGCTTTGTGAAGTGGGTGTCCATTCGCCAAACCGTGACTTTCGTGCTTGTCTGGATGCGGGGTCGGTGGAATGCTATCGAATGTGTAGCCATTGGTTTCTGAGACAAGCTTGCTGCTGATGTTGCCAGCTTTTATCAAAGGAGCGCCGCTTTTGTTGTAAGGGATGTCGGACTGTCGAGAGTATGGGAAAAGAGGTAGCACAGCTGTTACTTTCTTCGCGGAAGCAGTCTTGCAAGCTGATATCGCAATGAGAAGCTCAACGAAGTGGTCATTCACTTTCCCACCACCCGACTGTATGATGTAGATATCTTTTCCGCGAACCGATTCGCCTATCTCAACCCTAGTTTCGCCGACTGCAAATTTGGAGAAGAGTGCTTGCCCGGGGGCGATGCCGAGAATCTCGCAAATGGTTTCGGTCAAGGCTGGGTGGGACGAGCCACCAAAGACGACAATGTTTCTAACCATCTTGTCGTGAGGGCTGGGCGAGATAGTAGAGGTGTGTGTGAGCTAGGTTTGACGACTGTGCACAAGGCTCAAGGTGAAAATAAGAGGATATAGCCGTCCCGTGACGAAGGTGACGCCGGTCACTTGAGATGGCCAAACCTGTAAGGCTCTGAAGCCAGTGAGGTCCACAGAGGTTTTGACATGATGTGAAATGCAAGTAAAACAGAAGTGAGCCGTTGGATGAAAGACGGCTAGTGCAGTCACCGGAAGACTCACGCAGGAGACTTTTTGTTTCGCCCCACCTTCTACTTCGAGTCGGACGTCTTCCGAGGTCGCGTGGTTGGCGCCAAATACCGATGGCGTCATATCATCGACTCAAAAATTACAGTAAGACATGAGGAAGCCTATATTATGGCCATGTGATACTGACATACCGAGCGCATCAGGGACAGTAGAACGTTCGCGCGCTCTCTGATCAGCAGCCGGCCATTACACTCTTCTTAAGAGGTCTTCGCGATGCGCTGCGACCACGAGTCATGCAAACTGCGTTGCCTCGCTCCACCGGCCACGGCTCTGGGCAATGATGATGACATTGAGCTAATCGCCGGTGTCAACCTCAAGATCCAGCTGGACGTTGTTGCTAACACCATAATCTTGTAGCGTCAGTTGATCCTTGAAGGGTCTTTCGCCCTGCCGCTTGAGGAGGATTTCGTGTGGCTGTCTCCCGATCATCGAGGCAACAATGACCTTGAAGTCCTCTGCAGTCTTGTCACTATACGTGTGATGAGAGCACAGGGTCGATAGACTTACTGATTGGATCTGTGGGGAAGCATGGTATAGCCTTCTTCGTGCCTAGCCGGTCATTGACGTAGACAATAATCATCGGCTGCGTAGGCGCAGCAGGTGGTGGTACTGGCTTCTTTTCCTTCTTTTGTCTCTTCTCCTCTCTTTCCTCACGCGGCTCGTCGTCACCACGATCTCGCCTTCTCTCCCGGTCACTGTCATCTCTTGTGGGAGGATGTCTTCGTGGAGGTGGGCTCCTAGATCTTGAACGTGGCCGATAGTGATCTCTATAGCCTCGCTGCAACCCTGAATCTCGGGCCCGACGGGAGGAGTCATCATCGTCTTTGCGCTTCTCCTTCCATTTGAAGCCCGCATCTTTGCGTCGCGGCCGGTCTTCCCGCCTATCTCTGTCTCGTCGCGGAGATCTGCTGCGTCTGCGGCCTTCGCCTCGAGACGATTCTCGCTCTTTCCTGTCAGTATTGGTTTTGTGAAATGAGGATGATGCTGCCTCACGCTCATCGTCTGCCATGGTTGTGGGCTCCTGGTGGACTTCTTCGCCAAACAGCCAAAGCGGTCAGTTAGTGCAAATAATGTTGAGTGTTTGTGCCCTAGGAATATCGGAGGCCCACGAGTTCGCTTGTTGTTCTCGGATAAACTCGGATAAACTGTTCCGACAATCACGCTAGTGTTAGGTTTCAGGATGGCCGCAGAAAACGAAATCGTTGTTCACTTTCTTTAGGTATGCAACCCCTGGGCATTTCGTGGCATTTCAAACTCTCCTCGGTGTCTAGAACGCAATGCGAGTGGACACAAACGCAGTCCTTTATGTTTAATTCTTGTTCTTAAACTCGGACCTGACAGCTGTTTGTCGTATTTATGTCGCAACCAACGTGTCGAGCATTCAGCTCCCCGACTCAGACCTATTATCGCAACGATATCGTTTAGGGAGAGCTACGATCTCGGCATAAGAATATGACATCCGCAAGAGAGAGGCTTCTGGTCACAGCCTTCAACTTTTCCCCCTGAAGCTCATCACAGCTCCATAGAAGGCCAGCATCTGCATCAGTCGAATGGGATACTGGGAACTTGGAATTTACCTTTATACTGACGATGCCTCGCGCACCTGATATCAGAGTCAAACATCATGGACGAGATTATGCCCTGATCGTTGCAGGAAGCAGGTCAACTGCCGGCAAACGACCGGTTTTCTGGAAGGCCACTTCCTCTGATTTATGCTGATGTTATTGAGTCGACGTTACACCAAGCCAGATTCCCCAATTATCTTGGTTACGACCACATCGTCAAGCCTATACCCGCCTCTTGGAGCTTCGGTCCTGGCAGGAGCGCCGCTTATGAAGGTATTCGGACAGCCAGAATCACATCAATATGCCGTCCCAGTATCGTACAGCTCGGCTGCCGAGAGAGCAGCCGACGAGGCATCAATACGCTCAGCGCAATGCTCGACTTTCTCCTGCTAGCAATGGGAAAATCATGTCCTCTACTGGATGGCCTGTGCCCGAACGGTACATGGCGACATGATAGCCTTCTTCTCCGCCATGGTCTCCAGAACTCTTGATACCCTCTTATCATGCTCACTGAGTGGTATGGAATTTCTGCTCACTTGTGCCTCCTCCTCTTGCTGAAGCCTTGCTCTGGCTGGAAGGACAGTCTCTGATCTACTCATTCCCCATGAACAGATGCCCTTGCCCTCGTCTGGCAGATTTGGGGGCGATATTACTTCGTCTTTACGGATGCCGTGCCACGATAGTCCAGGACTTGGCTACGCTGAATCCTTGCCAAGCCCCGAATATAGTACGAGCTACAGGACATGCGCGGCCAGACAATGGAGTGCAAATATGATTACCATCATTTCCGGTTTCGTTGTATGGCCAGGAGACCACGAGCGGTAAAGGATCATCCAGAAGACTAGAATTTATCGGATCAACCATTCTCCGCGCAAGGCTACAGGCCCCTGACGCATCCTTATTCCACCCATCTTGCTCCCTTCACCTACACATTAACATCTATAATGGAGACCTGTCGTCTGGGTCGCTAGGCTGATAGCTCTGGCATTCTCGCCCACCCAAGAGGGAAGTCGCAAGGACGAAAACATCGCGGAGCCCTTGGTCCATGGAGGCCGCATGACGAGATCGTCTAAGGCTAGGTCAAGGTGGATAAGACAGCCTCCTCCTCGAAGTGGACATGTCTGAGACTGTCAACACCGCTCTCGATGCAGGTGGTAATCTGGCTGCTTGTATTCGTCAAACTCGCGAAGGCTTTCGCGACGTGATAGGGCGATGAACGTCGGCTCATTGCAGGCTTTCATGAGCCTGTAGATTGCTTCCCACTCGCAGCTGGAACTTGCGAACTGATCATTTGAATGACACCGGCGTCTCGCAGGCGGATACACCTAGAGGCTATCTTGTTACAGACCAGGCTCTCTGGCCTCGGTCCATTCAGGAATAATGCTAAGTACTTTCCTTGAGGAAGGCGAACCACCGGCGGAATTGCCTAACCGGCACAAGAACAAGACTGCTCGAAGAACGAGCACATCCGATTCTACGGACGGACTCGTGCGGAGAGTGAATCGCCCTTTGTGTCGTTGCCATCAATGCTCAGACTCTTTCTTCCATCTTGTCGCTTGGAGGTTGGTCGTGAATGAAGCCCTGAGCAGCGCAGTCCCCGAGAGTAGATGACCGGGGAAGTCGGCCACATGCGGACGGCGATCGATAGGGGGAAAGATGCCATTACGGACGCATTCTATTCAGGCACGGTCTGGGTCTCCTGGATATGCCACACAGAGTCACTGCGTATGGGACTGCCCGGGCCTGGCCAGGACCATCTCCAGTTGTTGAACCCACCTGGATTTTAACGATCGTCGCAGGTGTTCAAGTAGGCGAGTCCCAATGCGAGCAAATCGCGGTGGACTTGCAGACGAGTACCTGGCCGCCTGCAACCACATAGGACACTTCTGTTCGGTCCTGACAACAGGAGCGCGACATGGAGAAACACGGAGTGCAGCCTGTCGAGACGTTTCCCAATACCTTGAAGTGGAACCCAGCGAAAGAACCTTGGAAGCAAGGCATGCGAGGCGAACGAGTCTTGGCGAGCCGGAATGCCATTGCAAACCACTTTACACTTCACCTCACTTCACTTCACTCTCACACTTCACTTCACAACCACTCCCAATCCAGCCAACCAGTACTGAGGGAAAAATAAAACAAGTGTTGATATATTTTTCCCGCGAAAAAGTTCCTCAAATACGCAAAGACCCCCATACCCATTGTGTAGACCTTGCCGCCCGAGCCGGGGTAGGACATTGGAAGAGGCATCAATGAATTGGGCGATATCGTAGCGAGCCGAACCCGACCGATCAAATCCAATCCAGGTCTTGATTCAGGGCAAACTACCATCGGGCAGCAGGCGACAAGACCTTGATTGAGATTTCCCACCGAAGTATCCCCCTCAATCTAGGTCTTGACAGGACAAACTAACACCGGTTAGCAGGCATCAAGACCTCGAGACCTCGAGTTCGATTCCCACCTCCGACTAGACTTAAACATCAGCAGGACGGTAGAGTAGGCAGTAGGCAGTAGACGGAAAAACCAGCACCTCGCAAGAGGTGTGAGTTTCGCTAGCATGAACCACCAGCGTCCGGTGTTTCATGGCAAGTTTTTGACCCTGGACGCTGTTGCTGGATTCGTTTTTATTTTGTGAAATGATGGATAGGTAGTGTTGTAGGGTACCATCTTAGTGAAGAGAAAAACGAACGGTTCAATCATCCTACCCGACGCCCATGTCTAGGTTGACCATATCATAGTCATCATCCTCTTCGGCCCAGTCCGACGGGTCATCACATCCCTCGTGCTTATGGACGAAGCAATAGTCACAACCGTCGCTGTTGGCTCGGCATCCTCGAAATCCTCGAGCCAGATAAAGTCAAAGTCGTCCTGCTCTTGATCCGCGAGTGAACCCTCCTCAACATCGACTTCAGCATCGCTCTCCTCCCAGCAGCTCCCAACCCCGTTCTCGAACCATGCATCGAAAAATCTCTCCCCGTCCAGATCGATCCATTCGGGTGGCGGCTCTCCTCTTTCATTGTACGCCACCTCCTCAAAGTCCTCCACGTCCGCATCCTCCAGGTCATCCCAGCTCGAATCCCACTCCTCAGGGTCGAAGTAAACGGTATCCATATCGTCGTACCGCAACCTAGCTAGATCGCGCGCATCCTCAACCACGAACCCCCACTCCCTGCTCCGCTGCCTCATCCGCCGGCCCAACGACAACTCATTCCACTTGCGGGACCTCTTCTCGCGGAATCGCTTGCCCACGTGGTGTCGTCGATCGAGCGGCCAGATGCGGTCCTCGCGATCCTGCCACATATCTCGCTTCGTCCAGGTCGCTATCGTGGGTGCTGTACCTCTGGCCTTCGCGAGGAGTAGTGGATCCATACTTGCGTGGAGGTTCGGGTATTTGGACGCCCATGCGGACTCGGACTTGGGCGCGGCCTCGGCCTCGGAATCCGGGGTTTGTATCTCTGTCGAGAAGTCAGAGTACGGTTGGCCAACCCAGCTGGGATGCACGCCTCGGTAGCCGTAATACTTTGCTGATTGTTTGGCGTGGCGGTTCTGGGGGCGGCGGCGGGAGCGTAAATCCCGGTAGGCGTAGACAAAGGTGTCGGCATCGCACTGGGAGACCGTGTCTGCTAGATGGTGGGGCGCCATGGGTTGTACGATAGGCGTCGACTTTGGGAAATGAAAGGGACAGACTTTTATGTACCGATACGCGAGTACACAGTACGTCTGCCTTGAGATCTTCTTCGGACTTGGACAGAAGTCGCTCGCTCGCTCACTCACTTGCTCAGACACCAACCAGACCCGTTCTTCACGCGCACCACGAGCCGCCGAACAGATCGAACCGCATGAGTGGGAAACATACTTACTTATACATGCGAGGGCTCTGGATATCTTGACGGGTGAGTCACTACGGGTTTGGCGGTACCACAGTAGAGTGCGAGCTCAGCCTTGCATGGTGTAACTAGTGTTAACAGCCCCAGGCCACATGGTTGGCTGTCGGCGGAATCCCCAGGCTCAGCCCGCCAGCAATGCGGGGTCTCGCGGCCACACCAGCCATTGCAGGAGGCCCGAGTTGGTAACTTAGGCACAGCATAAGCCAAACTAAGGCTGACTCATTGGAAAGAGGATGTGTGAGATGGTTCATTGGGTGGTGAGTCCACAATACCGGAGTACAGTAGCGTTGTCGGCCACACCTCAAACGTGTACAAGTCCGATCTAAAGGCGATGCTCCATTCCCGTGTGGCCGCCGCTTGACGGTTTCGATCACAACTTCCAAGTAGCCACCAATAATCGATGCATACGATGAGTGACGCGGTACTGTCCCACGAATGTTGAATCCAGAAATGTTGACGTATGTTGCCTGCCATGGCGCAGTGCCCACGCCTCCCTGCAAGAACGAATACTTCCACCGCAGGAGATTCAATAGTCGCTGAGAGAACACCCCACCGACACCCTGCACTGGACGTGGCGATCGCCCGATCATTTTGAATCACAAATTATCACAATGATCCGAAGCCTTTGACCGGCAGGAGCTTGATGGCCCGGAGACGAGCTAGGCACCACGCTAGAAATGCATCTACTGCTGTGCCAATCGCCGCACTCAAGCTTGGAACATAGGACCCAGATTCTGGTATGTCTTCGTCGGTCTGAGAGTATACCTTGAAGGGACTCGTCCTCGATGGATGCATCCAGTGCTTCCCAGGGGTTATTCCTCAAAGACGGCATCTTCGCTTCCGCCAAACATTGAAGTCGTTGTACGATACCGCTCTCAACATGGCGAGGTCGCCCTGTCCAACCCGACTGTTGCCCAGAAGTGAACAGAGCATTTTGCCGTGGATAATGGCGCCTCAAAGTTGCGTATGGGAACTTCAAATCCCCAGAGCAAGCTAAATGTTCCAATAGACCGTACGGTCCAGGACAACATTACCCTCGAGCCTGGTCCTCAGAACTTACGTGCTCTTCGCCGTGAATGACACGGCTGCGAGTTCCTACTTTCGACTTACGGGTCGCAAATGAAGCAATCTGAGGATGCCGGGGCCAGAAACGTCAAACAAACCACCACTGCCACGACGCTCATGCATGCGTCTACACTAAATATTCGATATTGGCCGTCCTCGACGATTTCCATCCCCAAGGACCGGTGCGGTAGACCGAAGGAATGAACAAGTCTCGACCGTAGAATGTCAGCAGTTCGTTTGACCTGGGGAGTTAATTCGACGGCAAAAACGGTGAACGGATCAGAGCTGCCACTTTAGCATTGACGGCGACGAGGCTGAGGGACACGACTTCCTCTCTTTCTTGCCTTGCGGCATGTCCTTCTTCTTCCTCGGAATCAACGGTGGCCACGACACGACCTGGATTTTCGTCGATGGGAATATCACCGATGCGCGCAATGCCTTTGGTCCGATTTTCACGCTCGAATGCCCGGCATACTGCGTTTGTATGTCCGTGAAGACGTGTTTCCTGTGTGGCCGAGCTTCACGGTTTTTGGCGTCGTGATCCACCCACAGGAGTGAGCTGGTGGATGACTCGTCCTGGAGGGTCTTCGATGCACTCATAGTACCAGGTATATTCCCCTTTGAAAGGCCGATATGGGTATTAGCAAGTTTACCTGACTTTCAGGTTGTTCAGTTTCCAACTTCGTCTCTTGGACCATGAATATACGTGCCCGGAGACATGCCGCCGGAATGGTAGAAGCTCCTGTAAGGTACTGGCGATCTTCCCGTCAGTCCCGCTCCTCTAGAACATTGTTTGGGCAGCCAATCGGCGCCTGGCACCTTCGAGAAGTTGACGATGCCAAGGCCGAGCCTACCATCTCAAGACGATGCGAGAAGAGAATCTGGTATCATTGGGCACTTCTGTCACGCTTTCTCATCTTGCTCGGCTGGGGACGACCCCGCCTTACCGAGCAGATTGGGCAAGTTGGTCTCAAGGAGTGGAAAAGCCACGCAAAGCCAACACGAAAGAAAGGGTTGCTCATGTATCTGGATCGCGAGGAGTCTCTCGAGCCGCGCACCATTAAAGCCCCCTCCCTTGTCTTCCGAACATATTAGAAGGGATACATCAGTTCAGGATCCCAATATCAATCATTTCCAAGCAGCAGGAATCTCTGCGGGTAGCCATCAGCTGTCATTCCCCGCACTGTTGGGGATTTGGGGGAACGCTGCCATCAAGCGTGGAGTGAAGTCCTTCTTCCTGTTGGAGTAGGAGTGGCAGAAAACCTCTTAGACAAAAGACCAAGTCGTGGCTGCTTCCGTGGTGCTGATGAAGAGATTGGTGTAGTGAAGTCGAAATTACTTGACCATGGCGAGTAACGGCGATCTGAAACACCCTCCCAGCCTCACTCGTCTGGCGACAAGACGTCTTCGTCAGATCGCCACTGAAGAGTTGCAGCCGGAGCTTTACGACAAGGCCGTCTACTGTATCATCGATTGGCTTGGAGCTGTCCACTCTGGCCTCTCGTTGCCGTGGAAAGATGCTTTGATAAAATACGCCCAACTGAATCATGGAACACCAGAGGCATTTGCGTGGGGCGTCAACCAAGACATCTCGACCGAGACGTCTGCTTTTGTCAATGCGACCCTAGCACACAGGTGAGTCAAGTCCAGCCTATGATTATCAGCGTTTACTTGTAAGAGCGTTTTCGGTTACGGGGATTGATCGCTGATCGAGTCAAGTGCCATTCGCGATGACATGCACTTAGCAGCGTGTTCACATATCGGTTCGATAGTCATATCAGCAGCTCTTGCACTAGCCCAGCGGCACCAATGGTCTGGAGAGACGTTGTTGCGCGCCATCATCGCCGGCTATGAGATGGCGGCACTGCTTGGCACGGCCATCCGAAGTCGGGGGACATTCAACGCCCACTTCCGTCCGAGTGGTCTGATCGGTGCATTTGGCGCTGCGGCGGCGGCGATAGCGGCAGAGAATGTCGAGGAAACAGTCGCCGTAAACGCCCTTGGGTACGCGGTCAATATGTGTGCTGGCTTCAACGAGTGGGCATGGTCTGGGGGAATGGAAATCTTCGTCCAGATGGGTGTTGCGAGTCGTGCCGGCATTGCCGCTTTTGATCTGGCAACTGCGGGTTTCGAGTGCAGTGACACCGCCTTGGAGGGCAAAGATGGCTTCTTCAATGCCCTCAGTGTCGGACCTGCTGGCGCTGAGGTCTTCAAAGATTGGCTCAACACCTCTCCCATAGGCCAAGGCATCCTGGATGTGCGCTTCAAGCCGGTGGCGGGATGCAACTACGCCCAAACCACTTCCGCTGTTGCCGTCCGGATTTATCAGAAACACAAGCCTAGTGACATCAAGGAAATCAACATCACTGCCACTTCGCAGGCTGTCAAATACCCAGGATGCAACAATGCAGGTCCCCTGACCACCATTCAGCAGACGAAGATGTCGATACAGTTTGGGGTATCCGCGGCATTGGTGTTCGGCGGACTGGGCGAGGAAATCTTTAAAAAGGCCGATGAGCCGCGTGTGAACCAGCTCATGTCGAAGTGCCGCTTGCAATCAAGCGCTGAATTTGACAAGCTGTATGCGCGCGGCCTTCAGCCCGCAACGGTCGAAGTTACCCTGGTGGATGGGACAGTGCTCCGAGAAAGTGCTGAGGACGTGCCTTGGTTGAGCGAAAGTGACGTGGAAGCTCGTTCAGTTTCGGAACAGGCGCAAGATATTCCTGAAGATGCGGCAGTCAAGGTTGTCGAATTGTGCAAGAAGTTGAGAAGTCTTGAACGCTGCGGTGAGCTCCTGGGGACCTGGAAGGTGAAGTAAGCAGAAGGATACTGTCCTCAGGACCTGTTTGCCAAAGATGGAAGCATTGGCAAAGAAGCCAGCGAGCGGGCTTCAATCTACCAGGTCAAATATGTTGGTACCATGCTCAATCTTCATAACAGGGCGATCAACGGAACGCGTACAAGAGTCGTATACGCCACCACGTGCTCGATCGTTGCGGCTGCTGTAGTAGACGAAAGTGCCCCTTGCCGTAATAGTAGGCTAAGTCTGCTGTCAGTCTGATTTCGAGGGATTTGCGACACAATTTTTGGAATCTTGTATCTGCGGTAGTGTCTCAATTTTCCCGGGCTCATCGTTGCTAACGACATTCAACGAGAGCGAGATAGAGGGAGAGGTACCGGCTATTACGCCGTTACTCTGAAATCGTGATATTCAAGGTGCTGTCAGCAGCGCACCAATCAAACCTTGCGGACGGCCGCACCTTGAATGTCCCGACCCCAGCTGCCCCATTGGGAATTATGGTGGTTAACACGGCGCTGGCTCGTGGTTAACAGGGTGTAAGCTGCATAGCAGATGCATAAAGATGTAGGTGAATCCGAGACGATAGAGCTGGCTCCAGTCGGATGGATCAATCAATCAGACTTGAAGAACCGAGAAATCGGAGCTCCTGGCTGGAAGATCGTTGCACCACAGTCATTGCAGCCTGTACCAAAAGCCGAGCGCGGGGCATCACCAGTCTCATGCTGAGCGGAAGAGCGCATCAAAACAGTTCCCGTATCATGCCGTGTCCTGCACTGTCATCCATTGACTACCACCATCAGCCACCATCTGTCAAGACGGGAAGGAGCGGACTGTCGACATCGAATCCTAGCTGCACTAGCCCTTCACTAAGCCGTACCGAGTCGAGCAACACCACAGCCTCCAGCTTTTCTCCGGAGCCATACGCGGACCAAGAACAGCTCAACCAGATTGGCAAGCGGAAAAGGCAAATGCTGGACCTCTTCGGGGTCGGAAGCCACACAGCAGCCACGGAAGTCATAGGAGTGGTGGAGCCGAACGACACTCTAGAGCTCATAGACTTGGACGGAGTCGCTCAGTGGCTCAATAAATGGTCGGAGAAGAAGAAAGCATTGTGCAGCAATGTTGAGGGAGCATGGTGCGCGCTTTTGTGTAACCGTCAAAACCGTTGAAAATGTCACATTGCAGTCGTCCGCGCCATTGGGGGCCTTGATCCTACTGCTGTGCACCAGAGTTTAAGAGGAAGAACAATCGGCATCGCGATGGAAGGGTGCGATGGAAGGGTGCGGTGGTAACGGTGATTAAGTATATCAATTGTAATTAGTTACCTTGGAAATTGGAGGATTCATCAGGTCGAAGAATGAATCGCCACTGATGTACACTTTCAAGGCGTCGCAAGATAAGTAATGCTCCGCCGGAACCTGCAAAAGATAAACAATGGCCCACCGTAAAAAAGTTTTGTACCGCAACGGAGTTTTGACATGGGCTTGATGCGTCTATCCCGCAATACTCACTGTACACCTCCCTCCTGCCACTTCTTCTTTTCCCGTCTTCGCTAAACATGGCCAAGGTCAGAAAGAAGAAGAGGACACACATCCCCAACAATGATAACTCCGCAAAGACGACTCAGGGCGTCCGCCGGCCAAAGAGCATGGTTATCCGCATGGGCGCAGGCGACGTCGGATCCAGCGTCACACAGCTATGCAGAGACTTCCGAGCAATGATGGAGCCAGACACGGCAAGCAGATTAAAAGCAAGCAGGAACTCCTCGTCCCAAGGTGAATACCAACGCTAACTCTTCGGGCGGGTATAGGAGCGCCGCGCGAACAAGCTCAAAGACTACACCTCGATGGCCGGGCCCCTGGGTGTTACACACCTGTTCCTCTTCTCGCGCTCAAATTCCGGCAACGTGCACCTCCGTGTGGCTCTCCATCCGCGAGGCCCAACTCTCACCTTCCGCGTCGAGCACTACGCCCTGTGCAAAGACATTGCCCGCGCCCAGAAACACCCCCGCGGCGGGGGCACAGAGTACCTCCACGCGCCGCTCCTAGTCATGAACAATTTCACGTCGGCGGAGGCGGAAAAGGATCCGATCAAGAAACAGCTGGAGTCTCTCACAACGACGGTCTTCCAGTCCATGTTCCCGCCGATTTCGCCGCAGAGCACGCCCCTCAGTTCCATACGGAGGATATTACTCTTAAACAGGGAGGTGCAAGCTGACGGGACGTATGTGATTTCCCTACGACACTACGCCATCACCACCCGCCGCACAGGCGTCTCCAAGCGGATACGCAGATTCGACGCTCGCGAACAGCGATTGCGAGAGAAGAAATCGGGCGCCGCGCTGCCGAATCTGGGCAAATTAGAGGATGTGGCTGAGTATTTGCTCGATCCCGCGGCCGGGGGTTATACATCGGCCAGCGAGACAGAGTTGGACACGGACGCTGAAGTGGAAGTCCTGGAGACGACGACGCAGAGAGTCTTAAGCCGCAAGGAAATGCAAAGGCAGCAAGAGGCACGGAAACAGAGTGGGGAAAAAGACGTTCCCGACTCCCATGTGCGGACAGCCTCGAATGTGGAGAAGCGGGCGGTGAAGCTCGTTGAACTGGGGCCTCGCATGCGCCTTCGGATGGTGAAAGTCGAGGAGGGAATCTGCGAGGGACGTGTCATGTGGAATGAATTCGTGACCAAGTCCAAGGACGAGGAAAAGGAGCTTGAGGAGAAATGGACGAAAAAGCGGCAAGAAAAGGAGGCCAGGAAGAAGGAGCAGCGCGAGAATGTGGAGAGGAAGAGGTTGGCGAAGAAGAACGCCAAGTTGAATAGTGGCAAGAATGGGGACGGCGAGGGTGGACAGAGCGAAGAGGAGGAATGGGACAGCGATGACTTGGACGAGTGGGACGAGGATGATGACATGGCTGACGAAGGTGGTGGAGGAAAAGATGGGGAGGACGAGGATGAGGACGAGGACGAGGACGAGGATGAAATGGAGGAGTAATTCCTGTTCTCATTGACACATAACCCAAGGCATTGCCTTTTGCATGACACTTCATGTCTCATCTGGTTCGAGCTTTTCGTGACTTCTGATGCGGGTCATGCCATCTATGCTCGTATCGTGTGCTCATCAGCTATCCTGCTCGAAACCGCTGCCATGATGTCCATGCCATAATTAGCGGTCCCTCACGCCCTGTTGCTGGTGAGAAGCCAGCCAAGCACAGCGCAGCACAGCACCTTTCCTGTTCTGAAATCCAAGACGGTCTGGTCGCTCACTTCATCGGTTTGGCATAGCGCTTGCACCAATCCCTCGCCTCCTTCTCGAACGCGGCTTTGTCGGTGCGGTACTGGTCGGCAATCTTCGCTTCCACGGCATCGTCCGGATTGGGCTCTGCATGCGGTACCACACAATCAGCTACTGTACCTGGGAAGCCAGGTTCTCTCCGCCCAGCCCAAAGCGTCAAGGATGGCAACGTACCTTTCAATAACTGTCTCGCAAACTCCAGCACGGCGAAGACCTTAGTGCTTGGCTTCCAGTCAGTCTCGCGCAGCATGCCCAGACACATGATTCCGCTGTTGGGAGGCGAGTCATTGGAGATGTTGGGATGGTAGATCTTGGTCGCGAACGTGACGGTGGGCGGCTTGAAGGGATAATTTTGGGGGAGCGTGAGATTCATGGCAAAGAGGTAGCCCTGGTGTCCTGTGTTAGTCTAAGTGCAGAGGCGAAACGTGATGTAGATGAACTGAGGCCCTGTTGAGAGCTGAGTCAAGGCTGAGGGTTCGCGGCTGGGGCGTCAGGGCCGACCATCGAGGCTCTTGCGGTCGAGTGGCCTGCCAGGAGAAAAGATTCTCAATTAAATATTCTGTCACAGGGACAACATACAGCGTATGGGGATCCAGCCGGGCCTTCGATTGTGACTCTCCACTCAAAGATGTTCGACTCATCGGCAAGGCCAACCGTCATGCCAGCTGGTGGAGATTTCGCAAGATCACCAAGTTCCTGTTGTGAGATTTATCAGTCATGGAGTTTCCGGAAGTCCGGGTGTCAACACCTACCTTTGCAATACGCTTTTGGGCTGCCATGTCTGTAAAGTCTCGTAATGACTGGTGAAAGTCGTGTTGAATCGTTCCTTGACAAACCCCTCTCACTGGTTAAAGCCCTGCCTGTCCGGCTTCCGGGCTGGAGAATGAACCAGTGGGGGCCAGTCAATGGAGCAGTTCTGAGAGAGGATGGTGGCGCTATGGAGGGTCGAATACGGGACGTTCGAGAAATTCGCTTTATCACAAGAAAGCGTGAAATCAATTTTATGGCGAGTGAAGATTGTTGGAAGACAATTAATTGTTTGTTATGGAAGTCCTGGTTGATCGTTGTCTGTCTCGAAAGCTGGCATCTGATCGGCCGTAATAAGTATCTGCATTGGTTCGGTGAAGCAATTGCCACCAGCAGCAACGAAGCAAGTCGCGGTTGCGTGACCCAGAATGGATATCAATTTTGCTGCAAAGAGGCTCGGAAGGTGCCTGTGTCCTTGTCTACCTGAGACCACTTCAACTGGCGAGGCGCCGCTACCTGAAAGCCCGCTCAGCAACAACAAAGTCCAGAATTGTGAACCACCCTCATGTACAAAGGTGACCTAGTCTATCCGACATCATCAATCATGCTATGCCCATCAACCGTCCGTACCGCTGCTCCTAAAAGTGACACACAGCCGGCAATATTCGTGCGTTAGATCTAGGACGTGTTGTGGTAGGTTCGTGCTCTGAACGATCGATCGAATCTTGACGGCGCCTTCTTCTTCAATAAGTTTGCGTATCGAATAGAAGAGCTCGGGCGAGAACTAAACCACCGTCAGTGGAACTCTTGGACATCACTAAGTGCAGCTTACCTCTGAGTACCATCGGTACTGCCATGTGATCAGACGGATCAAGCATGCAAGGATATTTCTGGTATCTCCCTTCTTTTCATACATTTTCAAAAGACCCTTCATTGCTTTCGGTGAGAATCGAATGTTCAGACACTGTTGATACGCTTCCAATGCCTCGTTTGTGTGATGTAGTCGTTCAGCAAGATCTCCGAGAATCTCCCACTCGGCAGCCGACTTCTTGTACTGCATTTGCTGTTGTCGATACTGACCCATTTCTGTTCGCCAGATGGTGTAGATCCGCAGGTCCTCGTAAAGCACCATGAACAGGTTATCCAGCCATCGTTCACAAAGGCGCTTGTTCTGGAACTGTGGATATTGTGCGTGATGCGGATCTGGCTCGTCATTTCCCGACTTGACTTCTTCAGCTGCGATAGTCGGCACAGGTTTCTCCATGGACTGGTCGGCCTTCAGTTCGGCGTTCTCATTCGTGCTCATGCCACCATTCAGCGTCGGCGCAGTAGAGGAAGCTCCATCGAGATCATCTTCGTTGTTTTTAGGCTCCTCTGTGCGAGAGCCGTCATCTGACTCATCGTCTTCATCTGCTCCATTTCCATTTGCTTTGGGATCCCCATTTGGAGTGCCGGATAAGGCAATTGTGCTAGCGTTTTTGCTAGCTGGCGTTTTGGGTGTGAAGGAATGTTGCCTTTCGGAACGATATTCCTCTTCCATGACAAAGACCTGACTCCGGGTTTTCAGGAGCGTGTCCCACCCAATGGCGGCTGCAATCCGTGTAAGCAAGCTGTATGCTTTCAAGAAAGTCCCTTGATATGTGGCAGCCTGGAGTTTGCGTAACGAGACATGTACTTGATCGTATGGCTCTCCTTGTCGAGGCTGTCCCTCGTCGATTTCATCCAGTGCGCTTTCTGGCAGGATTGGCAGAAGCACGCGACTCGGCTCAGGCATCCTCGGCGAGTCCTTGTCTTGGTATGAGAACATGGGACACGAGTTCAGAGTCAACAGCGCAAGATCCCACTGCTCCAGATCGACGTACACTTCCGCCAGCCGAGCCCAAGTGCTGAACTCACTAGGTGCAGCTGTGACCCCTTGTTTGGCCAACTCCAGAGCCATTTCACCTTCTCCTTTGCTCTCACAAAAAGAAGCTTGGCAGTCAAGAAGAGCGTAGTCCATTGGCACATCCTCCAACGAGTCATGCAGCAGCCGGACGGCCTGAATCTCCTCGTCGCCGTCTAGGAGAACTCGTGCCAGTAACGAGGATATCTCGACGTCCTTTGTGCGCAGCTTCTCGAACAAGTTAATTCCTGAGGTGTATCGTCCGGTGGTTCGGATGTATTTCAGCAGTCCCGCTGTGAGATGATTTGACACGACATTGGGGATTTGAATTTCTGGATCCGATCCCAGCTGCCGGCCACTGAAGAACAACCTTTCGGCCGCCTCGAAGAACCTGTGCTCCAGCTCAGTGTTAATGATTGGATTGAATCTCCTGACGCCAATGATCTTCTTTATCGTATCACCGCTCCCGTTGTCTGAGTACGAATATGCTCGCAGGACCGCGCAGAGGAACGTTTCCAGCCATAGACTCTCTGTTGCAACTCTTCTGTCTCCTCTTTCATCGACACAGTAGCTCTCGACACTCCCAGGTATTTTGACTTCAACCCGCATGTCCAGGTGCGAAAAGGCATTGTAGCAGCAATATAGCCCTGAGACCACCTTGTGCGTCTTGTCGGCAGGATTGAACGTCAAGGTATTTACGTATGCAGCCAAGCTCGCGGAGGAAGAAGCATCGATGCCGGTGACATGGTGGTATACGCCTGTTTGCTTTGCGCCAGCCTTTGTACTCTGCTTGACGAGGTGGACGAGGTCGGGGGGTCCTAGTTCACGCAGCCCAGGTAAGGACTCTGTCCGAGCATCTACCGCGAGACCAATATCCTCGTCCTCAATAATCCTGTCACAAGATAGTCAGAAAAGCCGCAGCAACACTCAAGGGAGGAGACTGACTCAGGCACAGCCGGCGTGACCATGGCCGCGTCCCCTCAATTGGTGGACTCGAGGGCTAGTTCCGGGCAGTGATGCTAGGGATGTGCTTGACGCGACAAATCGTGACCACTTGATGCAGTTGTTTCTGTGGGACAAAGCACAGTGTCTTGCACGGCGCGTTTCTTGTTCTTCAGGAGCCCTGCCCAGACAGTTGGGACGAAATAGGTTGCTACCGTGTCTCGTAGATTGGACAGGCGTCGCTCCAGGATTTTGGATGCCCCTGGCGCTGAATGCTCCCCCGTAAGACAGCCGGCAATATTGCCTGTTCAGGAATTCATGAGACGCGCTTCTCGACTGTCACTTCAGTCTCAACTCTCTCTTATGCCCGTGACGTGAATCATTATCACGAAAAGAGAGAAAGAAAGAAAGAACAAAGAGACAAATAAGTCCGTATCCTCGTCTTGGAGGCGCCGGTGCGACAGGAGATTATGATGACCATCCGCCACGGAATGAGATGTCGCATACCGATTCTCGCTGAGGAAGACAACCGCTGAGACGTCCATCATGTCCGGGTTCACGGCTCTGAACGTTGAGCCCGAAGATAAGTTCGAGGAGGAAGTCGACGACACCCGCGAGATCCAACTCGAAGAAGCCTTCAAGCTCTATCAAAATGCCCTCAAACTCCACTCTCAAGGCCCTCGATATTTCCCGGAGGCTCAAGAGGCCTATGACGAGTTACTCAGATCCGAGGTTTTCAAATACCCAGAGGTCGTTTCCGAGTTTGCGCATGATGAGCTAGATGACGAGGGTGCGGTAGCAGCTGCTCAGACAGATAACACCGCCCTGCCTCTGCTGCCCAGCAATGCCGCCGAATCATCGGCCAGCTCAATTCCTCAACTCATCTATCTCGCTTTCAAGAACAGAGGCCAGTTTATTCTTGATGCCGCTTGCCATCAGATGTCAGACAAGCAAGCTTCTCGTGCCGAGCTTTGCCGGTCTCATGCCGAATCCTCCAAAGAAAGCCTCCGTCAATTTGCACAAGCGCTCGAGCGTGACGACACCGACCTGGACCTATGGAAGAAATCAGCCCGCGTCGCCGATGTCTTGTCATCGCACAGAATAGCGCGTTTCTGCTTGGAAAGCGTGCTAGCAGGCGAGGTTGAGAATGGACAGCAGACTGTCGATATATCTGGTCTCGACGAAGCGTACGCCGCCGGCGAACTCAGCCAGGTGATTGATCTCGTTCATGACGACCTCAGCCGTCTCCAAAGCTCCAACATCCGACCCAAAGACAAGCTGTTGACCGCACTAAGAGAATCAAATGACCCATACCCGGACCTCCCAAAGCGTGCACAGACCCTCGAATATCTTGACGACAGATATCGACCTTTGAGCTTCACAGTACCTCGCGCAGACCTAAAGCCAGCGTCAACAGACTTGTTCGCGCTCGGGGAGAAGATTGCTGAGATTGTCGACAAAATTCATAATGACGAAGGCTCTCTCAGCTGCGCCACCATTGTTAAAGTCGTGCTACCAGACTCCAACTTGATGAGCGACCCTGCCGAGATGAAAGATGCGGAAAGCGAAGTGCATCCCAATGGCGCCGGCCAGAACGAAGTTCTACAGGGTCCTCTCTTGAGCCCAACGAAGAATGCGATGCAAGACGAATCTTCGACCGTAGCAGACATCATTGGTCACGAAAGTTCGGCGGCACTCGCCACCTCCGGGCAACCAGACGGTGATACGGCGGACTTGGCAGCGGATGGAGATACGATCGAGTTGCGAAGTGCTGCACCTCCACAGCCCGATTCTGCGGCTCTCCCATCACGAAAACGTTCCTCCGCCGTTGCTGGGTGGAACGAGGAGCCTGAAGGCCGGACAAAAAGCAAGAGACTGCGAGCAAGAGAATCAATGGCTGATGTCGCAGCACAAGAAGAAGACACGGCTCATGAGCAACCGCAGTACTTTCTCGGACAGCTGGCAATCCACGAGCAGGCTGATCAGGCATGGTTTGATGTGGCCAACACCCTTCTTGCGAGGTTCGATATGAAAATGTACCTCTCCACGGAACAAGCCAAGCAGTCATTCTGGACTGGAGCGGACGGCAGTGAACCGGGAAACCACTCTCATGCTTCTGAGAAAGATCTGCGCCTCCTCATGGACCTACGGCATGCTTTGACAAATTGGACGGATGAGAAGGGTCAAGCAATTGTTCATGGCCATAGTAGTCAAGACTTTCCAGAGAAGGCGACCGGCGTTTCACAATTCCTCCAACGTTCCAAGCTCGCTACGCCAAAGAAGTCTCAGCCATTCGAGGAGGCTGGCACGGCTGCATGGAGTTCACTGGTATCTCTTATCAACGAGGAACCCACGAATATCTACGATGCGGCCACCTGGTGGCTTTCCTCGCTCCTCACTGGTTGTAAAGTGAAAGGCCGACTTTATGCGTCCCCTTACTTGCTCACGGCATGGTCTACGGAAACGAAGTATACGGCAGCGCACTTGGCCTGCGAAACCGAAGACTATCTGTGGCAGTCTCTGCAACAGCGGCATGAACGCCTTTCGAACCTTGGCGAAGCGACTTGTGACCAGCAGAGCAGCAGTTTCCAGCAGGTGCAATCCTCCTTCGAGCTGGTAGAAGGGCTGTTTGAGTTATTCCTCGACGTGGCCGCGACAGTCTCAGACCCGAACGGCCCGTTCGACCCTGTTAGTCGAGGCGTGAATATTGAGCGTGTGAACAGATGGGCAAGTCTAGCCAGCGACTTCATGCAGCTTTACCTCAGCTACTCAGCTCGGGGTTTGAGTGATCCACTTGTTCTGCGCTTCATGTGGACATCAGTTGCTCACGTCAGACTGGACGACGATGTCGAAAAGGCACACCTTGTTCTACTGCTCGAGGAACTAAAAGCATTCTTGGAGAAGAGTGAAGTCAGCCCAATCTACCTGCCAAACAATACGGCAATGCCTGAGATATCTGTTCCGGCAATCGAACACCAACTATCGGTGCTCAGCACAAGCGACTTCTTTGCCAGAGTTTTCGATGATGATAACAGCGATCCGGTGGCAGTCATTGAAATGCTGGAACCCATGTTGGACACAATAACACGGTCCCAGGCTAGTTCCACACCGGGCGTGAGCACACCACTGGCGCGAACAACACAAGCAGAGGAATTGGTGAAGTTCCTCGAGTCTAACAATGCGACACTGACATTGGCACTTTGGAGACGCCTGCAGAATGCTTATACCTCGATTTCATACCCGCCGAAAGTGGTATCGTGTCTCTTCCGCATCATCGAAACAATTGTCGGTGAGCTGCATACCGCCCGCCATCTCGACCTCGATGCGACATGCCGCCAAGTTGAGATGCTCAAATGGCTGCATGATGTCGACGAGGTGATGATCAAATTGCTCAGTAAAATTCCCGATGAGCTTGCTCCCTTCGAATGTATCGACGACTCCCACCTTCGTTCTTCACTGAGTGCCATTACTCTGGTCATTAAGCTCCTCTACGGGTTTGTAATGTACGATGACTCGGTCCGCGTCGGCCAGACTTCGGGGCCTCAATTCAAGGGTGCGCTCTCTGCAAAGCAGTATGAGAAAGCCAAAGATCGGATGAGGGAGATGCTTATCCGGGCTTCCAACCTTCAATACCTCCTGCTGAAGGAAGCAACAGTGCAAGACCCTTCATCTTACTCCCGTGCCGCGGATGGCTTGGCAGAGTACCTATGTACCATCCATGGTTGTCTCGGCATTCGACAATATTGCAAATATGCCAACAAGGCCTTGGTCAAATTGGTGAAGAAGGAGTTGAGTACCTTGCCAACTGAGCAGGATTATGCTGCAGAGGTGGCACAGGTCTTTTACGACCTTTATCAACTTCGCTTTGCTAGTGGCATTGGGGACGTTGACCACGGCTGTCCCTCTGAAACTTTGGATAGGAAGACAGCTTGGACATTGATACCGACAATTATGAAGTATGCTGAACGATTCAATGTGAAGGATCTCAACAAGAGCGAACTCAGGGGCACAATCGACAAGATGCAACAAGCGCTTGGAGTTGTTAAGAGCTCTCCAGCACTACAGCAGAATAGGCTGATCATTCGCGATTACCTTAAGGGGGTGATCAAGGCAGCTGATCTTTTCGATTGTACCCGAGGTGTTCTGGCTCTCCCAACAGGACCGGTGAAAGCGGACACAGAAGTTGCAGCAAGTACTGGCTGGTATTTCATGCTTGGTCACCTTACCCTGTCCAAGTACAAGTCTGTGAAGCGTGTCAGTCCCACCTCGACTGAAGATCTGGACTCCGCAATGAATCTTTTCCGCCAGGACTTGAATCACGACACCGAAAAGTGGGAGACTTGGTATCGCTTGGCACAATGTTTCGAGGCCAAGATCGAAGACGATTTGATTTGGAACTCGGCTAAGCTTAACGACTCCAGAAGTGATATCTCTTTGCTGGAACGTCAAGCGATTCACAGCTACATGATGGCCACTGCGATTGCTTTTCGCACCGAGGACGACCAGCCGGAGACGGCCGCGAAGATCGAAGATATGCTCGGAGAGTTTGGCACTCGTCTATACGCCTCTTCTCGCCCTCCTTTGGATATGGAGGCATTCAGGACCGACAAGCACATGCGCCATCTAAGCAGCACCGCAGACCAGACGATGTCCAAGCAACCCTATCACCAGCCAGCACGACAATTCGCGCTGTGGTGCTTTGCAGCTAAACTCCTCAAGACCAAATTGACGGACCGCCCCAAGTCATGGATGTCACATTACACACGAGCTAAATGCTTGTGGAAGATCTTTCAGAGCCCGGAGAATCGTGGTCGTGTCCGGGCAGAGCAAGTCATCGAGGCAGTCGTTGCGGCCATCGAAGCGCTCCCTAAGAAAGAGAAGACCAATGAGCCGATACTCGAGCCACATCTCAAACTTGTCTCCATTGTTCACAAGATGCTCAGAGGTGGCAAGATTGACTATCAGCAAGCGTATCAATACATGCAGGCGACCCGATATGCGCATGGAGTGAACCTGTCTCAAGATGAAGATGGTGTTGACTGGGAGCGATACATGATTGATGTCTTGAAGAGATTAAGCCACGCAGACAAGGCCAACTGGCACCACAGAATCACCAACCGTGCGGCCCATGTGCTGTACGATGAGTCGCCGAACCTGGCAGGAGCCCTTGGGGCGAAACACGAGTTCACCCAGCAAATCTTCACAAAGACCATGACGATGCAGGTCTGGAAGCCCGAACACGAGCGTCCGGGTCGCCACTACGTGTATACGGGACGATATGTCTCTTTCTTCGTCCATGTCCTCGAGCAACTGAACGACCGTGGAAGCCTAGACGCCCTTGTCCGCCGCATTAGAAGAAGAGCCATCGATTTTCTCGACCATACCAAGATATGGGAAGAGGCTGCTACGACTTATGTACGGCTGCTGAGGCGCCACGGCCAAATCCCAGAAGGACGAGAAAGAGCGCTATTTGATGGCATGAACCACGAGGAGTTTAGCAAGAAATCAGAGGCAATGGAACAGTGGTCACACGATCCGGACACTAGTTCGGTATACCTGGATGTCATCCGAGAGGGTGTCGACCTGAAACGTCTCAACAACAGCTTGATGAAGGGTCCTGTGATCGATGATCTGATTGGTGATGCCTATGCATGTCTCTACGAAGAGTTCGTGAAGCAGCTGCCGCCCGACGAACAGCCGAAGCCCCAACCTGCTCCGCTTCCACAAGGCACGTTCATCAATATGACGACTGATATGGGCGATGGTGAAAGCGAGGAGGCACAGCGAGCTCGCCTCAGCGATATGCTCCGAGCCCAAGGAGATGGCGCTACCGACGGGCCCTTGTCGCTGTCAATTTCCGCCCCTGTTGGCCTCGGGTTGCAGAATGCACCCGCTCCACTTGCCGGTGTCGCCGGTCAACCAGTTCCTGAAGTCCAACGCGACCGAGCCAAGCCCGGACGTACGAAGACTGTGACCCGACGCGAAATCCAACGCAAAGCCGAATCGGCCATCGTCAAGCCACCACCTATCAAGACACCCATTCTATCCAAGAGATTCGCCGTGGAAATTCCCTCAAAGACCGAAATCGAGACAGAATCGCCGGTCAACAAGCGCGTGGCGGACGCCAAAGATGTGGACGAGAGCCGGGCAACTTCTAGAAGAGGCAGCATCCAAGATAGCGCGGACGGGGATGCTGACGCCGAGGACTCCGGAAGCGAACTTAGTGAGCTCGAGGATTTGAATGAGGACGAGAAACAAATGCTGGCCGAGTTTGAGAATGCGCAGAATGCTGATCGGGAAGGCGAGGACTCAGATGAGGAACGGGAGAATACTGGCAAAGAAGGCGACGGATACGGCGAAGGCGATGATGAAGACGACGTCATGCAGGATGCAGAGACCGCAATTGAAATCCAGGATTCGCAGGAAAACGCGGCTGAAGAACAACCAGAAGACAAGGACAGCCCTGATGTGGAGTTCCACGATGCTGAAGACTAGTGGGGTGACTGATAGCATCATAGTCTCGTTCAGCAACGAATGTAACAACACAGGGAGGCACTAGAAATGTGGCAACGAGGTTGTCACAAGCTGCTGCACAACTAAACATGTCAATGAGCAACATCGTCTGCGGTTTAGACTCGACATGGTGCTGTTACGACGTAGCCTCGCGCATGTAGCCTCGTAGCCTCGCGCATGTAGTCTCGCAGCCTCGTGCGTCGTCTCGGCACACGATACCCCGAGGTACATAGTACATAGGCTTTTAATTTTCGTCCACCGTGACCATCAACCACAGCGCGCACCCACGTCCTGGGATACTCCCACCTGCGCGCTTCTCTTTCATGCCTCTTTGCCATTCTGCCGCCCCAATATTCTCGACGAGCAGGCTCGTCTCCGTCTCTTCAGCCCAGCGGCTTTTCCACACCTTTTCGCGTTACCAGTCCAGCTCCGCAATGACGGATCATGACTCGAATGAACGGACAGCCACCACCACAACGAGTTCAGATACAACCAAAAGTCCCGCTACAAGTATCTCTACAGTTACTACGGCCGCCGCCGCCGCTGCCACTACCCTCGACTCCTCATCCCACACGCCCGCGGAACTCCAACTCCTCTCCCGCATAACAAGCCTGGAACGCCAACTGCGCGAGCAGACCGCCCTTCTCGCCCGCCTCCGCACCACCCGCACCACCGCCTCGAGTGCATCATCCCCTTCCACGTGTGTCTCGACGGATGATACCGTCGCCCAGCCAAGTCCTCCCGTCGCGGCGCCACCAGGAGGCAATCGGTCTCGCTCTCGGTCTCGATCCCCTCGTCGCGCCCGGGCCTTCAACCCCGCAGCCTACACGACGCGACACATCGCGCTCAAGTTCGCGTACCTGGGCTCTCGGTACGGGGGGTTCGAGCACGCCAACGGCAACGTGACACCGCAGCCGACGGTCGAGGAGGTGCTGTGGAAGGCGCTGCGCAAGGGCCGGCTGATCAGCCCCGAGGTGCGGCCCGGCGCGGACGAGAGCGTCAATGTGCTCTGGGGAGCCGAGGAGAGGAGGCGGGTGTACGCTCAGGAGGACAGGGGTGGTGGGGCAGGGGACGCAAAGTCGGAACCCAACGATACCGCGAAACACAGCCCTCCGAGGGTGAGGAGACTCGAGCTCAATTGGGATGGCTGCCAGTATAGCAAATGCGGGAGGACAGATAGGGGAGTCAGTGCGTTTGGGCAGGTCGTGGGGATACGCGTGCGGAGTAATCGGCCCGTTGAGAAGAAGAAGAGAGGGACGATGACGACGACGACGAAAGAAGAAGAGGAGGAAGATGCGGCTCGTGAGCTTGGCGAAAACGGTGGCAATGGCGATACAAATACCGACACCAATACCGAGGCAGAACCTCTGCCAGAGGAAGGTGACATGTCCATGCCTGCTATAGACAGCGAGGATCTCGCGACGGAGACGTACAAGAAAGAGTTCGACCCCGTGGCCGACGAACTGCCGTACATTTCGCTCCTGAATGCGCTTCTCCCGCCCGACATCCGCGTGCTGGCGTGGTGTCCATCCCCGCCTGCAAACTTCGACGCCCGCTTCTCCTGCCGCGAACGCCGGTACAAGTACTTCTTCACGAATCCGGCGTTCTGTCCCACGCCGGGGCCCTTGGGTTTACTTCGTGGCGGCGATGGTCGGGCCCGCGCCAGGGAAGGCTGGCTGGACGTGGAGCGCATGAAGATCGCGGCCAACAAGCTGGAGGGCGTGCACGATTTCCGCAACTTTTGCAAAATCGACGCGAGTAAACAGATGAGCAGTTGCGTGAGGAGGATCACGTACTGCGACGTGGTCGAGTGGGATGGGAGCGGACGGGCGGTGGTGGAGCACGAGGGATTGAGTCAGCGCGACGGCGGTGTCGTCGACCCCGTGCTTGGAAACGAGACTGGCGGCCTTCTGCAGCAGACGCAAGCGGGAGAGCCGAAAGTGTACGCTTTCTGTGTCCACGGGACGGCATTCCTGTGGCATCAAGTGCGCTGCATGGTCGCGGTACTGTTCTTGGTGGGACAGGGTCTGGAGGATCCCAGCATTGTGGACGAGTTGCTCGATGTGCAGAAACATCCAGGGCGGCCCATGTACGAGATGGCGGACGACGCGCCGCTCGTGCTCTGGGATTGTATTTTCCCGGACAAGGACCCCGACGAGCCTGCTGTCGAGGAAATGGTGGACTCGTTACACTGGTTGTATGCTGGGGATGAACGCACTGTCCCTTCCCTTCTCAAGAGTCCTGCCAAGAATGATGGCAAATTCGGCGTTGGTGCCGTCGTCGATGAACTGTGGACGCAGTGGCGTGAGGCCAAAATGCAGGAGATCCTCGCGGGGAGTCTCCTCGACCTGGCCATTTCTCAGGGTGACCAGAGTCCTTTCCACCGGGGAGTCACTACCAGGGATGGTTCTTCTCGCAGTGCTGGTGTGAGGAGTCAGAAGGTCTTCGATGGGAGTGCTCGCGCGAGGCTGCAGGGGCGTTATGTCCCCGTCATGAAGAAACCCCGGATGGAAAGTCTCGAGGTGTTGAACGCGAAGTGGTTGAAAGGTCGGAATGGGAGACGTGCCCGCGAAGAGACGGACGCTACTGAGGGGGCGTGATTTCGAGGAGACGAATGCGTCAGTAGAGTAAGTCAAATAGCATAGGCTTGACGGTGGACACCGTATCATCGAATGCCCGAGTACAAGCATTTTCGAGCCCCTCGCCAGACTTCCTCGAGGATGTCGCGCCGGGGGAGCAGCGTCTGTGGCCCCAGAAGGTCAGCATCCGAATCGACGGTGGATTAGCGTGGCAATGCAATGCAACGCAATACGCGCGTTGAAACGCACCGGAAAGACAACCACCACCTCGGTAGCGCCCTCGACAATCACGGCCAAGTAGAATCTCACTTCCAGCCCCTTGAACGCTTCATGGATGACGATATCCTGGATTTGCGTCGTCGGGATGAACGTCGTGGTTGGCCCTGTGAAGAAGTACCGCGATGAAGTCGACGTCTGGATTCCCAGGCCTTGTAGGACGAGGAGAGATTCTTCTGGCCAGGACGTTAGAGGGGATTCAGATACAGATTTGAGACTCGATGAAGAATACGAATGAAAACCCACATACCGACATAATCCCTCCGTAGACAAGCGTACATGACCACGAGGCTGACGGGGACGAGAATCCACCATTCTGCTTTGTCGGCGAGGAATCTGATGAACCCGCTGAAAAGACTGAGGTGGAGCAACAAGTCGGCGTACGCGTCGAAGCTGGCCGACTGTACCGACCCCTGGGCTTTGACCACGGTGACCAGCGCGGTATAGAAGACCAGGAGCGCGCGCAAGACGTGCTTGAGGAACGTGAAGATCCGTGCTTTCACTCTGGGGATATGTACCCGGGAAGAATTGGTTGAGACTACGGGGACGTGAAGGGGGCGTGTTGAGACCGTGAAGGACACGGTCGTCGGGCTCGGGAGGTAGATTGAGAAATGGTGCATTCCGGGGCCGAGGATCATGCCGGCGTCAACCTAACCTCGCATCAGGCGGCGAGGGAGGTCGAATGGTTGATTTTGATTGTTCTATGAAGAGTACGGAGTAGATGGGGACTTGAGACTTTGGCGGCCACGTTGAAGACGTGAAAGGCACGCCGGAAGATTGTCTCTCCGGAGCGAGTCAAGGTCATTTCTGGCGAACATCTAATTAATTATCGACGTGTTTTGTGTAAGTCGAGTTTGGATGTAGACTATGATCAAGAAACCTCATTAAACTTCAGGCCTACTGTAATTGACTTATTGGCGGTTACTGGAAGAGTTGGTCGAGTTTTTGTTGCCGGACTTCAGGTCGGCGGTTCAAGGGTAGATACCTAGGTACTAATTAGATTGATAGATGTTCCGGCCGATGACTCTATTGCCTCGAATAGCGGCGCATTCCTGCAGCCAGTGGATGTCAAAGATAGAGAAGCGAGGTCACCCAGGGGTAGAGCAGAGCAGAGCAGAACAGCGCATCGCATCGCAGCATTTCAGGCTCTCTTACACGTCCTCTCCATGCCCATATACCCCAGCCCTCAGATCCTCTCCCTTGCATACACAGCCACACTCACCCCGTCGCACTCACACTCCTACTCCTCTCCCCTTGTCCGCGTCCATATCCCATTTGGGCCGTACGCTCGTGCTCCCGTCCAAGACTGGCGACGAATCACCATCACCACCATCGCCACCATTGCCACCCCTCACGCCACGGCCAGCACCTAGGCCAGGCTTAGTCTTGTAACTCTCTCCATCCGAGTCTGAGCTCACGCCGGGACTACGACTCTCCCCGTACAGAATCCCATGCTCGATCTCGTCCAGCGTCCGGCCCTTCGTCTCCGGGATAAGCAGCGTGCAGGCCGCGCAGAGGGCCATGATCCCCGCCAGAATGCCCAGCACGGCAGACAGGCCGATCGCGTCCGTCAGCTGCGCAAAGGAGAACGCCGTGACGATGGCGCCGGCTTTGCCCGACGCGGCGGCGATGCCGTGTGCGGTGCCGCGGACGCGGGTGGGGAAGACCTCGACGGGGAGGAGACTAGATGTGCGTTAGAGCGCGAAGAGGGAGTAGGCAGATGTGAAGAACGGAAGCTTGCACACGTGCACATATGCACACATCGAGATAGGTAGGGAGAGATGATGGGTAAGAGGGGAAGCCCCGGAGATTCAGAAGACAAGGAACACGATGCGACGACTTACAAGGTGGTGCAATTTGGACCCATGTTCAGAAAGAGCTGCGCCAGCGTGAATATGGCGATCAGCCCGCCGGTGCTGGTGGAGCTGTCGGTCAGCACCCCTGCCCAGATGGCGTACAGGCCGGCCACGACGGCGCTGCAGTAGAACTGTTGTCTCACGCGGCCGATCCAGTCGGGTAGGAAGATGCCGATGTAGTAGCCGGGGAGGTAGCCCTATAGATGTGAATATGATTGTGAGTAATGGTAGTCATACCAACAGAAACATTCGATTAGGGTGCGCGCTGGGCTGGCAGATGCGATGTGCAAGGTGCAATTTGAAATCCGCCTGCTGGACGAAAGAGTCGAGGGTGTGAACGTGAAGGCGAAGGGTTATACATACCGCTGCTGCGACGATGATGTTTCCGACAGCCGTATTCCACAGTGTTCCCCATGGGGTGTCGGCTTTGCCGTAGCCGATCCGCGAGAGGATGACGCTCTGGTTCAGGTTGACGCCGTAGAATGCGATATCGCTAGGGTGCAAGTAACAATTAGCATTAGTCGTCAGACATCCGAATATATGCTTCCAGGGCACAGGGGCAGAGAAACTGATTGCCAGTCTTGAGCAGGCTAGTAACTTACAAGAGAAACCAGCACATGCTGACGGCGAAGAGGACCTTCGCGTGCTTCCACTCGGAGAAATAGGTTTTGAAGTCTTGGAACTGTTCGTGAAGGCCCCGTCTGCCGTCCTTCTTCAGGGACGTCTCCTCAGCAACATCTGGGATCGTGTCGTTCCGTTAGCGGGGGACTTGAACTGACTCGCCTCGCCGCGCCCTGCCTCGCCTCCGATACGGCGTCACCTAGCCGACCTTTCCTGGGAGAACTCACATTGTTGGTAGGGCTTGCTCTCAGGCATGGTCAATCGAAAGTAAAGCGTGATGATCAGGGGCACCAGTCCGAGGGCGAACAAGAGTCGCCAGACCCAGTGGAGATGGTAAATATTATGGTCCACCGAGGACTTGAACGCGGCAAGGAGAACGAGGTACGTGATGCCAGCAGTGAAGCCGCCGAGACCGATGGACGCAAAGACAGCGAGCACGAGCTTTGCCCGCGAATGTAGCGGGTTGTGTTCGGCGGAGAGTGCTGAAGTCATGGGATAGTCTGCCCGTATGAACAATTTGAGATCAGTCGTTCACGTTTTGTGTCACGGTAGTCTGGAGCGCGGACGACATACCTCCGCCGATTCCAATGCCGGTGAGGACGCGGAAAACAGACATCCACGCAATCACATCGTGGTGGCTGAAGCCTCGCCAGGGCATTAGCACGCACAGAAGCGTGCCGAGGATGGTGATCATGAGTTCCTTTCCGTAAATCCGGTGGCGGCCTAGAGCGTCGCCGAGGATGCCGACTGGATGGCGTTAGCATCTCCGAACTGCTCGGCCGATGCGCGATGGTGTATGTATGGACGATCTTTCAGGGCGTCTAGAACAACTCACATCCAAGCTGGCCGACGATCATGCCAATCGAGAGCGCCGCCTTGATCGTGTCGGCCGGTAGTGTTGGGATCTTGTTCTCCTCATCCGCGAAGTAGAGATATCCGAGCATCGGAACAACTGGGAGGGTCAGGAAAGTCTTGAGAGAATAGGGTACAGGAAAGGATAAGGGGATACCTAGTCCGATGCTCAAGTTCAGGTATCCATCACCGAACAGTCCAACACCCGCGACGACCAAGAACTTGAGAAACCCGAACTGAGATGTTGTCTCGAGCATGGTGAGTGAGATTGCCGAGAAAGGTGCTGCTAGAACAGATCACTGAGTCCTGGTGTTCTCGAGCGCAGCCATCTCGCCACCGCTGCCCGTGCTGAAGATATACATATTCCTGTGTACCTGTTCTTGCACGAGGCTGATGCGAGATCTCGGGCCAAGACCGCACTGAACAGGAGATCTCTTCAACACCCTTGGAGGAAGATAGACATGTTGCCAGTGGCTTTCATTGTGGATAACGAATGGACAAACCAACCTTTACCACGTGCAAGTCGGCTTCGAAGGAGAAATTCAGACGGGATCGACGAGGAGTGAGAACAGACCTTGACTTCATCCCGGCGCCTGGCACGAAGTCCGCAGCGCGAGCGAGCAGAACTTACCGGTAATCCGATCCCTCAACTCCCATAACCCCTGAAAATGGCACATGGCAAGAGAGAGAGGCCAATCTCTCGCTGCTGGGCCGATAACACTGAGAGGGAGGAGTGAGAAATGGCGAGCCAGCGAGGGCTAGCGATCCCCGCACGTGGCCATGCTAGAGCCTGTTCGGGCGTAATGGAAAATCTTTGTAATGAAGGCCAAAGACCTCAGGATAATGACCAGAAAACGCTATGTATTGTGGTAAAGCGTCAGCGCTACTGGTATGTTTCCATACACCCCACGAGGAGTAACAGCCGAGCACGTAAGCAATTGACCCAAGATTGATTGGACGGACGAGCACGACATCATTGAGCGGCAACCTCTGCGATTCCTTGCTTGTCTTCTTGCGATGAGTCCCAGAGAACTCGTCCTCGGTCAGACATGTCGGCGGCGGCGAGCCCGGTAGATCTCGGCTCATCAGCCGTCCAGGCGTTGCGGGAGTCGTTCGGCGACCGCAAGCCGATCGACATCAGCCGGAAGATCACAGCATGTGTGGCGTGCCGGAAGCAGAAAATCAAATGCCACATGGGAGATGGTGTCCCGCCGTGCACGAGATGCAGGAAGAGAGGGCTGTCGTGTGTTGTGAATCGGAGTCTGCAGATGCTCCTTGAAAGCGATGTGGCGTAAGTCTACTCTTTAGTGAGGGTCAAGAACCCATGCAAAAGCCCTCTGGGTGACAGGCGACGAAAAGCCGTGTGCAGGAGGGTGTCCGAGCGATCCATTAGACGAAGCCTAGATGGCCTTCATCCAGAGCAGATCGGCGGTATGCTGTGACTTGATGCGCACGACACTGACTAAACCAGGTGGAAGGCAAACATCGAGGAGAAACTGCGACAGCTCGAAGATTCTGTCAACCTTCTCCACCAGAGATCTGGATCAGATGCCCCTTCAAATGCCCTGCTGCAGGCGACCGCGGCACCATCACAACAGGCCCCCAGCCAGCCCGATGCCACCATGACGACGGCGACGACGACCGGGCAGCCTCAGCAAAAGGAGCAAGGGTGGGAAGTCGTGATGGACATGAACAGGGGCCCGGCCGTCATCCCTGCCTCATGCGTGTCCGAGGTATCGGATGCTTCGCCAGCCGCGACGCGCCAAAGCCTCGTCGACGACTTCGACCTGATCGACCGTGGCATCATCAGTCTGGACGACGCCGAATCCTTCTTCCGCCTGTACGCCCGACGCCTCGACCACTTCTTGTACACGATCCTGGCCGAGCATGACTCGCTGGCAAGCGTGAGGAAGAGCTCGCCGCTCCTCACTGCCGCGATCTGTGCCGTGGGAGCCCTCCACACGCCGTCCAACTTATATTACGCATGCTATCAGCACTTTGTCAGCCTCGCGTCCTCGAGGATGTTCTCGAAGCGGAACAATCACGATGACGTGCGTGCCTTCTGCATCGGTGCGTTTTGGCTGAGCGATATCTCGTGGACTCTGGTCGGCGCAGGCAAGTACATCTCATTGACTGAGACCCGCTGACTGGGCTGACACGGTATGTGTAGCTGCGCGGATTGCGGGCGAGCTGAACCTTCACCGCTGTATTCCAAAGGCGCCACACACGAAGAAAGCATGCTACTTACGCACCCGACTATACTATCTGGTTTTTGTGTGTGATCATCACTTCTCCATCTGCTACGGAAGGCCGCCTCTGACACGGGACTTTGGCGCAATAACGCCTCCCAGTCAGTTTCTGCAGTCCGAGTTCGCGACTGAAGACGACGCCCGGCTGGTCAGCCAGGTGGAGATCTGGACCATCAGCACCCGCGTCTTCGACCAGTTCAGTCTCGACCCTGAAGCGCATCTCTCGGACCAACTGATCCCACAATTGCGGCGGCTGAGTATCGCCTTAGACACCTGGCGTGCCGACTGGAACGAGAGGTTTCACGTCAACGAGTGCGTCGGGAACTATCCACGAAAAGGAGTAGGCCTTCATTTCCACTTCGCAAAGCTGTTTTTGTGCTCCCACGTCTTCAGGAGGGCCCCTGCCGCCGAGGGCGAGCATTTGCAACTGGATCCTGATTTGCAGGAGTTCGCCACGAATGCGGTACACTCGGCGACATCCATTCTCCAGGTCATTGCTGCGGACCGTGAGATCCAATCATATCTGCATGGGCTTCCCACGTACTTCGATACAATGATCGCATTCGCTTTTGTCTTCTTGCTCAAAATCCGGATCAAGAACCCCGCAAATCTCAGAATCGACAAGGCTGGCATCTCGGAGACTCTGGATGCCCTGGCAGTGGTGCTGGAAAACGTGACGACAACCATGCACCCAAGACATCTGCTGACAAGCATTGCTAGCAGTATGAGAAAGCTGCTTGACCGGTTCCTGCACGGTGCGGGCCAAGAGGCCGCTCCGGCTCAATCTCAGGCCGTGCCTGGACCGCAACCGCCTTTCGACCTGGACAATCAGTGGCTCAGCCCTACAGATGCGATGTTCCTCGAGAACTACGACTTTCTGTATTCGCCAGGTGCGGACTTGAACTTCGACCTCGACCTGGGAGTATCTCATCACCAGTAATGAATGTGCAAGAGCTGTGCTCAATTCGCGATTCCCCCCTCCCCTTCACCAATTTAGCGCAATATCAAACGCATCGAAGTTTCTCCAGTCGCGGTCAGTAGGTGGATTGTCGGCAGGTAGTGATTTCAGCAGAGGAATCTGTTGCTCTGAGAGGCCGCCGTGAGATCGGAGGCGATGATCGCTGAGCTCGCCGAGGGCATGCTCTTCCCGTCGGCTTCCGAGCACTGCATTCTTCTGAGAGATCAGAACAATATCTCCCTCACGATCGAGAGGCATCTCGAACATCTCAGCCGCGGTAGCTCCATCGATAGCCAGTAGGACTTCAGGGAAGGAGCGAAGATGGTCCAGGGCTGCTTTGACGCCAATCTCGGGATGATTCAGGTACACCCGGACAAAGGAGCCTAGAGCGCCGTGGTGTCGGACAAATGGATCCGTGATCGGGCAGATGACCCTGGACGAGCCGGCGCCGAACTTGAGGTCCAATTCCTCCTCGACGAAAAGCACATTTGGCGTACCGTCGTCGTTGCATTTGTCACTCATTCCGTGATCACCAGTGACAGTAACGGTGGCGCCCAATTCGACGAGGCGTCCGATGCAATCATCGATAGCTGACATGAAAGAATTGGCTTCCTTGCTTCCAGGCGCATGTTTGTGCTGAACGAAGTCAGATAGCGTCAGGTAGAACAGGTCTGCTTTGTCTTCCTCGAGAAGTTTGACACCCGCTTTCAGAACAAACAGAGACAGGTCTCCGGAATACTGGCTTGGTGTCGGTAAGCCTAGCCATTTCGCAACATCAGAAATCCCGTTATCTGCAGCTGTGCATTTATCGGCATACTGTGCGGAGAAGGAGATGTCTCTGGAGAAGTCCAGGCCGTGGTTGATGATCGCTCGTAGCTTGTCCTTTGCCGTGATGGCAGCAACACGCACGCCGCGCTTCGACATCTGCTCTAATATGGTCGAGCCACGGAGCAGCGAGTCATCAAGCACCATTTCTTCCTTTCGAGTTGCCCGGTCGAGGAAGAAATTCCCCGAGATTCCATGCACGGCCGTGGGGGCACCAGTGATGATGGAGACGTTGTTCGGGTTCGTGAATGAAGGCATGGCGCATTTCGCAGTGACCGCAAAGCCTGACTGCACGAATTTGGCCATGTTGGGAAGAACAACGTCGGAGATACCTTGCTCGAGATATTCGGGGTCAAACCCGTCGATGCAGATCACCACCGTCGGTCGTTCGGGAAGCTTGTATTTCCTTCCGTGTAGTTCGAAGCTGGAGCGGGATTCTGAAAATTGTTAGATCCATCGGCATCGGAGTTGGGCTCGCGAGCAATTCACTTACTGAGTAGGTTCATGGTTGCCATTCGCTCGTAGTACTCGAGTGGCAGAGTTTTGATGTTTGGCACTTTTGCCATATCGTCCCATCTGCGAACAGCCAGTTTGGCCTCCAGAAGGGGGTCTTTTTGGGCATCGCGGACTTGGTCTTCTGTGAAGGTGCCGCCCTGTTAAGTGTCAGCTTGTTCCCAGGCTCGTATCCCGCCCCGGACCAGAGCGAGGTCGATCGTACCTGGAATTTCAATGTCGTCTTGCTTGACTCGCTTAACCCTGCATAATACTCCCGATCGACGGCGGTCAAGTACCGCTTGGCCATAACATGTGCGCCCACCAATTGACATATCGTCTCGCTGAACCCTAGAGCGCGAAGATATTTCTCGCCAAGTACTTCATGGCTGGCGCGACCGACAAACACACCATCTGGAGCGATCATGGCTGGCATGTCCTCTGCGGCGGGGATGAAACGGCCGACATCGTGCAGCAAAGCGCCGAGAATGGTGTCGTCGTCCGCGCCGGCTTCAACCGCCAGTTGCGCAGCTTGCAGCGAGTGCTCGAGTTGGGAGACGTTCTCACCGAGGTAGTCGCCCTGGCCCTGGACCTTGATGAAGTGGAATAGTTCTTTGACACAGGCCAGGGTGTGGCGCTCAACAGACTGTAGCATTTTGCTGAACTCGTCGGTTTGCGCGAATCTATGAATCTGAACGTCTCGTGGCTTGTGCGACGAGTTTGTACCAGGACTGTGATGGGAACTGTGACAGAGATGATGATGCGATAGTCAAATATCTCGTCGAGCTCGATGCATTTGTTCTTCCTTAACTTGCTGCCACGTTCGGTCAAGCATAACCTGCTCGGTAGACAGCCGACGTTGTTTCCTGCTTCGGACTGAAGATCGAGCTCTTCAGCTTGTGCGGTTCAACTTTCCAGACGACAAAGGGCGTATTGAGGCTACACAGACACCAGCTTTGGTGGGACAGATGGATAAAAAGTTCCACTGGTAGCATGGCACTGATCAGATCTTGAGTTCAGAGTCCAAGAGCGGAGACCAGCCGATCGGGCGGCTACGGCACGAAGACCGCAACCCGGAGTGACAGCGCGAAAATCGGTATACAGATCTGCAGTATTAAACCAGCGGGGTATTTCTGGATGCGGTCGGCGGTTAAGAGTCGTACAAGGTGCATTTTTGAGATTGGATCGATACGAATAACCTGGGCTTGCCCATACCAACTGTAAGATCTCGGACAATTGGGAAAAGCATGGCATCCTTTGTGCCGAGTCCTGAACTTATCGAGCAGTTCAAGCGCGATGGATACCTGCTCCTTCGCGCAGAAGAGCACGGTTTGGTCAAGCCGGATGACCTCCAGACGTGGACAGAACAAGTCCGCTTATGGCCGTCTGAGAAAGGCAAATGGATGCCCTACCATGAGGTGAACACAGATGGCACGCGACAGCTGATGCGGACCGAAAACTTTGTGGACTACCACCCTGACTTTCACGCGCTCTTGTGCGGCGAGGCCATAGCACAGATCTTGAAGAGTCTTTCTGGAGACGTAAGTCGACTCATCGTTCGGCTGTTCAGATTGGCTGACGGAAATTCTTCGCCAATGTAGGACATGCTGCTCTTCAAAGACAAGATCAACTACAAACTGCCATCAGGCAATGGCTTTGCAGCACACCTGGACGCACCAGCATACGACCACATCGGCAAGATCGAGCACTTGACCGCGAACTTTGCCGTGGATGAGGCCACGCTTGAGAATGGGTGCATTGAGGTTGTACCCGGCTCCCACAAGATGGACGTCGAGCTTGCTCATGGGGGTGCCATTTCCAAGGGGTGGGAAGACAGTCATGAATGGACACCAGTCCCGCTTCGACCAGGTGACGTGCTGCTGTTTGGGAGCCATCTCGCTCATCGCAGTGGGCCAAATCGAACCAGTACAAGGAGAAGCATGATATATGCAACATACCACGGAAAGAGTGATGGAGAGGATCTGAGGCAGAGGTATTACAAACATAGGAGGGAGAACTTCCCACCTGATAACGGTGAGTCGATGCTGCTTTTGATTGAGGTCTGCTTGAAAGGACCACGCTGACTTGGACTGTTGTAGAGCGGGTTGAGGGCAAGGACTATTCTCAAGGGTACAAGACTTATGGGTTTGCTGCTCCTTTCATGTCGGAGAAGCAGGTTGAGCAGAATGCCGCAAGGATACAGCCTGTCCATTGAGTGTGAGACGGCATTAAGTGGTGAGATGGAGATCGAGCCGAGACTTATGGTGCAAAGTAGTCACTGTGGCAGTCGCTCGAGGTTGTGTGCCACGGTCAAATCGAAATACACAGTAGTCCAATTTAGCCAAAAGTTCGAATGGTAAACGGTTGGACACTGGAGACGATGAAGCTCGCACGATGGTGAAGCTTCAATCCTTGCTGACCTTGCTGACATAATTAACCTCACGTGCTCAATTAGCGAGTCGCTCTAGTGCGGGGAAACAAATCCCTTCATTCCAAGCTGAGATCCTGGTCACTTGGTCCTGAGAGGCCGGCCATGACATCCCGCAGAGGATCGAACGGCAGGTTGCACATTATATCGTCATGCGGTCTCAGTGCCGTAGAACAAGATCCAGTTGAGGCGTGAAGCCATTGTTACGTCACTCCAAGCACCGAATGCTCTCTGTAATGGGCATGATGCGCTCGCTTATGACACGCTCTCCGCTCTGGCGAAGCGAGAGACTCTTAAAAGGTATACAAGAGTTTACAGCCCCGAACTCACAATGGTCAAAGTTGCAGAGAACCGTGTGATAGATCTCGACCTCCTTCCAGGCGACAAGAGAGGCGATAAACTAGCTGAGCAAACAAAGTGAGTTTGACCTTTCTGTACATCACTTCACTCAAGCTGACGGTCCTCCTTCACTACTAGAGCTGCCATCGCAGGCAAAGTTCCTCAAGGCGAGGCTCAAGGCGTCTCCTCGAATACACAAAACGCCGTCACTGCTCTTGGAGGTACTGTAGGAGGAGGCGTTAAAGGAGTCGTCGACGCGGTCGGCAACACCGTCGGAGCACTTGGCGAAGGCGTAGTTGGCACCGTGCAAGGTGTTGGCGACGGTCTCGGCAGCACTGTACAATTCGCAGGAGGTGCAGTAGGTGCCGGTGCGGGCCAGATCGGCAGCATGTTCTCAGGCAGCGAAAAGCGGGGCAGCGAGGGTGAGTACACGCCTCTATGAACAGACCATGGAAGAAAAGTGCAAATACTGATTACTATACCCACCCACTGCAGACCCGAAGGAATTGCAGAAACAGAGACTCGAGGAAGCCACAGACAAAACAAAGGAGATCAGTGGTGACTTGGAGGATTCGGTGCAGGAGCACAGTAAGAATGCGATCGGCTCGACCCAGGAGAGTACTGAAGGAGGCAAGGAGGCCACCGGTGGAGTGGCAGAAAACACCAAGGAGAAGGTAGCAGGAGTTGCATCGTCTTCCTCGTGAAGACTGCCTCCCTGTATAACAGCGCTCATTCTCACACTTCCCAAGTACCAGCATACTCGCGGCTACGCCGTGCCATAAACCTGCTTTCCATTGAACCATGTCTGCTTGACCGTGGCCTGTAGCAATTTCTCAGGCGCCCACTCCATGTCGAGCACCACAAAGTCAGCTTTCATGCCTGCTTCCAGTGACCCTGTGATCTTGTCCAGGAAGACGCTGTGCGCTGCTCCTTGCGTGGCTGCTGAGAAGGCGTTCAATAAGGGCAGCGCGAAATGCTTGTTCACCACCTCTTCAGAGTCCGGCTCCCTCGCCGATCTCCTCGTCGTAGCAGTGTACAGGTTGGGCAGAGGCAGGTTAGGAGCCGTGGGAGCATCGGTGCCCAAGGCCAGTCTGACCCCTTCGTCCAGAAATTCCCGGTATGCGAATGCGCGACCCCGTCGCTGCGCCCCGAGCAAGTTATTCCACTGTCTCAGTATCGCAGGGTCGACGTGCACCGCCTGGATCGACGCAGTGATGCCAGCATTTGACAGTCTCTTAGCGTCTCCCGGGGACGTCAATTCCAAATGCTCTATGCGGTGTCGTCTCCCGCTCGAAGCAACAGCCTCGAGGGCGTCGATTGAGATCTTGATCGTGGCATCGCCAATCGCATGCAGCGCGCATTGGAGCCCTGCGGCGTCCGCTCGTTGGACGACTTTCTTGAGCATGTCAGCATCCCACAGCGGGTCGATGGAGCTGCCGGTCGAAGAGTAAGGCTCCAGCAAGGCGGCGGTGCAGGCGTCGATGACCCCGTCGCCGATGATCTTGATACCGGCGATTCGAAGATCAGGAGACGACGTCAGGTTATACTGCGTCCACAGTTCGACGGCACGATCGACCTGGCGAAAGTTCTCCTCGTCGGTCTTGGACGGAGCTATCAGCCAATACACTGCGAGGCGGATGGACAATTCCTGCTTGGATCTCAGCTGCAGCAGGGCTTCCCAGCCATTTTCGTCCATGGCCATCTCGATCATGCCGGTATACCCTGCGGCGTTGTACGTCCTGATTGCTTCTCGCACGGCCGTCAGCTTGTCCTCCATCGATGCGACCCTGGCAAGGTGAGGCCACACGACCATGATGCCGGCTGCCTCGCTCATCAAGCCCGTTGGATTGCCCTTCTCGTCTCGCTTGATCTCCCCGCCTGGAGGGTCCGGCATGTCTTGGACGGCCATCTCTTCCAGTGCCGCACTGTTGCACCACGTCGAATGCAAGTCCTTTGCGTCAATGAAGATCGGGCGGTTCTGCTCGTCCAGCCCTTCCAGGTCACTCGCCAACGCGTGTCCGTCCGTCATGAAATGCATCCAGCCTTGACAGAGGAGCCGAGGCCTGGAGGGATGCTCCTTCGCGGCCTGTCTGATCGTGGCCTGGATGTCCGACAGGGACTTGCAGTGCTCGATGCTGATCTTTTGTAAGGAGAACCCAAACATCAGAAGGTGCATGTGACTGTCTATGAACCCCGGTGCCAGTGTCTGCTGGCCGAGGTCAAGGACCGTGGCGCCCTCGCTAGTCGCCGCCTCGACCTCAGCATCGGCATCGTTGCCGACATATTCGATCAGGTCTTTGTTGACGATCATGCACGAATGTCGTCCATAAGCTGACTCGGCCTGCGAGCCGGTGAAAATGCGGCCATTCTTGAAGACCGTCCGCATGACGAGCTTGTCCAGACAGTCGCTAAAACTGGTGCGATGACCTGGCGATAGCCAAGCTGGAGTAAGTCAGGTACCTGGATGTCAAGGGGCAGCCAGTCGCGCTTCAGCCTTCAGATCACTGTCGTCCGTTGCTACCCAGCAGTACATACGTCTGAGGCTTAGTGGGTGCGCGAGGACGCAGGGCCAGTTCTTGGGTCTACCTCGTGAATCTCTTCCGAGGGACAGGATGCAATCAGAGGGATCTGGGGTAGGTGAACCAATGACCAGAAGAATCTCGAAGCAGTGGTTCCCCCGGCAGCTCTTCGGGAGTACGACTCGATCCCCTCGAGATACTGGATTATGTATGGACTAATTATCCACTTTTCAGAAGAGTTCTTTGCCCCTCCAGTTCTCGCGGATAAATCTGGCTAAATACCACGACGCCAACCCTTGGCTGACAAGCCAGAGGCATCATCGCCAGGGGTCAATAGGATAATGGGCCGCTTAAAAGGAAGGTAAGGAGGATACAGACAGAGGTATATAACGTATAACCAGCCAGTGACCCTCCCCGCCTTACGTTGAGTCGCAAACTCAGAGAATCCCAGGAGACACCAGATCGTGCGTGGGTGTCCTTTCAGCGCATACCCATAACCATACCAGGAAACGCTTTACCATTCTTCAGAATTATACGACGTCAAGATGCCCGACCCCCTAGTCACCCACATATACACGGCCGACCCGTCGGCGCATGTCTTTGAGGGCAAGATCTACGTGTACCCTTCTCATGTGAGTATAATATGACGGTGTTGCATTGCGTGGCATCGTAATAATCCTCTGACAACATGGGTCAATCAGGACCGCGAAACCGACATCCAATTCAACGACAACGGCGACCAATACGACATGGCCGACTACCACGTGCTGTCGCTCGCCGAGGTCGGTGGGCCCGTGACCGACCACGGCGTGGCCCTCAAAGCCCAAGACATCCCCTGGGTGTCGAAGCAGCTGTGGGCGCCCGACGCGGCGACCAAGAACGACAAATACTACCTGTACTTCCCCGCGCGCGACCAAGAGGGCATCTTCCGCATCGGCGTGGCGGTTGGTGACAGGCCCGAGGGGCCGTTCACGCCGGACCCGGCCCCGATCAAGGGCAGTTACAGCATCGATCCGGCCAGCTTTGTCGACGACGACGGGCAAGCGTACCTGTATTTTGGTGGTCTGTGGGGCGGGCAACTGCAGTGCTGGACGGACGGACACTTCGACGCCTCGATGAGCGGGCCCCAGGAACCCACGGGGGAGGGCGTCCCGGCCTTGTTGCCCCGCGTGGCCGTCCTGGCCGAAGATATGCGGTCGTTCGCGTCCGAGGTCAAGGAGCTGCAGATCGTGGACGAGCAGGGCGAGTTGATCAAGGCGGACGATCATGACCGGCGCTTCTTCGAGGCCGCGTGGATGCACAAGTACAATGGACGGTATTACTTCAGTTACTCGACGGGCGATACGCATTACCTGGTGTATGCCGTCGGGGACAGTCCGCTGGGCCCGTTCACGTACGGTGGACGGATTCTGGAGCCCGTGCTCGGGTGGACGACGCATCACAGCATCGTCGAGTTCAAGGGCAGGTGGTACTTGTTCTATCATGACTGCGAGCTGAGCAAGGGCGTCGATCACCTGCGGAGCGTCAAGATGAGGGAGATTGTGTATGATCGTGACGGCAAGATTTCTTTGGCCGAGAAGCAGTAACACAGTAATTAGGGGGGGCCTTTACTGTGTATTTTGGCCGAGGGTCTGTATCGTGAAACGAAATGACGAATCACAACGGGTCTGGATTCTGGGTTCTGGCATCTGTATCCTCCCTGGGCCTGACATTACCCGAAGAGTGAGATCCTAAACGCTGATCGTACGCGTTTATCCATGTGTACTCCGTATGTAATGATAAAAAGACGCCCTGGGTATCCTTCGCTTCCAAGCCACAAACGCTATATGAAACCTCTTCTTGCGCAGCACGGGTGCCTTAACGACACAGCTCAATCCACTTCTCGACCACGGCCTCCATGTCGAATGCCAGCCCCCACTGCGCCGTCAGACATCCAAACAGCTTCTGCATCGAACTCAACTCGTACAGCAGGTTCCGCGACGTGACGTCCGTTCCCTGTAGCCGGTCCCCGCGGATATACCGTGCCGTGTCGGACTCGGCCACTTGCATGGCGGGCAGTCTGTAGACCGGGGAATAGACTTCGGTCGGTGGGCGATCGTCGAGGAAAGCATCCTGCCACGTGACGGTGCTGGGGATCTTGACCGCCGACTCGCTCCCGAGCGCAAAGACCGAGTAGACGGTCGCGGCCGCGAAGAGCGAGCTCGGCATGTGGATGGCGTGGGCCCGGCCGCGCGGCAGCTGCTCGATGATCTCCTGGATGGCCATGGCGTGGAGCAAGGCCCGGCGTGCGGCGTGCGTGGTTGGCCAGGTGGCCAGGTCCATGTTGGCCTGCAGGCCGTGCGCGTCCCGCCAGATGTGCTGCCTGATGTCGTACTTGGCGCAGAGGTTGCGGCACAGCAGGGACGAGTCGACGCTCGTGTCCAGGCAGATGGCGTGCCAGCGGAGGAGCGTCTCGAGGCGGTCGGCGGACGACAGGGACGCGTTCAGCCGGATGCTCTCGTAGATCTGGTTCAGCGCCCGTCGGACGTCGCTTCGAGTCGGGACTCCCACGGCCGCGCCGCCGTCCGATTCGGCGTCGGACAGGAGCGACTGCAGGCCCTCGAGGATGACCTTGTACGAGAAGGCCGAAAGGGTGGTGTCGAGCCACGCTGCCTCGGCGCCTGGGTTGAACAGACGCCGCAGGATGGTTCGGAAGGAAGTGCTTTGGCTGGTCGCGGCAGACCGCATCTGCGAGATCCATTCGTTGGCCGTCGACGCTTCGAAGGCGGCTTCGTTGCTCGGCACGTGCACCTGGTTCGTGGTATGGCGCACCGACGTCGGGTCTCCGGACATGTGGGAAATGAGGCCGTCGAGCATGTACAGCGCGAGAAGCGACCGCTGCTGGATTTCACGCGCCGCCCAGAGCCGCCACTGGTAGTCCTTCGCCGAGTCGGGCGCGTCTGCTGGCGGGACTGATCGCGCAGGGTAGGGGTCGTTGTCGAGCATGCCGCAGCGCCGGGCCCAGTAAAAGGCGAGCGAGTGGAAGGCCTGGCTCGTCGAGCGAATATCCCGGTTCCGCGAGAGCACGCCGTAGAGCTGACTCAACACGCCCGTGAGCACAAGTTGCACGCCGTCGCAGGCGTCGTAGGGTCCCCGGTGAGTGATCAGCGTCTGCCACGACGTTGCGACGGCGGTCTGAGCGAGATGCCACAGTGCCTCGCCCTTTTCGAGCGCGTCCTTGGGTCCGAGGTAGAGAGAGCCGATGGCGATGGCGTTCAGCAGAAGAGGCTGTGTGCAGTCTCGAAACACAAATGTTGCCCGATGGAGCACGGGGAAGGTCGGGATGAATTTGACGAAAAACATGTGCAAACACTCGTCGAGGAAGACGGAGGTGATGGCGTTCAGCGTTGCCGCCGCCGCGACGGCCACGCTCGAGACCATTTTACTGACATCTTGGACCGCTTGATGATTCACTCCCGATGGCGGTGCCCCTCTGGGAAGTGATCGTTCCTCGAAAGAACGGGGAGTGTCGAGCGTCATGTAGCTTGAACAGGGAGTGTCCAAAGACTTCTGCCACGGATTGTTGGCATCGGTGGACATGAGAGTCTGCCAGAGATCTTCCGAGTCGGGCCAGATCAGTTCGAAGTCGAGGTCCATGCTGCCCGTCTGGCCCATCGACCGGGAGACCGAAGGGAGGCGTGGTCCCTCGGTCACCACAGACGGGAGGCTCGTTCTCTCGGGCGCTCCGGGAGTGCGGTACGGTCCTTCCGGCACCATGGGCGGAGTGTGATGCGATCCCTCGGGGGCAACAGGAGCAGGCTGAAGCTGTGGTCCCTCACGCACCACAGGAGACGGGAGGATCGGTCCCTCGGGCACCACAGGAGAGAAGCTCGGTGCTTCGGAGGTGCCAGGGGCCAGATCTGGTGTCTGGGGCACCACCGGACCGGACGTGTGAGCAAAGTCGCTCCTAATCGTCCAGTCATTCGAGACCCGCCACGAAGAGGCCGCGTTGGAGTCTCTGCGACGAGAATGTAGCTTCTCATGCCGCACCAGTGAGTCCTGCCGCGGGAACGATCGACTGCACAGCGCGCATTGGTATGGTCGGGCTCCGGTATGGCTTCGCTCGTGTCTCATCAGGTGTTCGGTCCTGGTAAAGACTTTGTGGCAGATTCCGCACTCCACCGCCACCATATCTCAGCCCTTGACGACCTCGAGAGCCCTTGCGTCCCTTTCAGTGGAGTGACAAACGAGATCCAGGGGATTTTGTGGGCAGACGAGAGATGCTGGCGGCATTCAGCTGAAGTCGAGAGGTGGCGAAATGAGGGGGGTGCCACGGGGGACGGAACGGGGGGGAGTTTCTCCGCCAAATCCCCCGTCGAGCTGCCCGCCACCGTCACCGTCACCGCCCCGTCCCAGTGGCTGGGCCTTGGGAGCGGGGCACCGGGCAGAGATCATGAACAGTACAAAGTACCGGGACGACGAATCAGGCGAGGGCCCTTTGGTTTGACATGCAGCGAGGCGTCAAATATATGTATGTGATATCCCGTATATGCAGTTGAGATCGAAGCAGACCCTGTTCCTGGTCTCCCACGGTTAGAGGTGTCAGTCCACGACAAAGAACCCATCACTAAACCAAGCCCCCATCCCCCCTGTCAAGCTGCCGTTTCTCAGTGCCCATTCAGTTCCGTGCGCACCAACTCTTCAGCTACCTGCATACAGTCGAAGCCGTATACCTTCTTCTGCACGTCCGCATCGGCCCATTTGTCTGGCACGGGGCCCTTCTTGTCCTTGAGAGCTGCAAACTGCCTATCGCGCTCCTCTTTTGCTGCTCCCTCGCCGAGATGCAGTGCTCGACCACTTGCGGCAGCTAGCTCAACAAGTGTTTCGGCACGCTCTTTCCTCACCTTCTCATACAGCTTCAGTGCCTTGTTGATCTCTGCTGGCCCTGCACCCGACGGTAGGTGGCCCAAGACTACACCGATGACAGCGGCATCCTCGATCGCTTGTGCCGCTCCCTGAGCCATATGGGGCAGAGTAGGGTGGCACGCGTCCCCAACGAGAGCGGTTGACCCGTGCACCCACGTCGGGAGTGGCGCATGCACTCTCAGCTTCCATTCACACACTTCACCCTCAGGTACCAGGTCGAGCATGCGGTGGATCATCGGGCTAAAGTCACCGAAAACTTCCAGCATTGCCTTCTTCGAGCCCTTGGTAGTGTAGGTCGCAGACGGGGCGGCAGCAAAATTCACGTCCGGCTGGGTCGTCGAGATGTTGTAGATCTGTTTCTTGGAGACGGGATAGGCGATGATGTGCCGCTTCTCGCCGATCCACCGGATCACTCTGTCTGCGTCGATGAGATCCAGCAACTCCGGATCCGAGGACATCTGCTCGCGGCTCAGCATGATGCGGTACGCCGCCTGGCCGGTGTCCATGACTTCGGCTTCCACGCCCAATTCTTTCAGCATGGCAACGCGTGTAAGTGACTTGACCCCGTCGGCACCGAGCAAGATGTCGCACTGCACCTGGTACGGATCCGCGCCACTGCGTGGAACCGCCGTGAAACTGGGCCTGCCGTTGAAGCTTATATTCTCGCACGTCGTCGAAAAGTTGAATTTAATCCGGTCAGACTCCTTCAAGCACCCGTTGTACAGCTCGCCTGCAAGTGTCGAGCGGTGGCCAACTGTGTGTGCGTAGCCGTAAGCCTCGCGGACGTATCTCAGGTCGACGTGGCCGAGCTCCTGGTCTGTTGCACCCTGTCGAATACTTGTCTCGTTGAGGATGACGGCTTCCTTGGCGATCTCGTCCCACACCCCTAGGCGATCAAGCACACGAGCCATGTTCGGCGCCATTTGTATACCCGCTCCCACGAAGCCAAGCTTGGAGGCCATCTCAAAGACTGTGATGTCCCGGAAACCAGCACGGGCGAGGGCGAGCGCGCAGGTCAACCCGCCCATGCCCGCCCCGAGAATGCATATTTTAAGGGACTCGACGTCGGAATGCATGGTGTACTCCGTATACTGTATCGACGGACTGACCCTCTGCCTCCTGTTTGTGGGTTCTTCCTCACCCTATATCTACTTTCTGGGTGTCTGTCGGAAACGCGTCCCGCCTTGAGGCGAGCGGATTCTTCTTATGTAGATTGTTCGGCGGCAAAGAATAATTCCGCTCATCAATGTGCTTCGCACTTCGATTTGGGTCTGTGGAGATCTGAGGCCGTCATTCACGACCTCTCACTAGTCACTTCTGGCCTTTTGGCAGAGTCCTTCGTATGAAGATGAAGAGGATTGTCCAATTGAGGAGTCAAGGCGGGGGGCAAGGAACGGCAGAGGTGTGGGGATCCCAGTGCCGTTTGAATTACCGAACGCAGCCACCGACCTGAGAATGACCGGCGTGGATGCCGTCGGGTGTTTCCGTCGGTGTCACAAGCCTCGAAGGTATTCTTCCGAATTGCTGATGTGGATTTTTGGGCACGGAGAGCCTACTATGTAAGGGATCGGACAGACACGTACGCATTGCACAGTAGACGTGGACTGTAACTTCATAAAGCGAACGCGCGAAGACCGAAATCGCACCAAGGACGGCTCAGTTTTAATTCAGTATCAGCACCAGCTGCTCACCTCATAAGCACCTGAACAGCCATGTCTCCCAAAGGCCCATACAGACTTGTGACCGTGAACACTGCACCGGATCGCGCGAAGACATTGATCGGTCGGGTCGCCGAAGATCTTAAAGATCAATACACAATCCAGCACCTGGCGAACTGTGAAAGTAGGTACACACCAGAGCCGGAAGTATCCGTTTGTCTCGGCAAGGGCTTATGTACATCGGAGCAGGTATTGATGAAGTCGAGGGAACAGTGAGAGAACTCCGGCCGAACTTACTCGTAAGTTGTTTTCTTGTCTTTCCATTTGCGCGATACACGGGATATCGCTTCAATCGGTCCCTGCTGACGACCTTCACTCCGAGCAGTTCTGTGCCTCGATGTGGACGCCCCAGGAAAGTGCAAGAATCCAACAGATCGCCAGAAGTATCGTGCCCGATATCAAAACGCATGCTATCCCGGAAGGTCTACAGGTCCAGAAAGGTCCTGACGGCGTTGTGGAATATCTGAGGGAGAATTTACCAGCAATTCTGGACTAAGAGGCTAACATGGTCTCCTCGCAAATTGAATGTTGAACGGCTCAATGGCTGCGACGCGAGCCCAGAGGCATTGTCTTCGATAGAGATAGACGTTCCTTGGTATAGGGGAAAGAATGAGTTGGCATCAGGAGAACAATGGAGTCGCGCTCTCCAGCTTCACTGACCGAAAGAATTGCATGTCGACCGCCATGAGGGGAATCCGTCGCAGCAAAAGGATGCTTACAGCCGCGTTAATTTTCAGTGTGATGCCACAGCCGGGCCATAGAGAATGCAATCACTATTGACAGGAGCAGTAATTATGGGATTCCAACTTGGAAGCAGAAGAGTAAAACTGAAGCTGAAGGTTGGTTGTGGTGCCTGGAAAACAGTTGAAGCCCCTAGGCTGCCAAGGTGCCTAAAGTAACAGCCTAATGACACCGGCAGAGGCGCGTAGGCGGCAAATCCAGGCACTTTCGGCACTGCAGGCCACTGCAAGGCTACCTACTTTTGTGGGTGCCATCACCACCAATTGCTCGCCAGGCTTAATTTAGGCTGCGCGGGGCCAAATTGTTCCGCGCTACTTTCTCCGCAGTCCGTCACTTTGCCACCACCACCACCACCACCACCACCACCACCATCACCACCAGCATCGTGCTTTGCACTCGTCTAGTGCGTCCTGTGTAGTCGCGGTAGCCATGGGGTCGCACAACGCCCTCCCTTTAGGTGTGGTTGACCTAACCTTTCCCCGCGGTTCAGCAAACGCAGAGATTCAAGAGAACGTCAGAATTTGCTCACACGGCACAAACCCTTGGGAAAGGACACGATGTTGCTCGCCCAAGTCTGCGGCAGCCTCCCTTGCGCTCGACGTTACTGGGACATGCTGGGAGTAGCATCCCGCTCGGTTTCATCTCCGGAGTACCAATCATATGCCCATCTGTCCTCTACTAAACCTGTCCTCGCAATTCTCGGCAGAAGTCGAATGACTCGCGTTTTCGCCGGGTTCAGCTCACCAGCCACGACCACGATCGCTTACATCACCCTAGGATTCTGACAGAGAGGAACCAAGCTTCTGCTGTCCACTCAACGATCACTTTGAGTGTTGACTCGTCTCATGGGAGACGTTCAACTTGCTCGATGCATCCAAACTGCAGTTTCCACCCATGACTCTCCACAAGACACCTACCTGGAGCCAGTTCACAATCATCATAAGATGAAGATCAAATTGGACATAACATTAGTATTGAGGGTAAGAGTTCAGGGGGTGGGTAGCCCAGAGCCCGCCGAGATGAACATTCCGGAAGATGGACTCTGGGCGATGTGGCGATGCAAGGCGGGCCTGGGTCTGGCTTTCAACCCCTCCGTCCGCCAGTCATACACGCGTTCCTGGACCAACAGCTTTCCGGTTCCCCCATGCCATTACTCGTATACTCGCAGAATGCTGGGCATGATCTCGTATGGACTTTTCCGAGCCATCAGCCAGTCCCTATCCGAGGGGGTTTTTCCAGCTGTGCCCCTTGAACCGCTCACCGCAAATCCCCAACACACCGCAATCTCGTGATCCGACTGCTGCAATATATGCTTCAGGAGCACGAGCATGTTCAACGTCGCCTTGGAGATGTCAACGGCGTTGTTACTCCATGAATCGCGACGCCCAGTACTAGGAGACCAATGGATGGCAATGACATTCACCCATCCCTTGATTAACAGAACAAACCGAAATACAAATTGGAAGAGCTGCGAACATCGAAAGGGTGTAGGTCCGATCAGTTCGTTCGCTGCCCCTCCAGAACAGGATATCAAACTATTCCTTCTTGTGGTCATCCTCCTAACCGCAATGAGCAGGCCTCCTGCGTGGATTGTGGAAATGGGCGTCAGGCCTTCTCAACCTGGGCGAAACCCGTAGCTCGCTAGTCCGTACGGAGCACTCTGAGTGGCCTTGAATCCGGACCCTCCGGACAGACCTTTCAGATCAACAATGGAACTGCCGCGCTGCTCTAAGGTCGACGATTTCGGATAAAGACCTCTTCTCTGCTGGTCGATATCCGACAAGGCCACATACCGAGGCAAGTTAAGAAAACAAGCTCTTTTGGTCGCTTTGTTCGTCAACCTGCAGGACACAGTAGAGCCGGGTCTTGACGCTGGTTTACCAAATATCTCGCTTGCCAATTCTTGGTGCAGAATCTCGCCCTCGGGGAAATTGCCCACTGGGCCAGACTGACGGGTCCTCTCCACGTGTTGAGGATATGCGAGGCTATGTTGTGCTGCTGCAAGCTCGGATGCGCGCATGATCATCGTAGTGGGCATCAAAGTTGGCCTCGCTGAGTACCCCAGTACTGGGCACCTGGGGTACGTCCGACAGCCTTGGAGAGAGAGACTCCGGAGACAGCACCGATGCGGAGCCGAATGCGGGGGGTGGTTATTGCTGAACTGAGCCCAGTGGGGACTCGACGGCCTGAGTCATCCGGCCTGCAAGACACGTGGAACCGGGGCTGGTCGCCTATGTATTCCCAAAGGAATTACGGAGTACTATTACGATTTATCAGACGGGAATGCTCAGACTCATCTCAATGAGGCACAAGCGGCGGCGTTCGCCCGGCTGTCTGAGTAGTCTGCTGCCACTATGTCCGTGCCCCGAAAGAGGCTTGCTTGAGAAAGAGGCTCGCTTGAGCAGAATCGGCAGATCATACACGAAATGAACGATGCCCGAGAAGAGTTTGCAGATACGCGGACACCCTGGTCACGCCCAGACAGCCTAATCTCTTCTGAAGCAAGCCGGCAGTTGTTCCCCTTTGTGAGTGCCGCGATTGGCCACCAGCAAATGGGTTAGGCAAGCATCTGGGGCTATTCCGTACCCCGTGGGAAACCTTGATTGGAGAAGCTTGCCTCTTCGACATTCGGCGAGGAGCTCTCTTGCATCCATCTCATGCACGAATTCGCACGAATCGTCGAGGACAACTCATGAGGGGCTTGTAGCCGTGCCGATAAAACCGCGTCACAGACCGCTGTTGTGTCACTACTTCTCTCTACAACGCGCCACTGTTTGGACAGCAAAGTCCGGCCCTGCTGGTTCAGATTCACCCAAGCTCCTACCGTCTTGCAGAACCAGAGAAGCAAAGATGGGCCTCGGCGTTCTAGAAGGTATGGTCTCGCATGTTGGTTGTCGAGGACAGGACTCACACTTCACAGACAACAAGCTGGACCACGTCCCAGGCACGGTCCTGTTAAACGACGAAGCTGCCCACTCCGAGGCTATAACTGGCCGGCTCAAGCATGGCAAGGGTAGCGATGCGCATATTGTGCTGTCCCCGCAACCCAGCGAGGATCCCAATGATCCGCTGAACTGGTCGCTGTTGAAGAAAGAAGTCATCATCGCCATTCTTTGCCTGGGCGCCATGCTCAATGCTGGAACTAATGTAAGTGGACGTGCTTTGCCAGTTTAGCCGTGCTCTTTCTCACTAGACAGGGACCTCTCCTCAACGCCTCCTACTTCGAAATGTCTCTCCAGATAAACAAGCCCATCAACACTGTGGTACTGGTTTCCGGATACAACCTGCTTGCTGCGGGATGCATCGGGCCATTCGGTATTGCTTCCTCCCATCCCTTTCCTTGAGAAGGCTGTAGTTACTGACTGCTCATCAGTCGCTGCTTTCAGTCGGAAATATGGCAAAAGGCCAGTCTTCCTTGTCTCTACCCTCCTCGACATCATTGGCACAGCTATTGGCGAGGCCAAGGTCTCCTACAACTATCTCCTAGCGGCACGCATTATTCAAGGATTTTCGACCTCGGCGTTCGAATCCCTGATCGTTGCAACGGTTGGCGATATCTACTTTGTGCACCAGCGAGGCCCACGCATCTCCTTCATCAATTTCATCCTCAACTCAGCATCCAGCCTTTCGTCCGTCATCTGCGGACAGGTATTCCAGAAGCTAGGCTGGCTGTGGCTCTTCCACATGTTCCAGATCTTCCTGGTCGCTCAGTTCGTCCTCATGTTCCTGTTCTGCCCAGAGACCACGTACATCCGCGATACCCGCTACGACACGGACCTCGCGGTGGACGAGAAGCTCGAAGATTTGGCGGTGATGGAGACGAGCCACAAGGAGGTGGTTGGCGAGGCTGGCCAAGGTGAAAGAACCGATATACCCAAGAAGAAGACGTTTGTGCAGGAATTGGCCATCTTCACCGGAGTGTACTCCCCGGACAGCGTGATCAAATTCCTGATCGGACCTTTCTTGACCCTGCTCAACCCGGCAGCCTGCTATGCAGTCATCGCTTCTGGTGTTCTCAACAGCTGGTACGTCGTGGCACATTTCTCCCCCCGTCTTGGGACATTTCCCAGGCTAGACATGTCTAACCGCGTCCAGGTATGTCGGTTCGGCCATCATCTTGGCCGGAATCTTCTCCGGCCCGCCCTGGAATTTCAACGCCTCGCAGATCGGCTACGTCGGTTTCGGACCTTTTATCGGAGGAATGATTGGATCTATCATCACTGGATTTACTGCGGATTGGGTCATCAAGTACCTCACGCGACGGAATAAGGGTGTCTAGTACGTACTCCATTGTGTCTTCACGTGTGCTGGATCGTGGGACGGGCTTGACTAACAATGCGACCCTCCAAGTGAGCCCGAGTTCAGGCTTGTGTGGATGGCCCCCGCCTGTGTTACCTGCGCCTTCGGCATGTTCTTCTTCGGATACACGCTGGAAAAGGGATCGGCCGCCGAGCTGTGCGCGTTTCTTCAAGGAGTCATGATGGTCGGAGTTTTGATCGGCATCTTCGCCACGCTCTCATACGGTCTCGACTCTTTCCGAAGCCAGAGCAATGAAATTTTCATCATGAACATGCTTTTCAAGGTCAGTTTCCACAAAATCCTCGCGTCTCTGGATAGGTCATACTGACGTGCGTGATCTTGGGTAGAACTTCATGTTTTATGGTCTCTCCAATTACGCCAACCCCTGGGTTGCCAGTAATGGGCCTGAGCAGATCATGTACGTCTTTGGCGGGACTTCGGTCTTCTTCTCTCTGCTCGGCATCCCCGTGTACATCTACGGCAAGCGCCTCCGAAGCTGGTGGGCAAGACACGACCTGTTCAAGACCTTGAAGATGGAGACCCACGGGCCTACGAGCGAAATGGGATGATTTGGTACATAGTCTCGACATCTCACGTCTTCACTCGGGTGCACCTGTCCGTGACAGGTCGCGATACAGGAGCAGCGACCGCGGAAGACAGGCGTGGGATGAAGACTGCCTGCCTAGTTACCATTCAATAACAGTAACACTACTGTGTTGGGTTTTGGACTCTCGAGAATTGATACCCTGGTCAAACCACACGCGGCTGCGTCTTTGAAATAGTTAATCACCCTCTTTCAAAAGTGCCGAGGCAACCGTAGGTGGAAGAGAGAAGTGCACATACTCGAGTTGTCGCAATTTCATCGATGCCCGTGCCTGCCCTTATCTTGAAGTTCGCCACCGGGTACCTGAGGCGTAGTCGAATGCCGTTTACAGTGATATCAGACATCAATGCCATACACAGGATAGCAGACATCAGACACCAGATATCATGACGTGCAGTTGTACTTCCGTAGTGTATATACATCGGCCGAGCCTTAGACCGATCAGGCCGACCAGGCCGACCATCCCTTCCATTCCGAAGTGAGGCAGCCAATATGGATCGTTGGATAGGCTTTTAAATTACACAATAAGTTAATTAGTGATATGTAAGTGAATACTGTGTACAGAGTAGTGCCTGGCCCGCTCCGGGATTATTGTATTGCTCTGCCTGACTGACTGATACAAGCTGTGCCCTTTTCGCCGTCCCCGCAAGTCTGTAAAGTGTACGCGACGATGGACGTTGGGCGCTCCGCGTCGCGCGGTGCATTGCGGTACAGTAGTGTAGAGCCGAGGCGAGCCGAGTCTGAGAGTCTAGGTGTGTAGGGTCTAAGGTACTGTATGTACGTCCTTGGTCCTTGGGCCGTACCTACCTAGGTACTGTAGGCGCACATAAACCATATAGCTTGACGAGTCTTGTCGTAGCTGGATTCGTGCTTGTTCGGTGGACATTGGGTGGACGGCAGTGGCAAGCGCTGATGAATTACACAGCGCAGTACGCTTCCCGTCAAGGCGCATGAGGTTGAGTTTTTGATTTCGAATTCGAACTCGACGGGCTTAAACTTACCTTACCTACCTAGTAGGCTTGAGCTTCTTGGGTACATGATTAGTAAATAACTTATTATTCTTGATGCGGCTCAGTGTTTGTTGGTCGGCTTATGAGCGAGTATGAGCGATTAGACGCGAGCAGGACCGAGCACAAGCGAGCAGAGCAGGGTGGATGCATCGAGGTGAACCCTATCGTTCCTGTACTTGTACGGCTATTGTGCACCGTGTCCTGTGTGTGTAATACGTCAGCTAGCAAGCAATTCTCTCGCGGTGGCCCAGCAAACGTTGTCGGTCGAGCGCTTCGAGGTCCTGGCATTAGTCTCGGCGGGATGCCTGAGACGGGGAGAGGCGACCCGTGATCAACATCAACATGTACGGTAACATCGATGCTACATGTGGGCCGGAGTATATATATGCAGTGAGGGAGGTATTAATGATCGCTTCGATTTCGTTCTGACGGCATATCCGTTCAAATATACTTGCTTACGACTTTGACAATCACAAAACCTGTTGCACCTGCAACTGCCTTTGTTGGCAGTCACGTGGGAGGGGCTAAGCGTTACTTCTTACTCTAGTTTTACTGTAGTCTCAGCTCTCATCATATAGATACGGAATCCAAAACCACTGCCATCAAAACCGCTCCCTGTGGCGAGTGTTCACAGCGGTCCGAGACCACAATCACAAAGCCACTCCCTGTAGCGAGTATTCACAGCAGTTTGAAACCCAAACTCCAACTACATCGGAGATGCCTACCGACGAAGTAGCCATCATTGGCGCCGGTCTGGCTGGCCTTTGCTTGGCCCTGGCGTTACATCAACAAGGCATCAAGGCTACGATCTACGAGTCAAGACCCGCTCCTCTGAACATTGGTGGCGCGGTCATGCTGTCTCCCAACGCGCTGAAGATCCTGGATGCTCTGGATTCGTACAACGATGTCCGTGGTCGGGGCTACAATTTCGATCTCCTCGAGTGGGTCAAAGTGACTGGTGAAGTCATAGAGCGGTATGAGTTTGGAGGTGTCGAGAAGTACGGGTATCGTGCCAACCGGTGCTACCGATACGAGCTCATTGACGTGCTCCTATCGAAGATCAAGCAGCTAGGCATTACTGTCGAGTTTGGTCAGAAATACGTGCGCGTCGTGGAGGAGACGGACGATCAAGTCATCTGGGAATCCCACGATGGAGTAAGGCGCACGGCATCCTTCCTCGTTGGGGCCGACGGCATTCACTCGTCAGTGCGAAGGTACCTGTATCCGCACCTCGAGCCGAAGTTCATCGGCATGGCTGGGATCACGGCCGTTGCGCCGGCCAACAAGGTCACCTATTCATATGGCAAAATCGACAAGCCGTTGACATTCATGTCCGAGGACAAAGGCGCATTCGTCATCGCTCCCCAACGACCAGACGCGTCCGAGATGTTCTTCGGGAAACAGAAGAGAGTTGACGAGAAGGACCGAGCAGGCTGGGAGGAGTTCATGTCCAACAAGGCCGACCTGATCAAGTTCTTGCAGGAGGATGCGGACGCGTTCGGGGAAGTCGCAGTCACGGCCACGGCAAACATCATCCCAGACAAACTCAATGTCTGGCCGTTCTATGTCATCCCGCCGTTGGAGAGGTGGGCTTCTGCAAAACACAGGGTGGTGATACTGGGAGATGCCGCTCATGCCATTCCACCCAGTGCTGGTCAGGGAATCAACCAGGCTTTTGAGGATGTCTACATGTTCTCGCTTCTCCTTGCAGCTAGCAAAACAAAGGGCGTCGACTTCGCGGATGCTTTGAACTTCTGGCAGACGTACCGACAAGGTCGGATTAACAAGATCTTGGAGTTAAACAAGCAGATTGACCTGAGGAGACTGCCCAAGGACAAACGACCTGTGGATCAGACGGGCGCACCAGATGAGCAGAAAGAGTTCGATCTGCAGTGGTTGTACGAGCCTGACTTCAGCGCAGAGGTGGAGGACTGGGTCCGAAGCACGAAAGGGTGAAAGGTCGTATGAAGTTTTGATGGCAGAAAGCAATGTGCTGCGTCGTTCAAGGCTGTGGACGTGGGTGATGGGAGCAGCCCTTTCAAATGACAGAGCACTAAGGCGGAACAGGGCAGCCTTGGCGTCATTTAAAGCTGCCCAATCATCGTCGACGGTAAGGGCACCAACCACGTGACCAACCACCACTGTCCGAAATTTCGCTCTCAATAATTAATTATATTGTTGCCCAGCTTGTAGAATTGACCTTGTGGTCAAGACGAAGGCTCCGGTGTTTACTCTCTTGCTGCCATTTGCCACCATGACTTCAACGAGGGCCTCCCCACTAGACAACGCAAGCGACAGCTCTTCCACCTCGGATCCGTTCGACACCAGACACGACGAAGGGTGGGAGGATATTGAGAACGACGAGGAGTCAGTTGCCGTCACATCGCTCTTTGACGAACAAACATTTCCAAGCGCGCAGGCCATGCTTGCGCACTGCCGGGACAACCACGGCTTCGACATCTGGAAACTAAGGCAAGAATTCGGTGAATATTGAATGGATGGACAAACAGAATTTTGCTGACCCGCGCCGCCATAGCTCTTGACTACCTAGGGCTAGTCCGTCTGGTCAACTACGTCCGCTCGGAGGTCAAGGCTGGCAACTTGCATCCTGATGTCTCCTCTAAGTCGTGCTTTGAGGACGAAACCTATCTCAAGCCAGCCCTGGACGATGATGCGCTGCTATACAGCTTAGATGATGTCTTTGAAGAGAGCGCCAATCCAGCTCCGGTTGTTGAAGTGGAACAACTCCGGGATCAGCTTGCATCTCTGCAGGCTCAGTTTTCGGCTTACCGAGAGCAGGTGCAGGATGCCATGCTCGCTCAACTGGAACAGTCGGCGCCCGGCAAGGGCGAAACAACGAGCTCAAGTGCAACGAGGCAGCCGACAACCCGAGCCGAGGACCTTGACACTGGTTATTTCCAGTCTTATTCGTACAATGCGATCCACGAGTCTATGATCAAAGACCGTGTCAGGACAGACGCCTATCGCGATTTCATCTACGACCACAAACACCTGTTCAAAGACAAGGTGGTTCTAGATGTTGGCTGCGGCACGGCCATCCTGTCGATGTTCTGCGCAAAAGCCGGTGCAAGACTTGTTCTCGCAGTGGACAACTCCGATATCATCGACAAAGCGCGTGAGAACGTCTTCAAGAATGGTCTTCAGGACGTCGTCAAATGTCTCCGAGGCAAAATCGAAGAAATCACCCTTCCGGTTCCAAAGGTTGACATTATCGTGTCCGAATGGATGGGTTACTGCCTCCTTTACGAGTCTATGCTTGACTCGGTAATTTACGCACGAGAAAGATATCTGGCTCCGGATGGTCTTATGGTCCCTTCCCATGCGAGTTTGCGGATCGCTCCTCTCGCAGACTCGGATCTGAAGGCCTCGCACATCGATTTCTGGCGGGACGTGTACGGATTTGACATGACCGCCATGCTGGAACGAGCGCACGAGGAAGTGCTGGTGCGGCTAGCGGATGAGCAAGAGTTAGCTGCGGAAAGCTTTCCATTCCTCGAGCTCGATTTGCATCGGACAAAGGTGGACGATTTAACATTCACCAAACCCTTCAAAGCGACATGGAGGGAGGGGTTTAAGCTTCTTGAAGGCTTTGTCATCTGGTTCGATATCATATTCGGCACATCGCGAACAGGAAACGTCACTCCCGGGCTAACGGCCGCAGAGGCGAAGAAGGCGGGTCTCATCTCGTTTTCCACGGGCCCGTATTCCGAAGCGACGCACTGGCAGCAAGGGATTTTCCTGATAAAGGATCCCGCGGACGAGTTCAGCGCCGGTGATCAAGTCGAAGGCGAGGTGAAATATCTGAAGAAGCAAGGTCAGGAGCGATCCTTGGACATCGAAATCTCCTGGGCGAAGTCAGACGGTGGGAAGAACCATGTCAAAAAGCAGATGTGGGTCGTCGATTGATGAATCGACAAAGGTTGCGCGAGGAAATCGGCAATTTGTTCTCCCCCCGACATGTATCTCTTCAGGCGATCAACAGACACTTGATCCGCCACGCGTTTGTTGGGGGACACCATAACCGGAGCGGTACCGGCATGAAGCACGAAGCAAGGAAGCATGAACTCGCGGAAATTGCCTGTTGTGGATACGGCGGAGCAGGACAGCGATATTGATTCGCCGTTTGGATAAAAACTTGTGACGACGACCTGTCACCTCATAATCCCACAACCAAGGTACTGACGCCGCACCCCTCCACGACCGCCTGCAGAGGACGCAGCCGCTCACGGACTTCAGCATTCTCACAAGCGCGATCCTCCCAAGCATATAGACCAAAGATTTACATTTGAGGTTTTCAACCTCGTTTTCGCTGCGTCGATACCCGATCGCTATTACCGCTTGTAATCCTGTCCCGAGATTTCGCTAGTTGGCTTCACTCGGACACCCTAACAGCTCGATCACAGACATACGACAGTCCGAAGGCTTTTCGTGAGATCAAACGCCCCAAAGATGGCCGATCACCAGCCCACAGGAAATGGCGCCTATCAAATCCAATTGTTTCATCCCGAGCTAAAACACCTCCCCTCGTCAATCTCATCACTTCTCTCGTCCTACTCTGGCATCCCAGTTGAACAGCAGAAAGAACACATCACTTCCGTCCGAAATCGTGCCTACAAGTCATACCCGTATCCTTGCCTGGGGAGGTGGCGATTCCTGGATCTCGATCTAGCCAGCCATCCACTCTACCATAGCCATATCCTCCCGATGCTCAAGGGGGAAACGGCAGCCGAAGTCGATGGTGCCGACAGGGCCGCTTGGATCTTTCTCGACCTCGGGTGTTGTCTCGGCCAAGATGTCAGGAAATTACTCTTCGACGGAGCAGACCCTGCGAGGATCTATGGTGCCGATCTGCGGCCCGAGTTCATCGACATGGGTTACGAGCTCTTTAGGGACGAGAACACGTTTCCGAGGACCGAACACTTCATCGCGCCGGCCGATGTCTTCGACTTCTCAACAGACAGCGAACTGAGCAAGAAATGTGACGGCCAGGTGCGCATCTTACATTCAACTGCGGTGTTCCACCTGTTCAATTGGGAGGAACAGGTGACGATGGCGAGACGGTGTCTCCAGCTGTTGACTTCGAAGACCGGGAGAGCCCTGATATGCGGCGGCCAAGTAGGCAACCTCGACGCTGGGGAGTTTGCGCGACGCAGGAGGGAAGGAACACGATTCAGACACAATGAGGAGAGTTGGAAGAGATTGTGGGAAGAGGTTGTTCAGATGGACAGGGGGGTTCGTAATATCAAAGCACTCGAGGTGCATTCCATCATGGAGGAGCGGAACACCGATCGGTTCAGGCAAGACTTGGAGGCCCTCCAGTCACAGGATGGTGGGATCAACGCCCAGGGCAGCAACACGGATCAAAGACAGATAGGCAGCATAGAGGAGGGGTTCCGGTGGATGAAGTGGTGGGTCTGGATTGATTTCGCGTGAGAGAAAGGAAAAGACGGGCCGTCTTTGACGTGGAAAAGCAGTTCAATCGTTCATCTGTTTATTCGCGACGTACACAGTATGAGAGCACAGCGAGGCCGCGGCAGCCAACTAGCCGACGGTAAGAACAGCTTAGGCCTCTCAACAACTGTTCTCGGCCAGCACCGTCATCCCAACCGACGACTCAGGCACGCGAGGCTGCTTGAGAAGTCGAAGAACTTGAACTTTTCCACGGCGGGAGTGCCGTTGCATCGATGCACAAGCTCGACCTCATGTGAGTTCAGACTAATGCACACGGCATGCATGTTCAGAGACGCCCGCGACCTCGCCCCATACGGCTTGATGAGCTTGATGAACATGATGTGCTGGCACTGCATGCATAGGCAGGTGACGGCGGCAGTGGGAGGCTTGGTGGTAAGCACCCGGTGGTCTAAGTCTTCTTGGCCGCATCCGTCGCTATGCTCCGCGCTCCGCGCTCGGTAATGCAGATGCAAAGGAAGTGAGCAGCCAGCAAACAGGTGGGGGAGGGAGTGAGACGTTCCGTTCGCTGCTGCGGACAGTCACTCACTCACTGATCGATAAGTACCTAAGCACGTCTACCCGTGCGAAGTATATATGTATTTTCCGGAGTATGTCTAGTGTACTGTGTACCTAGGGATAACGACTCCCGACTCAACATTCAGTAACTCAAGGAGACCGAGTTCGCTATACTCGATCGTGCCAGAAAATCATCTACTTGGCTTCGCTGTACAGCTGACCCTTAGTTTGTCTGACTACCAGCCAGCCAGCGCGTGGGATATCTTCTAGAACATTGTATCGTCAAAGTGTTGGCCTCGGGCATCACGCATCGGCGGACTTCCAGCGCGACGACAATGTCGCACACACCCTCGCCGACCGACTCAACCTCCACATCAGCGACCTCGACGCACTCGACGCCCGGAGTGCTCTGGACCACGGCATGCATCCAGCGAAAAGACCTCCCCCTGTCGCTCTTCGACGCCTGGTACGACGAACACATCAACATCTGCCTGTCCTGCCCCGGCAACGGGGGTCTCTTCCTACGGTACAAAAACATCGATTCCAAAGCCGACGTGTACGGCGTTCCCAACTGGAATGAAGAGCCCTCACATGATGACACACCCACAGCCAAGCCCACGACATGGCCATTCCTGGCCTTAGTCAAGCTGGACGACATCAAATGGGTGGCGAGCAAGCAGTTCAACGAAATGTCCCGGTTCTCGAAATTGCTGCCCCCCGAACCGGACGGGTCGATCGGCAGCGCGTTCAGCTGCTTCTACGGCGCCCTGCGGTGTTACGAGACTGTGCGCACGGCTCCCGATCCCACGGGCCGGACGACACGGCCGAAATATATCCTCAGTGTGCAGACGACGCGGGGAGCGTCTTCGGCTGCTGCCGATGATGATTGGGACGCCCAGGACCAGGAGTACGTTGGACGGCCCGGGTTTCGGGGCGGCGTGAGATATCGTCTTGTCGAGGACCTGTTGGCCGCGCAGGAGCCGGGATGGTTGCCCAAGGGTCTTGTGCTGTATGAGTTTGATGGCGAGGAGCCCCCGTGGGTGGCTGTTGGCCAGGATTGTTTCAAGGCGGATGTGTGGGAGTTCATTCTCGAGGCGGGGGATTCGTCTCTCCGGCTGTGATGACTGAGATAGATACTGTAATTAACAGACAGGATGTATCTTACGCTCGAAATGCACGTACCGTAGGTACCTGCCTACTCTCCAACGCATCGTGGGGTAGTTGCAAGGGCATGAAATATGGCTCATGTGGCGGTAGGTAATAGCAAGCTGGTATCAAAGTGCTTCACGTTTAGTCGATGGTTGGGTACATCCCTAGGTACCTAGGTGGTCGCAGACAATTTCTTACAGGCGCTCACAGCAGGCGACATTCTGAAAGCAAATCACACCCCTAGCTGATGCTGGCAAGCAGGTCATGCTTGGAGCTCGCTCGAGCCACCACCCTGACTGTATGCAATCCATGTACTTGGTGGTGCGCAATCGTTTTTGGAGGAGTCCAAAAGGAAGTGATACGTGTGACATCTAGGTGGAAGTAGTTAGGCGTTGAGCTTACACGCATGCACGCCTAACCGGGCGGGCCAGAGCGCTCACTAGGGACCCGATAGAACCTGCCAGTTATGCCCTTGGACCAATATTGGTTCCCCGACCAAATTCACGGCGGCGGGTGGGTTTGGCTCAGGTGTCTAACCAACAGACTCTGATGCCCCCCCACGAGCCAACGAGCCAGCCTGCGTGAACATGAGAAGCAGCCCCTAAAATTGGCTTGGCGCACCGAACCTCCTAATCAGCATGTCTCCCACCTATCTCTCCCTCGTCTGTCTCCGTCACATCGAGCAGTTTGATTCAGCTTCCCCGAGGATTCATCCTCAACACAATCTGACGTCAACATCATGTCCCGAAAGGTTTTTACGGCGAACTTCACAGCAAGCAGCGTTATGTTCCGTCTGTTGGACCCTCGGCACAGGCCCAACTACGATTCCTCGTACATTTGAGCACGTGAAGACACTGGGAACATCATAGGGCCAAGCTCACCAAGCTTTGATAGACACGGCTGCTAATCGCGCGATCCAAGTTTGGGCTCTTAAGGATCTGTGAAGGGATTGTCTCGGCATGAACGGCAGTCAAAGCTCGAGATTCGCGTTCAATGCCAACGCAATCAACAGACGCGTACTCCGTATCACTTTGATTGACGAGGACTCTGTCAGAGGCTGATGCGGCAGATTGCACGTCATCACTTGTGCAGATCGCCCCCTTTTCCCATCGGAAATTCTAACCGTGTGGTCAGCCTCATAATCTTCACCCTATCGCATGCGAATTCGATACACAGGGACCACCTCGCAGGGAGGAATGATCCTGCAATGTGTTCAGCATATTGGCGCTGCTCAAGCCATACTGTAACTGTCCTTTACCACGTGTAAACGACTATTCGACCAGGACAGTCCACACGATTGCTATATGGATCTGACGCTGTCGCCAGAGTTTGACTGCTCAGGCTCCTGGTCTTTCAGAGCTGATGTCATGCCAGCACCTGGATATCGGCTACTTGTGCAATAGGGCAAAGCGAGGTCATCAGTCCATTGATGACCGGACGCTTCAGCATCCAGCTTGAGCCACCGTGAGGTGCGTTGTCGTCGTCATCATGAACTGCGGCAGGCTCCACCCGCATTATATAGCTGCGTGATCGACCGCGAGAGAAGACCTAGGATATTTCAACCCACCCCAGGAGAAGACTACGGAGTATGTCACTCGACCACAACAGCACCACCGCCGCCACCGAGGAGAACCACGAGGCCGCATCGATGGACGTTGCAAGAGAAATCGCTCAGGATCGCATGAGCAACCACGTCCGGTAGGTGCCTCCAGCCGTGTGATCAGCTCTCCATCTGCCTTCAGATGGGATCCTACCTCGCTGAAGCTGCATCCCAGAGGGTCGAGGATCAGACGCTGACCTTCTCCGTTCCTCCCATGCCACAGAATGAACCAAGAGGACCATCCCAATCTCAGAGTACAAGTCCACCCAGACGAGCCGGACCATTCGAAACCATCGTCCCAGAGAACGCTATCCGCAAAGCAGGAGCGCGAAGCCAAAGATGGAGTCCCAACAACGGAACCTCAGCGCAAGGCCTCCCTGTAAGTCGTGTTACAATGGCTCGCCAGCACATCTATCACTCGTTCCCCGGGCACCGGCAAATTTCAAGGGCTTGCTAATGAGCATATGTATGTATCTAGTCTCGAAAAGGTTCAGGATCGTGGATGATGAGGCATAACCTATCTGGACCGACGTTGCGGAGCACATGTTTGAGCATGCATGCATGGCCCGATGCCCATGCTGATTGACATAATACCAAGAAATACTCTTTGTTCAGAGTATACCATTGATGACCTCCATGGCAAATGAAGGCCCTACTCGGAAGAACACTGCATGAACGGATCTCGCTTCGTTTCTCTGGGATGAGATGAAATGGCGACTACTGTATACACCAGGTAGACACTTATGCTCGTAAGCAATCGAGTTGAGATTGACTGGTCTAGCAACCGGTGGTGCAAGACGATCTGATCTGAATTTGTGCATATGCATTTCCATCGTGTGGCACTGAATCGTGGCATTGTGGCGACCGGTTCGTGACCAACGCAAGACCCTCTGATGAGTATTTCTCAAGATTGGATCATTGACGGTGGGGCACCACCCAGCACCCTGCGGTATGGCACCACAGTAAGGACTTTGACTCTAAGTCAGGTGTTGAGGAGCGGCCATTGCCCGGTGGCCAGACCTCCAGACTGCACCGGATCTCGTTCGACGAGAGTGCAGTGTGGGAGCAAGGACCGACGAGGGTGTGTATGCATGGTTGTACAATACTCACTGAGAGTTGACTATTGACTCTGATACTCACTGAGGGTTGACTATCGACTCTGATACTCACTGAGAGTTGACTATTGACTCTGACTTCCAGCTTCTTCGTCACGGCTCTTGAATCAACTAAAGAGATCAAAGACCAAAGACATACGTCTACAGTATGTGCGGAGGACGGACTATTTAGCATGGTAAATCCGATCTTATCCTCATCTCCATGCCGAGGCTTTCAAGGTGGGATGTCGATAACCGGCGCCGTGTGGATGCGGCTGAACACTCACCCTCGCCTTACTCTCCCCTCATTCTCATGTCTCCCTCACTCTCCCCTCACCCTCGACTCGCCCTCACCTTCACCCCGCTTATTAATAACGACATGGAGAGCCGTCGCGCTCCCAGGTGCCTCCCTCCGCACTCTGTACCACAGTCCTCCCTCAGTCTGATCCCTTGTGTGGCACCGCCGCAGAGATGGGGCTCACACGTGCGCCCCCTATCGAGGTCTCGAGACCCCAGGCCCCACGTCCAGCAGCCCGTCCATTCACCCAAATCGACACTAGCATTCTGCGATGGCCACGATCGTCGACCAGTCGCACGCACCAGAGATGAGGAGGCCGCACAAATGCCGGAGTTTGGCCTCCCAAATACAGCCAGGACGGAGTGAGTTTTGTGCATTTCTGCATAATGGAAGCGGCCGCGGCTGGCCCTGGTGTTTGAATAAATTAAAACAAACCAAGATCCCGTCCTCTCATCACGAGTCCCTACCGACCGACCACGCGACCGCCCCGACTTCTACCTGGCGTTTGAGAACCTTTGACTAGCTGGTATTGCTTTTCCAGTACTTGGTTGACCTGGCCGAGGTCGAGAAGCGACCTGATCTCCTGCTTGGGAATTGCACACGGGATATCCGTTACACCTGGTACTCACTTGGCTCACAATCATAAAGTACAACCGACAACCAACTGAGAGGCACCCGCGACGAATACCCAATCATGGGTGTGATGGTCCATCTCCAAAGCACAGCCCCCTCGGCCAGCCAGATCGCCATCTGTCTGGTCTTGGTGGGCATCATCGCCGTAGCCGTCGACTACGCGCGAATGCTACTCCTACGGCAGAAAATGGTACGTAGGGAGTGTGGAATCGGGTCCCGGGATTGTGGAATCTCACGCCCGGCACGCGTTACGCCTGCACGCCCCTTTGTCAAGTCCTCGCTCACCGTTTGCTAGCCACCCGGCCCCTTCCCCTGGCCCATTGTAGGCAACACGTTCCAACTCCCCGACGTCAAACCATGGATCTTGTTCGAGACCCTCGCGCGACAGTACAACACCCCCGTGATCACGTACTGGATCGGCCGCAGCCCGACTGTGTGGATCTGCGAAGCCCAAGCCGCGAGCGAGATGCTCGACAAGCGCGCGGCCATCTACTCGTCACGCCCTCGCATGGTAGTCTTCGGCGAGTTATCGTTTGGCCAGTCGAACATTGTGTCCATGTTCTACGGCGACCGGTGGCGGCTGCATCGTAAGCTCACGCACATGGGTGTCGGACTCCAGCACGTGCGCAGCTACAGCGGCTTCCAGAACAATGAGAGCAAAGTCGTGGCGTTGGACCTGGTGCGCGACCCAGCCGACTATGTCATGCATTTCGAACGGTACGCCGCATCGGTGGTCAGCATTATCGGCTTCAACCGCCGGATTAAGGACAAGGAGGACCCCATCATCACGGACGTGATTGCCATCATGCAGCGCGCTGCCGAATTGAACGTGCCGGGCAAGAAGTTCCCTATGTTGATGGAGACGTTTCCTTGTGAGTAGAACCCTCGAGCAACAAGCAAGAAGCAACAAGCAGCGGCGCACTCAAAACACATGTCTATGAATCGAGACCACTTACTAATCTGCTTTTTCAGTGTTATCGAAATTCCCCAACTGGATGGCCCCCTGGAAACACGGGCTCGGGAGAGGCCGCGGCCGTGGAAAGAACTTCTACTACGCGCTTGCCGAGGAGGCCGCCAACAAGGAGAACCACGGCAACTGCTACGCCAAGAAGCTGTTCGAGGAGGCGCCCAAATACGGCCTGTCAGACATGGAGATCGCGTCGCTGAATGGCAACCTGTTCGGCGCCGGAAGCGACACCTCGAGTTCCACGCTCATCACATTTGTGCTGGCGTGCTGCGCGTTCCCTGAAGTCCTGCCCAAGGCGTGGGAAGAGTTGGACCGAGTCGTCGGATCGTACCGCAGCCCCGGCCTCGATGACGACCTGCCGTACATTCGGGCGTTTGTCAAGGAGGTGTTCCGATGGCGGTCCGTGGCCATTATCGGCGGCCAACCTCACGCGAATATTCAAGACGATTGGTATAATGTGAGTAAATTTGAGAGACAGGAGAGGTTATTTGCATTTGCATTTCATGTGCATATACATATGCAGGACTCTCCTTGTCCAAACCACCCAATTGTCACTGCAATTGTCATTTGCTAACTCCCATGATTTCTCTAGGGCTGGTATATCCCCAAGAACACGTGGGTGCAAGGCAATGTATGGGCCATCCACCGCAACCCGAAAGACTTCCCCGAGCCCGACCGCTTTGCTCCCGAACGATTCATCGAAGGCCATCCGCTGCATCGCCCCTTCCCGAACGAGAAGGGATACATGACCTTCGGCTGGGGCCGACGCGTCTGCAGCGGTCAGGGCCTCGCCGAGCAGGGCACCTTCCTCACGGTGGCGCGGCTGCTGTGGGGGTTCAACATCCAGAAAGCGCTGGACAAGAATGGCAAGGAGATTCCTGTTGACATCTTCGCGTATACGTAAGTCCTTTGCCCCGGCCTTTGGATCCCTTGTCTTCTGTTGGCGTGCTTCTCGCGATTTCCCTGATTGACTCCGATTGACTCCGCCGTACTGACATTCCCGTCTGATGCAGAAACGGATTGAACATGCGGCCCCAGGAGTTCGAGTGCCGGATCACGCCCCGATCACCAGAGATCAAGGAGACAATAGAGCGCGAGGGAAAACAGGCTCTCGCCGAGTTGGCCCAGTATGATGGCGAGAGCAAGTACCGCGCGTCGACTTTCTACCTGCAGGATAACACCAGATTTAGTAGCAGTACAGCTACGAGTAAGTGAGGTGTGGTAGTGTTAGAGCGAGTTTGGGAGATTACAGGAATTCGTAAATGTCGTCCAAACGGTGCGTGTGTCCATTAAGCCATCCCATCTTTGAAACCATAAGAACCTACCGAGGTTTGGTGCAAGTGATGCGTGCTGGTATTAGAGAGCCATCTTTGAAACCATAAGAACCTACCAGGTATCGAAGGTTTGTCCAAGTGGTGCATGTGGATCTGTAGTAGAAGCAGGTGCCCATCAGTGGGACCCCAGATTAATGGTACAGTACTTAGAATATAATGCATTTGGAGAGATGGAATTCAATCTCGGTGGACTGTAATTACTGTAGTGTACAGTACTAAATCGAAAGTCTTCAGCCTCATGATAATAATTACTGGTTTATAAAGAACGGTTCCACACACGAGAGAGAGAGAGAGAGAGAGAGAGAGAGAGAGAGAGTGTGTGTGTGTGTGTGTGTGAGAGAGAGAGAGAGTGTGTGTGTGTGTGTGTGTGAGAGAGAGAGAGAGTGTGTGTGTGTATGTGTGTGTGTGTGAGAGAGAGAGAGAGAGAGAGAGAGTGTGTGTGTGTGTGTGTGTGTGTGTGAGAGAGAGAGAGAGAGAGAGAGAGTGTGTGTGTGTGTGTGTGTGTGTGGCTACCTACTAGGTAGGTAGGTACCTATTATACATTCTCAACGTGGTAGGTAGGTACCTATTATACATTCTCAACGTGGGTAGGTAGGTGATGTTACCACTGTGTGTGTACTGTAATTATTTACTGTATTAGAGGTTAGAGTTATAGATACTGTAGCTCACTTATGCCATCGAGGGATGTGTGGAGTCGACCGTATACTGTAATGAATTAACAGACAGCCTAGTGCCACGCCGTGCACGCCTGGCGTTTATTGGTAATTTTCTTCCTCTCCTTCCTCCCTTCCCACAGATTATCGCCATGCTGTAATACTGGGAGTGGACTGTGCATGGACAATATTTGTCCAGTGTATCTAATTATACTAGTGTTTGCGTTGTCGTTTATTGGTAGCAGATGCCCGTGGACAATGTTATCCAGGACATCCCGTTGACTTGCTAGATATCTATGGGCAGTCGAAGTCCATGGACATTATTATCCAGTACATCCCTCTGCCTTGGTAGACATATATTCATAGCGAAGTCCATGGACAATACTATCCAGTACAACCGATCACCTTGACGACGTTATCATAGCGATCCTGCAGCGATCCCGTCCCAGTCCCGCTTTTCCCACCCCCCCTCCCCCCTCCTTCTTCCTCCATCGTCTCCTCAGGCATGGTTGAGGATCCCACACCATCTCGACCACGGAACGATGTGCGTGGTCCGCGACTCGTCATGGCCATGGTCAAGCAACTCAACAAGAAAGACATCCGTCTTCGCGTGGCGTGGATACGCATGCAGCGCTGCAACCACCTCGTGTTGGTCGGCGAACCGCAGACGGTCACGGACTCGGTGGAATTCCGTGACCGGCCAAGGCGAGTAGGGGATGTCGCCTCTTGCGCTGAAGACGTCGTTGCCCATGGCGGTGAGGAACAGCAGCCATAAATAGTCGGCGTATTGCTCGGGACGTCTTGCGTGCTCGACACGCTTGGACACGCCTTGCAGGACTTCCTCGATCTTTTGGCACGTCTTGCTGAAGTTGTAGTTGGTGGGCAGGTCGAGGAACTGAAAGTTCATGAACATCATCGCGCACAGGGACGCCGCCGCCATCAACGTCCTGGCCACACTTTCGGCTCCGTGGCCTTGGGCTTGCGCCGAGGCGGCTTTCTCGGTGTTCTCGACATACCCGGTCGTGCAATACCCTGTGACTGCGCTGCTTCGTTTGTTCATCCACATGATGACCTCGTGCAGGAGGTCCGAGTCGTCGATCTTGTCCATGATCGCTTTGGTGCCCACGATCTCTTGCGCAGAGTCCAGCAGGGACCACATCTTGCCATCAAAGGCGGAGCTGGCGTGCCTGCTGACCACGCCCGGCTTGTGTGCAAAGATGCCGTGCTCGCGCTGCAGGGCGTCGAGCAGTTTCCCAAACGGCTGCGACAGCCGGTCTCCCGGGTCGTAGCGGGCGGGAGAGATTTCGGGCTTCTTCAACAGCGATATCGAGATCCACGCGTCACTGACGCGGAGGAGTTCCTGCGCGTCCATCAGAATGCCCGGCGTGGTGGCGGCCATGGCCCAGAGCCCGCGCAGGTGGATGAGCGCGGCTTCATTGTCGGATGCTTCGAAGTCGAGAGAGATGAGGAGACGAATCAAGGTGGTGACACTTTGTGAGAAGCCATGCTTCATGAGCCGGTCGCGAAGCAGCTCCACGGCTTTGGTTTTATGATACAAGCCCCGGGCGAGCGATCTCGTGTAGTCATGCTTGGAACTTTTCGCCGTCACGGCGTAGCCAGCGGCCAGCACGGCATGCACTTCGGCTTCATCGCCAATGGTCTGTCGAAGCCGGATATGCGAGCTGGAGCTATCCGCGATCGGCGCCCTCCAGACGGCACTTCGGTTGTCTGGGCAAGCTACGAATACGAAGAAGCGCTGTGCTTGCCGAAGGATCTCGTGGTCTTGGGCTGCCAGGGGCAGAGCAGCTACCGAGAACGGATCGGAATTGCCTCTAAAGGGAGTCAGGGAAGGCCTATCGCCTGCCTGGACGCGCCGTCCTTTTTCCTTTACTGGAATCCCATGCTCTTGGTCATCAGTGGCTTGGCCGTCCTCGAAATGGTAAACAGCCCGACTGTACTCGGGATAGCCGCTCGTCCAGGCACTGAGTCCCGCGGTTACTGGACCGGATGTCGGCGCCCCTGGGCCACCTCTGCTACCTTGCGGCTGGTTGGAGCCGGTCACGGTTCTTGCAGATGTGTAGCCTTCAGGCGGCGCTAGTCTCGCAGGACCAAAGGCTTGGGACTGAGCCTTTGCTGGGAGGATAGATCGTTGAACCACAGCCTTGCCACTTGATGCATGGAGCTTCCGCAGCCGCTCCTCCTTTAACCATCTCCGATGTGTCTTCGACACATGGGAGGAGATAGTGAAGCTCTCCTCCGGGTTCTTCGCCAGCGTCGTAGAGGTCTTGTTGATGAAGAGGTAGGATTGGTTGCGCCCTTGCGTCTCATTGCCACTGTCGTGGGCCATCGTCGCGGTCGGTTGCGCTGAAGAGCTGGTGGCGCTTGGAACCGTTCATGTCGTGGTCACAGAGCGTCAGTGGTCGACAGGGACCCAGTACGCCTGGACATGCCTAAAATCGGCGCCATCGTGAATACCAGAGACATAACGGAGCTCACGAAGATGCTGGCTGTCAGCTCGACCGGCTCAGGAGGGTCTTTCTCAGCGCGGCAACTTCGGGGCTGAAAAGATAAAGAACGACAGGAAAAGGTTTTGCACAAGCCCCGCCAAGTGCGGCGGTTGACCAATTTCCTCCCACAAGCTCGCGACGTCTTCGTGGTCGACACAGGCGGAGCGTCCGGTTGACGCTGATTCGTAGGCGGGCTGATTGATATCCCGCTATTTAGCCCTTGTTCTGGTGCGAAGGCCTTTTGAGACGGCCTTCTGGCTTTCTCAGAGAATGTACGAACGCTCATGAGTTCCGTAGAGCCTGGCCGCAGGTCCACCGGTGCGGTCCCTATTCGTCTGGCCAGGTCGCCAGTGGCCGTCGGAAACGGCAAGGCCTGTCGAGACCCGCGAGACCCCCGCGGCCTTTCGCTGGGCCAGGACGCCTGGGCGAGTCAAGAGTGAGCACCAAGAGTGCAGGAGCTGGCGACGAAGTTCAGCTAGCCTGTTTTGCAGAACGCACTCTCAGCTGTGCACAGTACTGAGACAGCATAATCAAGTCTGGCTACGTGGGGGTCGTTGCGCGCCTGTGGTTGAAGGTGTATGCAGCACCTTCTTCGTGTCGGTTCTCGGTCGGAAAAGAACTACAGATCCAGGAAAGCGATGGACTTCGACTCGTCGATCTGCAGCCTGCGAGATGCTGCAAACTAGCGATGCATAGTCGATGCGGAATGCCGCTTCTCACGTTCACTAATCATTTCTGCATGGATACAATGCAGTGCGGTCCTGACACCTTCCCAGTCAATTCCATGGTAAAGCAGGGTGTTGGGACAATCTGTCAGTTCTGAGAGTACCTTCACCTATGTACCAGTTAACATATACAAGACCTACTGGATAGCTTACTCGAGTCTGGACCAACCGCCATTTCTTCGTCGTGTCCACGGAACATTCTTTGCGTGGAGTTTAAGGCTACTCATTCCCCTTGACACTGCGTCTCTTGAGAAGCCGATGGTCTTCCTGAACCGCGACTCCTCCAGCCGGTATTCATAGTCGCATCGCGACCGAGACGGAATCATGGGCGTGTAGAAATGGGATGCTTCGAAACTGTTTCTAGAAGACGAACTCAACGACCTGAGCGAGAGGAGAGCGACTTCCTCGTGTTCGTCAATATCTTCCTCGTCCGCGTATGCCTGGTCCGGAGTTGCAAGTCGCTCCTCCTTGTTCGTGCACTTCTCAGCCAGGGAAGAGGCAGACAGTGCACCGTCACTAATCTTATGTTTTGGTCTTCCTTCGCTTTGCTTCCGCAGCTTCGATCGCACTGGAGGAAACAGCAGTGCAATGGGTTTTCTGGTGGGTACCATCGACGCGATTCGCGCCTTCGCTTCGCTTGCCAGGAAGGACAAAGACAACCGCTTTGATGTATGAGGTCTCAATTCAGACTGTGGGCCGTTTTCCTCTGACTTCTTTGGAAGAATGAATCTCACCCGTCGTACTTTGGATTTGAGGCCGCAGAGTATGTCCTTGCCGTGCACTTTGGCGGTGAGAAGAAGAGGAGCCGGCTTCTTCTTTCGGGAAACCTTGATGTGGAAGCCGAGCTTCTCACCCTCCTTCTCTGCTGGAGAGCCTTCCTGTTCTGCCTCCTGGGTTTCCTCCTGGTGCAGCCTTTCTCCTTGCTTCTTTATAGCTTCACGCATGATGAAGACATATTTTGAGATCGCTTCAGACTGCCCGGAATCAGGGTAATGGGACTGTTCCACGATGTCCACCGGCTGTGCCTGTGAGCATGGCTGGCAAGGCTCATCATCTGGCTCGTGGGGTTCTTCTTGAAGTGGCGTCATCTTCGACACTTTGGTGGTTGCAGCTGACTGGGTGTTGATGACCGATGTATGTGGTAAAGACTGCAAAATGGGACAAGGCCCCTCAAGACCAGCCGCCAGGGGCGATGACTCTCTGGGCGCACTCATGGTAGTAGCGGGAAAGAGCAAGTACGAGGATAGACGAGCACTTGGAGATGCAAAGGTTGCTGGTGGTCCGTCTTCCAGGGCGCAAAGCAGATTTATTGAACAGTCACATCGGCAAATATAGTAACAACGATTGGATATCTTTGGGACAACAAAGAAATCTTACCTCCAAACAATGAAGCCATTGCAAGGCAGTGATATAATTGACGAGGCTGTGCAACGTGCCTTGTCTGCCATGGCGGAACAAAGAGAATCCTTGGCTCAACCCAGAGGGCGTGAAGCCATGAGCATCGGCAGGCGACTGGGGTTTGATTTGGCAGGGCGGTGTCTTGGACATTCATTTCGCGGCTCCCATGCCGCGATAGAACTTCGATACTCCCGTGGTGTCATCTCGATGCTGCTGCCCAGCACGATAACCGGAGGCCATCGTCCCGCCGCCTCAGAGCAGAAAGAAAGTACACTTCATGATCGTGAAACATCCAAGGATACTCAGTTTAGTCTGTCCATGGTCAATGGTAACCTCCGTCAACGCATAACAGTTGCTCTCGTTTCGGGATTGACAAGCCTGGTAAGCTGCATAAGGATTAGATGCCTTCTCCCAAGCCCAGTCCACGAGACTTATAGGGAAGCAGAAGTTGACCTTGAAAGCTATCGTCAACAGATATGAGATGGTGTTCGCCGCGAACCGAGTTAACACTGTCGTCCGGATATATCCCTGGACGACCTTGGAGCGTCTCGATGGAATATCCGGTAGAACGGTCGTCAGGGAGAATGCCGTGGAGACTTTGCACGCCAGATAGAAATTCACAGCAGTGCGTAAGGTCGGGCCGGACACTTCGAAGCGCGAACATCCGGTGCGACTGTCCCTTCCCCCAATGCTGTGTGCTTGAGGTCCAGAAGTCTCAACACTTGATCTACTACTCAAGTGACGGTGACTTACCCAATGGAGTGCCTTTGATAAGGAGCTGACTGCTGGAAACGATAAGAAACGGATCGTGCGACTGTGGCATTCAGACCCATTATGTTCGAAACTCGCGCCCGGAGTCATAGCAGGAGAGACAATTATCACCTGGTAGTCCAATTGCGAGAGCGTCGCCTTGTCGGCTCGATCGATTCACCTTCTTTTGAAAAGTGCATGTCGCGGAGAACGGGCAGCGCGTCAACTCCATGCCACCCCGAAGACAGACTTGGGCCTTCCAGTGCCTGATTATAGCGACATGATCACATCAAAAACCTCGGATGCGCGATCAGTGCCATGTTCGTGCGCTTGTCGATGACTTTCGCGTGGAGACGAACGCATCAAGAGAGAATGGTGAGAAACTGCAGACACGTGGTGACGCGACGCGTGAGGACGGCTTACATAAGCTGGATTTCTGTCTCAACGAGGCATCTTTGCCGTGTCCCCTCCACCTTCCCAATGTGGCACTTGAAGCGAGAAGACACAATGACTCCTCGTGCTCCTCCACAACCACGGCAGAGCAGAGCAACCTCCACCTTGCGACGACACGTCGGACAGCCCACTCAGTGTCGCCGGTCACATTCGAGGAATCGCTCTTCGCCGTTCGGAACTATACTGGGGCTGAGGCCAAAAGTTGCTCCGGGGAACACAAAGCTTGAGCAGCGATGAAGCCGCACATTTCGCCAACCTTGGTTTCGAGCTGGCATGCTCCTCAATGCCGGTGCACGGGACAGGCCCTCGCTGCCTTTGCTCCGAGCAAAAGGACGCCAAGAAAGGCGCATGCTTCCTCGCCTGGGAATATCTTAACATCCCGTCAGCCTCTGCGAAGGAACATTGCCATAGCGTCGCGTGGCCCGACTACCACCTCGACAAGACGCTACAGCAGCACGTCAACCGAAGCGTCACCCTCCAGCGTCGCCGCTCTGCCACGGGTATTGGTCAACGACATGACCAACCAGGAGCTGATCATCGACTTCAACGCCGGAACGGCATTGCGGTACCCCTCGTTCTGGCTCAGAGACCACTGTCCCTGCTCGGAATGCCAACACCCCAGCACGCATCAGAGACAGCTCGACACATTTAGCATCGACCCGGAAATCAAAGTCTCCAGCATCCAGTCCACACCGGCGGGATTGGAAGTCGTCTGGCCTGTATCAAGCGTGGCCAAGACCACGGACATCCACACTGACACGCAAACCCAAACCCAGACTCACCGAAGCGTATACTCATGGGAATGGCTCGAAACACATCCCCCTTTCATCCAGGCCAGCGGTAAGACCACTCCATCGAACGCGCCCCGTCGAACATGGACGCATGTTCCTCCCCCTTCCTCCTCGAGCACCTCCTCCCTCCCCAGCGTGCAGTACGATTCCATAATCTCCACGACCTCTCCCTCCGGATTAAAAACCTTCCTCCAAACAATCCACACCCTAGGCTTCTGCCTCGTCCCACGCACGCCCCCGGACCCTGCATCCACGCAATCTCTCGTCGAGCGCATCTCGCACATCCGCCCCACCCATTACGGCGGCTTCTGGGACTTCACCTCGGCCCCGAACCCGATCGACACGGCCTACACGGACGACTACCTCCCCCCGCACACCGACACCACGTACTTTACCGACCCGGCAGGCCTGCAGCTTTTCCACTGCCTCCAGCCCGCGACGCAGGGTGGCGGCGAGTCCACGTTCGTCGACGGCTTCGCGGCCGCACAGCACCTCTACGCCACCTCGCCGCAGCACTACCACGCGCTGAGCACCTACCCGATCGTGTCGGCCGCGCTGGGCTCGCCGGCGGGAGCGTTCTACAACACGGCCGTCGCCCGCAGGGGGTATCCCGTGCTCGTGCACTCGGCGCCCTTGCCCGGCGTGACCACACCTTCGCCCGCCACGCTCGTGCAGATCCGATGGAACAATCTCGACCGCGCGGCGCCTGCGACACCCAGTTTCCCCAACCACACGGCCCTGAAGGCGTGGTACAGCGCGGCGAGGGAGTGGAGCCGCGTGTTGGAGAGTCCCGAGTTTTTAATCACCTTGCAGCTGAAGCCCGGCGAACCGGTCATCTTCGACAACTGGCGCATCTTGCATGGCCGGCTGGCGTTCCAGGGCCAGAGAAGGGTATGTGGAGCGTATGTGGCGATGGATGATTTTCGAGCCCGCTGCAGGGGATTAGGCATCGAGGTGTAGCCCAGAAAGTGTATATATGTACGGAATGTGGAAGCCACAAAAAGCCGATGATTTGCATTTTATGCGATCCTGCAGCATCGCCCGTCTAGCACCTTGCAGTTTGGGACAGTGGTTCGCCTTCGATATGGTCATGACTGGATTTCGAGTTCGACTTCCAAATACAGTAGATTATCATGCATTCAGTCTGCACGGCTGTCTACTGTATCTGAGTCTCTGTCTGGGGTATGATATCTGGAAAACATGCTTGTTCCCAGGATCTTGCTGTCCTGTTGTTGATGGAAGCCCGAGCTTTTCCAACGCGTCCATCAATGCACGTATCCTGCCGAGAGATTTCCAGCTGCTTCATGCGTAGCTCGCTGTAACTGATCGATCGACCGACTGATCGGTTGATCACAGTCCCTGTCTTCTGATCTCGCCGAAACAGCTCCGTAAGTTGCGCTCAACAACGCTTTGGCCAAGACTCTGACTCTGTCTCTGTCTCTGTCTCTGTCTCTCTGTCTCCTAGCAGTCGTCAATCCACGATCCAAACCTGCCTGGAATTGAGACTCTGCTATCGTCACCAGCCACTGCTTTGTTCCCAAGCTCATACAGCCACTTCCAGTTTCACTCCCACTCCATTGTCAAGTCAAGTCAATCTCATTTCTGCCTCTTGGCGACCGACGTGTGGGATCCCTAGATCGAGAACCTCTCCTCCCAGTCGCCCAACTTGCGAAAGCCCAGGTACATCTCATAGACGGTGCACTCGAGGCCCCTCTCCTCGTCCAACATCTTGCGATGATCCGCGATGCGCACAATCTCGTCATGTCTCATCTGCACGAGCGGCTGCAGTCCGTTCCTCTGCTGTCTCAGCACGTGGATCTCGGCGTCCAGCTGGCGAAGGAACTGGCCTGAAATGCGTGGCTTCAGGTTGTAGTAGTACGCCGCGCGGGTGCAGTAGTCTTTGATCTCCTGGTTGCGCCCGTCGACGGTGCGTTGCAGCTGATCCAGCGCCGCGAGGTGGCGGTTCAGGAAGCCCTCGAGGTCGCGTGGGTTGTCGGGCAGTGGGTCTTGAGGGATGTTGAAGATGGAGTCGTCGCCGGGCGTGAACGAGAGGTTGCTCTTGTTGCTGGTGTTTGTCGCGGCGCGTTTGAGCGTCGAGAGCGCGGATTTGAAGCTCCCAGTCCCGGTCCCGGTCCCGGTGGGGGACTGCTGGCGGTCTTTGGTCGAGTCGGACATTTTGGCAGAGCGAAGGAGGGCGTAGTGGAGGAGAAGGGGATTGGGGTGATTGTGGCGATTGTGGCGATTGGGGTTGTTCATGGTGTTTCAGAGGAAGAGAGGAGATTGTAATGGAGGAGATACAGAAAGAATTTTGCGGCGACGATGAGGATGGCGATGGCGAAGGCGATGGCGACGACGTTCAAGAAGCTGGTGAGGGAAAAAACGTTGGGAGTCGTTGAGGTTTGCGTCCCTGGTGCTCGCTGGTTGGATCTGGCATTGCTTCGTGAGATGAGCGTGACGGGTGCTGGAGCGTGACAGTAATGTCTGAAATCTGGTGGCCTGGAGGGTGTCACGACCACTCTCACTCTCGTTGTTGGTCACGAGCTGGACTGGGATGATGGTGGGATATGCAGACAGCATCCTCCAGACAGCAGACACCATTGGCAGCGACGTCCTTTGCACTACAACCCAGACCATTGTCTAGGGAGGACACTCCGGTTCATCCAAGAACGCCCTACCCAGCGACAAGCTCTATACAATCGCAGCGCCAGATGTTGATTTACCAAGTTGCATTGAGTCGATCACAACGTCCACCTGCTCCGCCTCATCCTTGAAAGTAGACCAACTCCAATCTGCCATTGTTGATGGCGTGTGTGCTCCGGATCACAAACATGGCTTAAGTCGATAATGACAAGGAGCGGTATCTTCCAAGAGAGCGTATGGTAAACGGTAGCCGGCATAGACTCATTTGATTGCCCAAGCAATGCCAATGTTGAAACCACCAGTATGGGACGTGCTGTCCACAAGTTTCAGCCCCATCCTGCTAATGTCCAACTAGTTCTCTCATGTCCCTTCGCTGCAGTGTTTCGCTGTTGAAGTAGGCTACTAGGATCAAAATCACGATGTGCCCCAGCCAGTCCGTGAGAAAGGAACCTTTCCCGCTCAATCTCAACAAAGGATTTCGCCTTTAGACTGGCTATCAGACTGGCGCCGGCCCATGATCCAAGGGAATCGACCTGTCGCAAAACAGCCGGTACAAGTGGGAATGCGTTTTTTGATCTCTGCTTGAAGAGCCTCTCTTCCACAAAGTCATCCGTCCCTGGAAGGGTAACATCGTGTTTGACATCCGCAGGAGCAGCTCTGGCTTGAGCAAGCTCCGCAAGTCCACTTCTCTTAGACTTGAAATGCTCGCCTCTGACAGGTGTCCACCCATGCTCCCGGATGATGGAATCAGTCGTATCGAGGATGTGTTGTGCCAAGCCCGCCACATTTGCGCCTCTGCCTGTAAAGATTATCCTCGACATGCAGATACTGCGGACGTCTGCAGATACGGCGAGGAGGGACCGGTACAGAAGCTGACTGATGGATTGCTCGTGGTCGTCTGGATATTCTTCGCTTCTCGGCGTTATCAGCGTGTTGAGGCATGCCTGATGCAGTGGTTGCAGTGGAATAGTGATGGATTGTGAGGAAGTATCGGTAGGCCAGTCGATCATGAGGCTCGCTGTCGCGTTCTCAGCGGGTCCAACGGATGATCTGACTTCAAGATTCATAGCCTCCGTTTTTGCGGCCAAAGACTCTCCTCTCACTGGAAGCAGAGCGTGACATAACCCAGCACGGTCGGTGAATTCCTCCACAAAATCAAAATCCAGCACAAGCGTGTCTCGAGTTGTTCCGTCCTGGTCCTTTCTAATTGCATCCAGCAGAGCTCCAATTTTCACCGTCAAGGCCTTCATGGCTTGGATACTGCGGCGCACATGCACCTCGCGATACTCGTAGATGGCGGTAATGACGGTTTCCTCCCATCCCACGTCCACAACAAGACCCGAGCGCAAACCCGCCCCAGCGACGATCATCGTGGGTGCTGGAAGAAGGGTGATACTTGCGCACTTCCATCGCTCGAAGAGCAGCGTAAGTATCGTAGACAGTACCGGATGTGGCACCAGCGAAGGTAACACCAGCACTAATCTCGCTGCACCGGCATCCACCAGTAGATGCTTGTTGTATGCCTCCCGGACCGCTCGCTCCAGCTTGTCCTCCAGCAACCCCAAATCCACGTCTGTCAGATCATTCCGCCATAGCTCATACTCCCTGCTCTTGACCGCTATATCTTCCCTCCGTCTTCGAAATCCGGGCAAGAAAATGCGATAATCGCCTACCCGTCGTGCGTTCTGAGGCGAGAAGGGAATGTAGCACTGCGGACCGCTTTCACCCTGAAATCCAGCGCTGAGGCCGCGCGGATCGAGCTCAATGATGATGGGGTCTTCTTCGGCGCGGAACGAGTACGAGCCCGGTGAGGACTGCGCGGAGGAGACGAAGCGGCCGGTAGGTGTGTGAGGAGAGCCGGATTGTTGGCGTGAGGTCCCGTCGCGCAAACCTGGGCGGATGGCGGAGGCGACGGTCGATGCCATGCTTTGTCTTATCGTTCAGTCGCCGCCTCCACCTCCTTCGACAGTGCTAGGATTTTGTCTAATGTTGGCCCACAGTGAGGGCGAACTTGCAGAGGGAAACGCGGTCGCGTCGCAACCAATGATATGGGCGACCTTGCTTAGTCAGCTTGCTTCACGGTCTCTTTTAACTTATTCGTTTGCAACAAGATGGGCATTCGAGACTTTTTCGTACTTGTATAACATTTGCCAAATGGAGAAGTAGACTTGTCCACCGTCCACTACCGGGCTACGAGAACTGCGTATGGTTAGCAGAGTTCAACCGTGAGACGAGCCAGTCACGTGATCTCGTGTGTGCTCTCGAGTAATGCCGAAGATCCTCCGAGCAAGGCACGCCAGGGTCTCCAAGTCAACAAGGTCAACAAAGACGCTGAATGGGAGAGCCGGAATATCGTCGCCATCAACTATCTTCAGTTTACTTTGGGCGTCGCTTGGAGCACAGTTGGCTAGGCGCGCTTGGTACCTGGCTTTTGGTTGTAGAGCCATGCGGCCAATTAGATAACGACTTTCGGTCGCCAATATGGGTATTCCTGGGTATGTGTGCTCCCAATATGACTGAATATCGGACGAAGAGCGACCTTCTCGCCAATGCAGATCACGATCAATTGGCCTCTCCTTCTTCTGCTAACCTTTCTCATCTGTGGCAGTCTCTTCAAAGAGATCGGTAAAGGCGAACGTATTGCGCTCTCTCGCCTGTGCATCACGCATCTGGAAAAGCACAACCGCCCACTACGCATTGCCATTGATGCCGCGATCTGGAATTTCCAAACTCAACACGGCGGCGTAGGAGGCAAGAATCCAGCTCTGCGCACGTTGTTCTATCGTCTTTTGAAACTGCTGGCTCTGCCTATTGACCCTGTCTTTGTATATGACGGGAACAAGAAGCCGCTTTGTAAGAGGGGACGGACTGTAAGCCATGCTCTGCACTCTACACCCGAAGCATATCGATCCTGCGCGTGTGGTCCGTGTGCTGACAGCTGTGGGATCTGCAGGTATCCCGCTGGCAAGGTGGCAATGTCACAGACCATGCTTCCAAGAAGTTGATCTCCCTCCTTAGCTTTCCTTGCCATGTGGCGCCCGGAGAGGCCGAGGCAGAATGCGCAATGCTTCAGAAGCACGGGATAGTGGATGCGGTGATGACGCAAGATGTCGACGCCATCATGTTCGGTTCGGGACTGACGTTACGAGACTGGTCGAAGGAGAGCAAAATGAAAGGCAATCAAACTCCCACGCACGTCACTGTCTTCGATCTGGAAAAGCTGAAGGAGGTCAGCAGAGGCTTGGACCCGGATGGGATGATTCTGGTCGCGCTACTGAGTGGTGGTGACTACGATGAGGATGGAGTCGCGGGGATCGGTGTCTCCCTCGCGTGCGACATCGCACGCGCAGGATTTGGATCCGATCTATTGGACCTCGTAAGGAATGAGGATGATGATGGTATAGCAGAGTGGAGAGAACGATTGCAGTACGAACTGGAATCAAATGAAAGCGGATACTTCAAGAAGAAGCGGAAATCGGTCAAAATCCCAGAGGATTTCCCAAACAGGCGCATTCTGGACTATTACATGAACCCGGCAGTGACGGAAGAGCGCGAGCTGAAGGATTTGGAGAAGAAGTGGACGAAGGCGTGGGAAGCAGAGGTTGAAGTACAAGCTCTCCGCAACTATGCCAGGGACACGCTTGACTGGCAGTATAAACCGGGCGCGTGGAAGTTTGTCCGCGTTATGGCACCGGCTTTGCTTGCCGATCGGTTGCGAAGGGATGCAGCGGCGTCGATAGTCACGTCGCCTGACCAGATCACAGAACGAAGGCAACACTTTGTCAGCGACGGTATTCCGGAGCTGAGGGTGACTGTGATTCCTGCCAAGATCGTTGGTTTGGATCTTGATACGGAAGAAGACAGCCCAGAGTACCTCAGCAGGCTTGCCGCTCACGGGGACGACGAAGCTGCGGGAGGAGAAACCGAATTAGGAGAGGACGGAGCTCCAGCATCGAGTCAGATTCCCGCAGAGAGGCGAAGGGCACCGCCTTGGCTACCTTGGAATCCTGAGAAGATGTGGCTGGCCGAGGCAATTGTGGAGCTTGGAGCTCGCGAGCACGTTGAACGTTGGAATCAGAGGCAGTGGGAGATTCAGAATGACCCCAAGAAGTTCGCCACTCGAAAATGTCCACAGAAGAAGAAAGAGCCACAGAAACCGGAGAAGACGGGAGGAATGAAGGCCGGAGCAATCCACAGCTACATCACCGCCACCAAGCCGACAAGTAAGCCCGATGACTCGGGCCAGCCGGGTTCCGACGCAGCAGCGAAGACGATCACCGACCCCCTTGCAGTAGTTGATGCATCTCTGCTGCTTTCACCTCCTCGGGCCAAGTCGACAACCACCGATTTGTTGGAAGCCGAGGATGGGTCTCTTTCTCCATCGCCGCCAGCTCCCCGACTTGAGGCGAAAATCAAGACCCGGCGTGCTATAGGCACTCCTACGAGATCCAAGTCGATTCGACAGGAGCAAAGCACCTCGCCTTTCATGCAGGACTATTTCAAGTTCACAAAGAGGAGCGATGTGGAACAGGCCTCACAAGAGCCACAAACGTCACAAGCCAGTCCATTGACGAGGCTCAACCGAGTCGACCTCAGAAAGGAGGGAGACCTGCTCAAATCGCAAGAAACCCACAGCGAGAAGCACTCAGGACCTTCAACCTCAAGCTCAATAGATCTCGTCGTGCGGATCGGGAAGAAATCCTCGAAGCCGCGAGTGAAGAACACTTTGACTGTCGTCTCGCTCGAACCCACATCATCATATCCACATCAACGGGATGTCACAGCCTCGGACGTGTTGCTGAGCCAGCAGGAGAGATACGAAGCGGCAGATCCGAAGCAGTCAGATGTTGAAGACACCCTCAATAATGTCACTCGGCGTACCCCTAAACGGCAAGCGAAGAGAGATCAAGCTCTTTTGGACATCCAAGCATCAAGTCCTGGGACAGTCGGGCCGAGAAGGCGTATCGAGAGCTTCTTTAAACCATATCTGAAGCCCAGGAAGGAAGCAGAAGCACTCCCGATTGAGACGTGCCCCAAAGACAGTGAAGACCTGGGTGTGTTCCCTACGGAGCCGACGGTGGATCTGTTGAGATTGTCTGGGGATGCACATATGCATGCCATTCCCCGATCGAGCTTACCAGGAACATGGAAAGAAGCTGAATGTGAGTCCGGGCCGAGTCCGCAGACGGTACCCCCCAGCGCTTCTCGCCTGCCTCGGGTGAGCATAGTTGACTTGACAGCCGTCTGAAGCAGATGCTGTCCAACTCATGGCAGTTTAACTTTCCAGAAGTCCTTGTTCTCGAAGAACGTTTTACTGCGAGTAATCTCAACCGCGGCTGCTTCGATCGTTGCGATAGCGCTGGGCTTATCGATCCGGACCTTTGCAACGGTATGGCCATAGCCGAGTGTCACGATCTGGGCGACCGCAGTGGCAAGTGCTTCGATCGTGTGGTATGAAGAGCCTTCGACGCGTTCCCGGATGGTCTGGACCATGTCGTGTAGTGCCGCAGTATAGTGTTCTTCCAGCGCACCAACTCCCACGGCAGGGTCAACCATTGGCACGCTGATATCGACGAATACCGTCTGCTTGTAGATGCGCTCATGTGGGTTGACGCCAACGATGCAGGTACAGGCGATTTGTCTGACTGTCACAGTCAAGCTGGATGTGTCGATCTCGAGCTCGGATTTGTCGACCTGAAAACGATACAGGACGCCGCCGGTGCTATGAGGAAGAGCTTTCGGGAGTAAGATCTCAATGTTAAGCACCCCACAATCAGGGACAAGTCCCACCAGCAGAGAGATCAAGGAACGGATCGTGGGAAATGCGTCCGGATGGGGCTCTTTCAACGCAGAAGAGATATTTTTGTACAAGCTCCCGTAGTCCATCGATAGGTTCACGTCATCTTTGGCGGCAGCAGGCTCGAGCGTTGACGTTGGCTGAGCCTCTATGGTGATCTGGACAGGTTGCGGTTTGCGGAAACGACGCCAAGCATCCAGCCCGATGGGAAAGTCGAAGCGCATGTTTTTCAGGATGACCTTGTCCATGACTACAGTTATGAGAAAGAACGTGGATTGGGGCTCTGCTGGAGACTACAGCCAGGGCTTGGATGGTCAGAGTACGGAGCAAGCTACTGTAGGAGGCATGAAGGTGGAACGACATTTGTGCGGAACGGAAACGGAACAAAGATAATCCGTGCCCCGCGATTTACCTGCCGAGCTTCTCCAGGGAAGGCACGGGCCAGATCCGGGGCAAATCTGTGGTGGAAATTCGGCCAGTTTTGATTGGCCCAACTGGGTCCGTTGGTTCGTTGGCCGATTTAGAGTCGCCCTTTGGATTTTCCCAGAATTCCCAGATTCTTTGCTGACCTTGACCACAAAGTCTAACTCTCCCTTATTGCTCTGCAACTCTTATGATTGTTGATCAATCTTTGATTTTCACTCACTGTTGAGGTTGTTTTGTCACTTTCAATGGGTCGAAGCGCCGTCACTCTTCCAAACGCGACTTCTAAATTCCCGCCTGCCGCTTGCGGCCGCTTCATTGCACCTTCCCATGTGATCGCATCACCAGCTTCAGTCGCGCTTTACAATTCTAGCTATAGAGTCGTTTGGCTACTGGCACAAGGTCCGTCCTGAACAAGGGCGGACGGTAATAAACACACCCTCCTGGGCCGCAACTATCCCTTTACACCGACCCTTTTTGTATTGAGGCATCATCAGAAAGTTTACCAGTATGAGTATTTCGGCAGTACAGACCGTCATGGACAAGGTCTCAGATACATCCAGCGAGACGCGCACAGCAGTCGAGACATCAACGAGCCTGCAGGAGGCGATCAATGCGATTGCGGTCGAACACAATGCTCCTTCAGAGGCTGCAGAGCCAGAGATCATACCTTTCCGGGCCAAGAGCCCTCCTACTACACCTCGCAAGACAATGCCCGTCAACGGTCAAGCGAACGAGGCTGTTGCTGAGCTCCCTACTGAAAGGGGACGGCAAGAAGTCAAAGGCAGTGCTATACTGTCCACCACGGCAGCAAAGAGGCGGAAGAAGAAAAACAAGACAAAAGCTGCTCAGCCTGTGCAAGCGTTGAACACTGTCAGAGGCTTCACCCCTGTTGATTCAGGCGCCGAAGATTCAGATTTTTCCCGCGCAAACAGTCCGCGAGTCCTGTCACCCATTCCCCGTTTGCCTGCATTGGCCGGTGCAAGCCCTGGTTTGAGGCCGCAGTCACCCGGCATCAGCAGCTTGAAGGCCCAGCTCGATGCCTTGAATTCGCGCAGCCAGAGTCGATCAACCTCTCGAGTGCGAGATACCTTGACCTCGGAAGCCAACAGTAGTGCAGCCAGCGCCGCGTCTGACAATCAGGAAGAGGAGCCACAAGAGGATATGGTCAGCTACAATGTTCAGATCGACCAAGACTTTGTCAGTCAGTCGCTGGCGGAGACTGGGACGAGCACGGCTACTCTTTCGTCGCTAGATGCAGATCAGCGCGCGACCTCAATGATCGCCCGCAAGATGACCGCGGCAGATTTCACGCCAATTCGCTGCCTTGGGGATGGCGCGTTTGGCACCGTGCTTCTTGTGCGACAGAACGCGACGGGGCGCCTGTTCGCTCAGAAACAGCTCACCAAGGCATTTCTTAAGGTCCACAAGAAGCGGATCGAGTCGACCATGTCGGAACGCACAATTCTCGAACTGGTCAACCGTCATCCTTTTATTGTCAACCTGTATTATGCCTTCCAGGACCACGAGAAGCTCTACCTGATTCTCGAGTATGCTTCTGGTGGTGAACTCTTCCGCCATCTGGAGTTGGAGAAGTTCTTCTCTGAAGAGGTTGCGGCCTTCTATATTGCCGAGATCGTTCTGGCTCTCGACTATCTTCACAACACCATGGGTGTCATCTACCGCGATCTCAAACCCGAAAATTGCCTGCTAAACTCCGAAGGACATCTGCTGCTGACAGATTTCGGGCTAAGCAAAGTGGCGGTTCAGGATGCTAGCACACCCGGTGGCAGCCGATGCAACAGTCTTGGTGTCGGGACAATCGAATACATGGCCCCTGAAATCATCCGAGGCTCTGATGAGTCCGACTGGGGCCCGGGATATGGCAAGGCATGCGACTGGTGGTCTCTGGGCGCGATGGCATGCGATCTCATGACGGGCAAACCGCCTTTCGGTGGAGGCAACTGGACGAAGATCCAACAGAACATTTTGTTTCAAAAGTTGAGTCTGCCGTATTTCTTGTCGCCAGACGCCAAGGATCTTTTGACCCGACTCCTGCGCAAAGAGCCTAAGAAGCGACTGGGCGTTGGTCCCAACGACATCAACATCATCAAGAAGCACCGTTTCTTCAGGAAGATCGACTGGAAGAAGTTGGAAGCAAAGGAGCTCGAGCCGCCCATCAAACCACTGGTCACCAATCCCGAACTGGCAGAGAATTTCGCAAAAGAGTTCACGGACCGAGCGGTTGATACGATTGCACGAAGGCATAGCAGGACACTGAGCAAGTCTGATCCTTTTGGTGGGTTCAGCTACGTTGCCAGCAACAGTCTGCTCGAGGAGTCCATGCTTTCTGAATTGGACGAGGCTATCATTGACGAAGACATTTAGATGCTTACGACACCGGGTTAGAGCATAGACGTTAGAGCATATGACCATTCGTAGGGCAACTTGGGTAGACTGGGGAAGGACAAGCATACAGTGGTCTGGACAACAGCGCGGCGTCAAGGTTGAGGGCGGTCCACAAAGATTAGAGCATGGGGGGTTGCGACTTGTTTACAAGTCAGGATACAAAACAGCTCTGATATCTCTTTACACAACAGGCACGCCTTGACCTTCAGAAGCACGACCATCAGGACCATGCACGTTTCGCTCTCTTGAAACACGAAAGATGCACGACCTTCTGAAAGCGGTTAGAGGCCGTTGTGTGCCTGCATTGGTGCCTATTTTGCGGCCCGACCACGAATCAGAGAGCCGTATCTCGTAGACCCCACTCTCATTTGAGACTCACCTTCGCCTCAGTCCGAAGTCGCCCATCTCTCAGCCGGCTCTCACACACTCTTCGGAGTCTGGCCATTTCCTCAAGTCTTCGCGCTTTGACTTTGATCATTTCAGTTGATACGACTTCGTCCGTACGGGATCAATGCCATGGCGCGTCCGGCAATCCTCGATCTTGAAGTTGAAATCCTCGCCAGCATATTCGAATTCGTCGATGATCAGTCACCTCGAAGCACCGCAGCCGTCGCCCAGGTCTGCAAACAATTCAACAGCGCCGTCGAGTACATTCGGTATCGTCGTGTCACCATCCAATGGCATGGAACGAAATGCTCATGGGTGGATTCGAAAAGTCGAATTGAGCAAGATTGGCAGAACCCTGATTTACTCCGCGGCCTTCGACATCTCACTGTCTGCAGAGGCGATCTACCTGCACTGGTCGATGAGGGTGAGGACGAGCTGGCTGACAACGTCAACTCCAACGAGGATGAAAACGACCCCCTTACCACGATGGGAAATCCTTTCGGCCAATTAAAAAGCGTCCTTCGTGATGCCAGCAACCTCAAGACACTGGTCTGGAAAGTCGGCTATTTCCCACCTTTAGGAATCACGAAGGCCTTGTACGCTTATCAGCCAAAGACGAAATTAAACCTCTACAAAGCTGAGAGACTTGCCAGTCCTGTTGGGCTGTTGGCCGCGGAGGCGGGTCTGGCTACACTGCCCAGTCTCACCACCTTTTCCATGACGGCCTCCCACGGAACCTGCATCGAAGACCACATGACCTTCCAGGTGGTACTGGCTCTGGCACCGAATCTGAAGTTTGCATCTCTGGTCTCACTGCCCCTGATGCGGCCGGGTGACCCAGAGTTGGCCAGCCGCTGGCGAGCCAAACCCGAACTGTGGTTTCCCAAGGAATATGCCAACAGAAGGCCGAATTCCGCTCTGCGTCATCTTACTTTGGACGGTTGGTGCTTGTCCGCCGAAACGCTCGACTACTGGTCGCGGTACGTCAACTTGGCATGCTTGGAGAGCTTCAAGTGTAGCCGAGGATCCGTGTACGCTTCATTTTTTCAACGCGCTCCACAGCTGTTGACCCGTCTCAAGCACATCAGCCTGAACCTCAACCCTCAAGAACGCAACGATGAGACAGCTGCAGCGATCGAGCAGTACATTGCCACATGCGCTGGTCTGTCGAGTCTTAGTTTGTGGTCGTGGAGAGGTGGGGTATCACTTTCTACCATTCTTAGTCGACACGGGCCCACTCTCACCGCATTGCACCTTCATGAGCGCGAGGATTCTTGGTATTCGCTGAGAGATACCCTCTCGGCAGAGGAGCTCAGATCCATCCGACAGTCCTGTCCACAGTTGAAAGAGCTCACCTTTGATATCAATCGGACCTCCCAGCTACTCCGCCTCGAAGAGTACGGGGTCATGATGGAAGAGCTTCGCAAGTTCAAGCTGGACAAGTTGCAGATTTATTTGGATTGTGGTGTGCCCTGGCTGGCGGATACTGGCGGGAGATACGACCACGATGGAAAACCCGTCGATGACAGAAGAATGCCGGATGTCATTGATAGCGACTTCGCATTCTGCTCCGGCGACGACCAATTTCGTTTCGCCTCCCCTGTCCGCGTTCGACCCAGGGCCTCTGAAAATGCCGACAGGGAAATTGTAGCATACCCTCCATCGTCGAACAAGCAGATGTGCAGCTTCCTCGTCTCGACTTGGAAAACGGTGTTTGGATCTCAGACGCAAGGCGCAAGACAGCTAACCATCAAATCCGGAGAATGGGAGCGCCTAAATACCCCCGTCCTTCCACGACTGCGAGGACAACGAGACGTCAGGGTGTGCTGTCGTGCTTGGCCACATCAGAGGGACGACAAGCAAGGGACGTGTGAGATCGAGATCATTTGCTGTCAGGGGGAGCACAAGAGGAGGTTTACCAGCAGGTAGCGGAGTAGCCCTCTCTCCCTTCTCCGAGAGCGAGTCATGGTGCGCCTGTGTTTCGCATACCATGGACTTGACCAGCATGCTGCATCCACCAGCCAATCTCAATACCGTGAGGCATGTGCGTTTCGAGAAACTGTGGCATCATCTACCTCCGCGTATGGACACATTGGATAGCCCCAGATTGACAGATGGGTGCTACGAAGAGAGAATATTCAAACGCTCAATGATGCGGGCGGAAGTTGAATTTGACGACGGCAAAGAATGAGCATCGGAGCAATGCGGGATCTTCTACTCCTTAGACGGCCTACTTCGTACCTGCTGACTCGCGGGCGATGTATGTCCATGATATTCTGCCCCCATGTATCGACGATTCGGCGATTGTGGGCATTCCTCGTCATGTGCCGCGCCACCCGCAAACCCACCGGCGCTTCAACTTGCAGTGGTACAGACGAAGCAGAGGAAGCAGAGAGCACGCCGCATATGTGCTGTACTTGGTAATAGAGAACCCATACTTCCACGAAAAGCAAGCAGCATTCTCACCACCCGTATCTATGCGGAAGCTTCCCACGAAAAGCAAGCAATATTCTCACCACCAAGTTATCCTTGCAGAAGAGTAGATCTACGAATACATCCCGTCTTCCAGAACTGAAGGTACCAGTATGTATCTGATGACCTTCCCCGGGAAGTCTCACCCACATCCATCGCCTTGATCGTGACGGGTATTTACGGACCTTCTCTAGCCTGAGACGGAGCGTGACTCTCATCCCGCCAGTCCGGCCATTGCAGCGATATAAAGTGGTGCATCATGCAGGCCGCCAGGTAGGGGAGAGCAGGCTTCATTTGAAATCCAGTCAGTACCAGAAGACCAACAAGACGGCGCACGGGAAAGGAGAATAACATGCAATGGTGTCAGATGTGGACCTTGGGTCGACAACCCTCCTCTGCTCGACTGCTCGTACGGTATCCTATCTTTCACTAGAAAGGATTTGTTCAATAGGTTATAGCATAGCGACGACCCCGTACCGGCTACCAGCCACTCAATCGTAGGTTAACGAGTAATCCGCACACTGGCCGCTATATTCCTCGACGATACTCTACCCTCCTCCAACCAGCCAAGTCAGGAAGAAACACCCTGATCCTCTCTCGACCGCAGTTCCCTGAGCCCTGACTCACAATGTCACCACCACCAATGATACCAACAACATCAACAACGATACCAACAACGGCATAACCGCCCAGGAAGCGACGAGCGCATAAATCGACGGAATACCAGTCCCGATCCTTATACCATTCTTTCTCCCACCGCGTATCGACCAAGCACCCGACTTGGCGCCCTGGACGGGAACGCTCGCGCCGGCCCCAGATGTAGCGTTGGGCGCGACACCCGATGCACCCCCCGCTCCTGTATTCATGGCGGTCAAAGCAACGGGCACGACAGTCATACTCTTGATCCCCCCCTGCCATGTCGCGTTCGTGGTGGCGTTCCGGGCCGACGGCGCGGGGACTGGCGGAACAGAGAAATTGAACGGCGCGGTCGCGACCACGAGGTTCAGAGTCAGTTTGCCTGGCCCTGCCGCCGCGGAGGAGGTCATCGGGAAGGAAATGGGGAAAGTATATGGGATTGGGGCGTGGTGGTTGGTGTTGGTATTGGCGCTGGCAGACACCGCAGACGCGGCAGACCATGCAGTGACTGATGCTTCAAGCGAGGAGATTGATTCCGCGCACGGGATTGTGAGGGTCGTCATTGGTGGAGTGTCCGCGTTGCCCGCGTCGCCCGCGTCGGGAGGGCCACCTTCGGGTCCCCCTTGTTGTTCGCCCATACCATTGTTGTCAACCACCGCGTTCGCATTCGGTGTGGGCGTTATAGGACAGCCTTCGACGACCGTTGTAGTCATCGGAACCACCGGGCTGGGCATATCTGTGCATCCGCAGTGCAGGAGCGTGACGGTGGTGATGAGGCTAGTTTCTGTCCTGATGGGACAGGTTGCAGGGTGATAGGGGCAGATCGTTGTGTAGACCGTGGAGATTACCGTGGGAGAGAGGGTTAGGATTGGGGTTGATGAGGTAGGTGTCCCAGTGACAAGAGGGGATGCCGTGGACGTAGAAGTGGTTGTCGGGGAGTTCAGGATGGGATTGTCGGTTTGTGACTCGGACGTCGAGATTGGCAGGGTACTGCTTGTAAAGAGTGATGGAGATGGCGTTGAGAATGTAGTACTCATGCTCATGCTCATGCTAGCACTCGTCGTGCTCGCAACTCCAGGCCCATCAGTAACCAAAAGAGATGTGGTAGTCATCGTTGTACTTGACGAGGAACTGCTAACATTACCACCCGTGCCAGTGCTATTATATAGCGTCAGGAGGATGATGTCCCCATCGGCATTGGTGATCTGCCTTCTCACAAATCGAGATGGGGACGAAGATAGCAAGACCTTGCCACCGCACTTCTGCGTTGAATCTCCAGGGCAGGTGGTGTTGCATGCTGAAACAGGGTATTCAATAAAGTCTTCGGTGGTGTGTGTGGGGAGGGAGTAAGACGAGCAGTAGCATTGCCTGTGGGAACAGAGTATTAGCAAGGATATTTTGTGACGGAAAGGCCCTATTGAAGGGAACAGAAGGATCGGCCTGACTGCGTATGAGACGAAAAGACTTACGTATCGTACAACCCAGCGAACACGTCCAAGGAGCAGTCACTGACACACCGCTCGATAGACATAGATGGTGAATCTTCGACAAGGGTAAAACTGTTGGCAAACGCAGTATTGGATCGCGGTCCCAGACATCCTGCAAAGGAAAAAGAGGCACCATTTTCCGAGACGACTTCCGTGGGTCCAGGCAGGATCTCGCTCGTAGTCGTGGTGGTCGACGGTTCAGAGGTTGACGCGACTGCCGTTGTCGAGACGGATGGTTGGACGGGATCGGAGCTGGTACTACTGACCTGTGGGGCTAATGTCGTCGGGAATCCTGATGGTGAATCTGAGGTTGGTGGTTGCTGGGAGGGTGAGGTCGTTTGCGAAATGGGTGCGGAGCTGCTCAACCCTTGCGAAGACGACTGTGCCATTATGATCGAAGAGGTTGTCGGTCCTGCGGGGTTCGTTGAGGGTGACAACGATGCTGGGACGGACGACGTAAGCATAGAAGACGGTGGATTCAATACAGAGGACACGCCGACAGGACTGCTGCTGCTGCTGGGGACTAGACTCATGCTCGATGACGTATTGATATGAGTGGTGACTCCGGGAGTGGTTGTAGTAGCATACGAGGAATGAGGCTGTGTCTGGCTGATGGTAGAGGATGTGGCATGGGCAGATGAAACCGAGACCACCGGCGAAGAAGAGGAAAGTATTGGCGATTGTGCGGACGTGGCCTGAGCTGAGGTCGACCCATGGTTCGATGTACCAGCAGACGTGGCTGAAGATGGTATCAAGGATGATAGTGTGCTAGAAGATATCGAGCTCCGTGTCGAGAGCTGTGTAGTTGTTGTGGCTGAAGTTGGAGGAAGTGCGGTCATGGCCGCCGGCGAAGATGATATCGGCACAAGGGAGCTTGTAGTAGGTAGCGTGGTCGCCGAAGTGGGTATTGGGCGAGACGTCGAAGAGCTGAGCAAAGCAGACAATGTTGATGTTGTGCTACTCCCGAAAGAGGAGGAGCCGGTATACGAATGTGATTGTGAACTCGTGGTTCCCGCATCCGTGCTTGTCGAAGTTGTATCATCAGTAGACGAAATGCTACCTCCCATGCCACCACCGTTAGTAATGTTGGCCGTGGGTGTCTCCGTGATCAAGGAGAAAGACGTGGTCGTCGTGACGCCTGGCGGTGAATAGTATACAGGCGTGACAGACGTCGCGACGTAGGACGTACTGCTACTGCTCGTGGTCTGCATTCTCGGGTCATCCGTTACTTGTGGATAGGCATAGTAGATCAGGCGCGCACTGTTGAAGCCTGCTTGAGCCGGGCTGCTGCCGACATTTCGTTTCCAGTAGCATGCATTGTTGGCGACGTTGTAGGTAACACCACCACAGATGTTCGTTGCGTTGTACGTGTTCCAATACGTGCACCCGCCCACGCAACCTTCAAAGTTGGTGTATGAATAGCTTGGATACGGTCTCCCAAGGTCAGACCCACCGATGTTGACGCCGCATTCGATCTCATAGTTGTAGAGGCCGGACTGAACGACAGTAAAATTGTAAGTTGGGCATAGGGACGTCGTCGGCACTGGTGTTGAAGATGAAGTCGTCGATACAGCAGTCGACTGAGTCGGCTGGTTGCTTGCAATGTATGGGGCGATTGTGTTGGTGGCGTTCGGGCTAGAGTCGAGCAGTTGGTAAATTCGGATGGAATTGATGCTCCAGTACCTGTCACCAGATTAGAGTCCGTCTGTTCGCGCGCATGTCCAAAATCACTCACGCGTTCTGAAAGGCTCCAGGTACGCCTGCGACATATGCATTGCACGTAGAGTACCCGGTCGACGTGGCGCAGGAATTCGTGGTCGAGTTCCACACGCTGGAGGCGCCAGCATATTCTCCGCAGAAGGCATTGTTCAGAATGACCTTGTGGCTCTGGAAATGCTGGTCGATGATGCAGGAACCTTGCAGATTCGCAGCCGGTAAACCCCAGGAGGAAGGATTGGGTGTCTTGTTGATAATGTCGGCAGGGATCAAATTCCGTGGGAAGAACCAAACACGGACGTAGTCTGATGTCCAATGCATTGCATACACTCCTCCTCCGACCGCATTGAAACCGGAGCCAAAGCTGGTCGTTCGATTGTCCCGTACGCCGCAGCCGACATTGTAACCGGGCTATTGACCGTCAGTATACTTTCGAACATGTCACCATGTACTGACATAGTACGCGCAGTCGTTGTTGGACAGCTGACCCGTCATGGTCCTGCTGTCTCCTGCTATTGAGCACACCGGACTCCTGACCAACCAGTAAGTACAACTTCGTGACCTGTTGAAAAGAAGTCACCATACGTATGTAACGTCGCAGCATTGTAGGTGGCCTGGTTCACTCCTTCCATGATGTCGATCTCGCCGTTGTTTGGCCAGTTAGGTCCCAATGTCCAGACTGCAACAGTCAGCCCACACTGCTCCAAAAGAGGACAGTACGCACAGGCTGGCCAAGTGCCACAGATGCCACCAGGTGCATGATTAAAATCTCCAATGAATAATCCATGTGTCCATGACCTCTTCGTGGAGATCCTTACGCTGGGCCTGCCCGCAGCTTGTGTCGAGCCAATCAAGGTGTTGTAGTCAGAACCGATGTAGACGGGTGAGCTGTCGCTCGCGTTGATCAAGCCCGTGAGCTGGGCAGAGCTTTGGCTGTAATATCTGTTCCGCCATTAGACGGTTCGCTTAGCTCGCATGGCCATATACCCACGTTACGAAGCCTCCCGTGGGATCGCCACCCTGTGCCCGTCAGTCACTCACAAAACAATTACTCGCGGTCAAGATCTCCTACCGTGAAGAAGTCCCATCCCTGGAAGAAGTTTGCGCCGGAGTATTCCGTGTCTAACTGGTACACTGAGCCAGTAAATGCCGCAGTGCACCGGAGATATATGAAACAAGCGAAAAACAAATGGAGAGCCACGCTCCGGCGGCGGAAGGAATGGACAGCCATGCCTGGCAAGAGAACAGAAAGCAGATCGCCGCTCAGCAACAAAACACGCAAACTGAGGAAGTACGTCCATCATGCAGGCGTTTGGAGTGACTATAACAAATACCGGCGCGAGTATGTTAAGGAATGTGCACGGTACTTCTCGGCACAACATGCTGGAAAACAAGGGGTCGGTCCATCTTGCCATTTCAGAAAATCCGTGGCTTCTTGACAATGTCGAAGAGTATGCATTATGCTCTGATGGAATAAAGTCGGGTTGGTCGGAGGCTCAAACTTTGTGTAGGGGGTTGAGAACGTGGAAAGAAATCTTTCGCTGCGAAATACCTCGGGTGAGACACAGCGTCTACTCACGTAACAAGCGTCTGGCTGCATTCTCCTATAGAGTGAATCGGTGGCTGGCAGCCATATATGTTGATTTGTAGTCCTAACGCGGGGCCGCTTGGGTTGAGCAAAAGGCACGTCGTAAACCGTAAGCTGTTGGACTCTAGGTTCTGGTTGGCGCAAGTCCATCCAGAACATATATCCATTGACAACAGCGAAAACGTAGTTGCGTCGCTGAGAGGCAAATCCAGCTTTCTCATGCCTCATTTTCCTTGTTGCTAAACTTTTCGTAGAACTCCAGCGTCATGGCGGCAAGGAAGCATGGAATCTGCTTCTTCTCCTTGACCCAGAAGTTGATCAGGTCCTTGATCTCCTGGGCAAAGGGGCTGTCGGACCCTCCACTTATCTTCATTGTCCCGTTGTCTCCATCGAAGATAATGTAATGATCATCGTCTTCTTCCTCCTCGTCCTGGTCTCCGGCATCGTGAGGGCCACCATAATACATGCTCGACACCTTAGCCTTCCCGTTCGGCAGGAAGTTGACCTTGTAGCCAAGGACGCTTGCAATAACATCGCGAAACTCGGCGGCCTTTTGGGTCCATATCTCCCGTTGTCGTCTCATCCGCTTCTCTTTCTCGGCCACAACCATTTCCATGTCCTTCAAATCCAGCTTGAGCGCATCGACCGAACTGGCAGGAACAGTCCTGGTCCCCTGGAGGTCTTCCCCACGTAGCTGCGCCAGGAGCCCCTTGTTCTCCTCCTTGAGGGTCCGCAAGGTCGACATCTTGATTGCTTCGGCCTTTGCCGTGGGGTTGTCTCGAAGTTCCAGGACTCGAGTCTTCGAGCTTTCTCTCAAAGCCTTGAGCTGACCTTTGGTTGCTTGGAGATCCGTGGCCAGCATCTGTGACTGCTGAGCCGTCTTCTGCAAAGCGATCTGCAAATTCTTGTTCTTCCGTAACAGTGCTCCGAGTTGGGGATTGCCATCACCCTCAGGGTCCTGCGAATCGGCTGGCCGCTTCGTTCCGCGTGGTTCTTCTTGAGTCTGAGCGCTGGTTGGAGGTGCGGCTTCCAGCTTCGACAGGTCTGAGTGCAGAGTCTGCACTTCAGCCTTGTACTGATCAACCAGACTTTCCAGACTTTTGATCTGCTCAGCTCGTTGTGCGTCGAAGTTCTGGTTGTCCATCAGTACGGTCTCTTCAGTGTCGAAAGTCTTCAGCTGTGCCCTGAGGTATTCCACTTCCTTGACAGCAAGCACCCGCTGTCGCTCGAGCCTCTTATAGGCTTTATTGTCCTGACCAGCTTCCTGTGCAGTTTGATTGGATCTCATTTTCTCCATTTCCGCCTTGAGCTCCTCCTTTTCTCCCTCCAACGCCTTAATGATTTGATCCTTTTCAGCCATTTCGCTCTCGATTGTGCCAAGTCTGTCGGTGATTGATGCGTACTCGATCCGCTGGTGGATTAAAGCCTTCACCACGGCTTCGGGGGTATCAAATTCGTTCTCTTGTCCTTCTCGCTCCAACAAGCTTGTCCACGTTCTCTTCTCGTCCTCGAGTATCTCTTTCTGGATCTGTGCTTCGCCTAATTGTCTCTGGACATCCTTCAGCACTTGAAGCTCGATTTCCAAGCCATGCTTCTGCTCTTCCACCACCTGGACACTGCGGTGGGCGTCTCGTAGCCGTCGCAACTCGGCCAGTTGTTCCCTATTCGTCGACTCAAGTTTCCGGATGTGCGTCACTTGCTCAGACAGCTGGTTCTGCAGGACGCTCAGTGCCTCACTGTCAGCAGAGTGCGATCTTGAGGCGCCCAGCTCGGATTCAAGTGCTTCGATTCTTGCATCTCGCTCGGACAGACGGGTTTGTGATGACTCGAACTGTCGGCTCAAGTCTTCTAGCTCCTGTCTTACACTGTCGACGGTCTCTTGGAGAGCAGCGCGTTTTGCTTCGACGTCGTTGAGTTGGTGGTTGTAGTGTCTCTCCTGGTCAGCCAGACGTGCCTGCGCATCCACTGCGTCTTCCTTGAGGGAGGCATTCTGATCTTGCAAATCTCGTAACCGTCGTTCCAGCGCAGCCTTCTCGTTCGTCCGCTGGTCCTGTAATTCGCGCAGCTCTTTTGCTATGGCCTCTTGCCTCTGCGTCGCCTTTTGGGCGGCGCTTTCGGCCGTCTGGTACTTCTTGAAGTCATTCTCGGCTCTGACTTGTTGGTCACGCAATTCTTTTTCATGTTGCAGCGCCAGAAGCCCGCGCTCCTGCTGAAGATTCTTCAGCTCGTATTCGAGGGAGTTGATCTTCGCGCGCAGGTTCTCATCTTGCGTCGGGTCAGCGCGCGCCACTGACGGTTGGCGCACTCTAGACTGTCTCAGTGGCTGATGAGAGTTGTCGGCCGCTCCTCCGGAGATGAAATCGTAGGTAGGTTGCGTGGTCGTCTGACGGTTATGACCAGCGGAAGAAGTCGGTCGGGGCAATGCTGATTGTGCGCCTGAAATGCTCTTACGTCCCGAAAGCGACGTTCTAGACGTGGACAGCCGCATACGCTTTGAGCTTGATGCCGGTGAGCTCATGTTGCATCTAGTCAAAAATCAGAGCAGGAGGAGTGCTTGCGAAGCGCTATGTGTACCGCATCTCTAAGGAAGGCGTATCTCAATTGTTGTCGAGTTGTTTACAAAGTCGCTGCTTTCGACCTCGCCACCGAGGATTAACCGAGTATATCACAAACTTCACTCTGCAGACTCCTTTGTTTTACGTTCGCGTCTCTTTGTCGGCGTGCGTCAAATGAGTGTTGGAGTGCTTCAGCAGCTATGCGCCATCTCCTATTCCTTTTCCTGTATGCTATGGTCGCATAACTCAGCAAGCGTCAAGAGTACCTTTCCCTTGTTCAAGTAGCACCCAAGGCAGATCCCCGGGACCTCGTCGAGAAACTCGTCCACGGTTTCTTCCAGGTCGCTCGCAACATCCCGGGAGCAAAATCTGCACGGGTTGTCTGTGCGAAATGTGCATCCATCGCCCTCCATTTGATCCTTCAACGCGTTCGACTGTCGAAGCCGGCACGCAATGTCCTTGACTGCAACTGAAACGCTATGCACAGACTGGTCCCGGTGGATTTCCATATCGATTCTGACCTTCTTGAACTTCAGGGCGCACATCAAGAAGCCATATTTTCTGATTTGACACGATGGGATCTGTTTGCTACCTCCGAACCCTCTATCGACACATTCCAGAACGGAGGCGAAGAGCGACGTGATGCAAGTGCGCGCAGACTGTAAAACAGCATCTGCGAATATCAGATTCGGGGCTCTGAGCTGCAAACCACAACATTTTCTGTATGTACTCACCATAGACAACGTCGTATATCGAGGATTCCGTCTTCTCATTCTGCTCTTGACGAGGCTTGGAAGGTTTGGTGGACCAAATCAGGAACCGGGTAGACTTCCAAAACATCCCTTCCAGCTGAAACAGCAGCATAACGGGGAGGAGCCGCTCAAGGTCATCTCGCGCATATCCGTCCCCATCTCCCGCTTGCTGCTCGTCTTCCTGGTGTTGCCAAAACTTCGGACTTCTGTGGTCCAGCCGCTCAATAAGTGGTGAAAGTCTCATGACAACCCAGGGTCTCAACGCCGACGTACAAAGCCGCATGTCAGCGAAGACAGCTAAATTGTTGAGCTCTTCGGGCTCGAGGTGATTGAGATTCTCTGCTTTGTGGTGGACGATTTGGCAGAAGGTCAAAACAGTCTGCGGGTCGTCTTCCGGCAAGCTAATGACTTTTGTTCGGCCTTCAGTGAAGTTCGAGGACAACATCGAGGAGAAGACTTCAGATGCTAGGCTGACAACCACGCCAGATGCCTTGATGTCGCAAGCCTCTTCGCCAGTTCCAACCTTGAAAGTCACATCGCCGTTAGGGATGACTTCCACGACCCTTGGGCGCTCTCCCTGCTCCTTGGCCTCGCGATCCATCTCGTCAGCCTTGCGTTTCTTACCCGCCTGGGCAGCTTGATCATCCCCGTTATTATCATCGGTCTTCGTCATGGTGGGCGCTGAAGGTGATTTCGACAATAAGAATTTCTTGAGGACGAGCATGTGGGACTCGGAGTCTAGGAGCAAGAGCTCAGCAGAAGTTGAAAGTGAGGTCAGGTAAGTGCGAGGGACTCGTTATGTCGCTCCTGCCAATTTGAACTACGTGGTCTGAACATGGAATTTTCACAAAACACCTCGAGTTGATGGTGACCACAAGGATGGGTTTGGGGCTTTTCTGCTGCATATCAGCTCAGTAGAAATCATCGCAAAATCCATTGGCTGCCATAATATGACTTGTCTGTCTTCAGTGTATGACGTGACAGTTCAGGACATAATCCTGCAACATCTCCTTAGATCATGGCGCTGCCGCCCCGGGGAATGACACTCATCCATGAGGAACAAGAACAATAAGACATTGGCTTTGCCGGCGTTCATCACTTTGAAATCGTCGGGCTGGCCGTAGGCGATCAGGTAGAAGTGGTGGATAGATTGCGGGACGTTCTTCCGGACCTTACAACTCCTGCCTCTTTTTCAGAATCCCAATGACAGCAGTCTTGGAAGCGCCTTGTTCCTCGTGTGACCACTACGCGTGATCTAGAAACTCGGGAAGTCAGAGGCGGCGTCGAACTCGCCGCCAGCCGTCCCTGGATCGTTGGTGTGAGCAAAGAGAGGTCAGAGTAAGTCTCGCGTTTCGTCGATGTCGCAGGACCGTAATACAGCCCAGGTCAGCACCAGCAGCACAAGCTGCCCTGATTTTCTCGAGCTTTTCCACCGTATGGACCAATACCTGAGCCCTTCCCGTCATGATGAACGCCACCCAACAGTCCAGCACGCCTCTCTTACAGTCACTAGCCACTGCTGAAGCGGGTTCCTAGTCCAAGTGTCCGCCCAGCCCTGGCGGCAGATGGTCATTTCTACTCCATGACCGCTTGCATATTCCTTGATCAAATCCGACAACGCTGAGAACGATCTGTCCAATACTACAGCTGATCCTAGCGCCGGCTCCGACTGCAAGTACTCAGTTCCGACTCCAGTACTGTTGGTTCAGACATTTGCATTCTGGCAGCTGTGACGCTTGACACTGTCGACCAGGAAGCCAGGCCTACCAGCCCGGGAGCATAACAAGCACACACCAGGCAACGCGGCGCTGTGTTTCTCGATGATAGCTGCGAACTCGACGGCGAAATCACGACTGCAGTAGTCGCATAGCTTGCCTCGTTTTGCACTCGGAGTCGATTTCTCCTTGTTGCAACTGTTCTTTGTTGGTCCCTTGTTGTCGTCTTTGAGCTCCTCCGCAAGGACGCTAAGTCTGCCCATTACAACTCTCAGTGACTGCGGTTCGACCATGTCGGCGGAGATGATGCCATGCTTGCGCAGAAGGAGGTGGAGCATGCCGCGCCTTGTGGTTCGACAGTACAGCAAACTGGAATCAGACTCGATACCCTCACCAAGGCAGTCGAACACGTCTTTCAGGAAAGCATTGACGTAACGAGTCTGGATCTTGGCGGTCACATCTATGATTGTTGACCACTGGGCTCACCAAGCAAACTACTATCGGCCAGGCACCTACCGTACACTGTTTCCCCGTCCGGATTAACCATGCTTGGGATTCTCAGGTCGCTTCCGGTGGTCGTTGTGGAGTCGCAGGGACAGAGAGCGAGGTACTGTCTAGTAGCGTACCAGAAATCCTTCACAAAGGGTCGCGCAAATGTCGATCAGGTCTCGGAGAAAGAAGCTGTCTGTCTTTGTAGGGGGTACGGGGTAAGGTAAACTCGACGGACACTCGATCGTTGCCTGGGCCTCGACGACTTTCTTCCGGTGCACATAGCCGCGAACAAGGCCGGTTCTCCGGTACAGCCACGAGGCCACCACCTCCTGACTGTGCCACATATCGCTCAGCACGGCCAGTGCTGATAGTTGTCGGCTAGTGAGTTCGTAGAGTTTCACAGGTCGGTCATGGACAATGTTGCAGAATTGTAAGAAGGCTTCTGGGTCTTCTTCTGGCAGGCTGCTTCGTTGTCAGCAATCGAGGACTTTGGAGGTGAAGTGTTGAAATCCCAGACCCTGTACTACGACAGTAGCGCAGGCTACGAGATGGACATGAAGTGCACTCACCTGACGGTCTTGGTCTTCGCCTCCACGAATTGGCCGAATAACATCCTGGAAAGCACTGGCGGCGCCGAACCATGACCATTCCTGAGACCTTGACCTCAAGGGCATCTTTGCCGGTCCCGACTTTGAACGTCGCATCGGCATTGGGCACCACTTCGACGACTTTGGGATGAGGCTGGTCTTCTTGCGTGTCGATCTCTTTCGCCTTGTGCTTTCATGCCATATTAGCGAGGGTTGTATCTCCACTGTCCGCCACGAGGTTGTCAGATAAGGTGATGGGACAGCCGTCACAGGCGATTTGTATTTCGTGTGAAGTCAGCCGATCTGGAGATAAGTGATTGATGAGTGGTTGATGAGTGAGCAGTGAGAAGTGAGGATGACTGCAAGAAAGCAACCTGGACCGGTCTGGCAATCTAGAGGTCCGGTCGTGAAAGCTCGGAGATGAACCTCACAGTGCCTAAGTAGTATGTTGAAAGTGAAATGATCCAAGCGACATGCAAGGCTACCTCATGTCGATCTCGGTATTCTCCTACCCTAGGTCAAATGCCTTCTCATCCATACTGAGATCTCGGGCTCAAGGAGTCACAACCTCCGTTCCTCAGCCGACTTTTCTCTCGTAGCAAGCGAAGAGGGATCGATCACCGGAGCAAAGCCACCCGTACAATATGTAGTACAGACATGTCCCTGTGAGGTTTCTTCGACGGCGCTCAGTAGGCAGGTGCCGGGGTGTGCCATAGCCTTGAACGGGACTGTGATCGAGGAACAAATCAATGGAACAAGCACGATAGCGCAGCCCGTGTTCGTACGGCAAGGAGCATATTGACGGCGCTTGACAGGTGGGTAGTTCGTAAGTAAGCAAATCAGCCTACGAGCGACTTTTAAATGACTGAACTTGAAAGTCTTGACCAGGTGGCAGCAAATACCAAAGACCAAAGTACAGTTTTCCTGGAAACTCGACCTGGCTAACCCGCCAAATCAAGCTTGACCATCAACGACGCCATGGTTGGTACTCCGTACCTAGAGTATGTCTGATTGATGGCAGATCCCGAACCCGACCATCACGATTCTTGTTCACGACATCTACCGTCCCGTGGAATTGTCGAACACGCTTCGGGATGCCCTGGATTTAGAGGCATGTTTTTGCCCTGCAGCGCGCAGACGGTGATTGAAGTGGATTGACTTCCGGTGTAGGAGAGGTCAGAAATTGCAAAATTCCAGGTAGAGCAATCTTCACTAGCATGGTGAGTCCACCGGGTCAGGCATGTCATCTGTCTCCGGACCAGCCCAGGTCAGAGAAGTGCAAATATGTTTCGGTTGGGAAGTCGGGTTCCCGGTGGCTAGAAAGGTCAAGTGATCGATGTAGTAAGGGGAGGCAGGGAAGGAAGAGGGGAAAGAGAGGACCAAGATGTGTCAACGTCTTTTGGTACATCACGACTTCATATTGTCCATGTGGCGCGATGGTCGAGCACGTCGCTTGGTAAAGGCTTGTATGTGTTGAACAGGTTGAAATAGTGACTAGGGCGTCATTCAGTCTCAATTGGAACGTCAGTGGCTCATGCGGCTCTTCCTGATCATCCAGCTCATCTACGATACGCAGCCCATTGCTGCATTCCCGCGTCGAGTCGTATCTGCTTGATGTGAAGACATGGAGTAGGTGGTGCCAGCTGTATGCCTGAAAGACGCTGGCTGGCCGTACTATTGTGAAAGAGTGAGTGGTGATGACATTATCGCTCTTTAGCGCCTTCTCCAGGCAAATATCTCCCGCTCCCTGTTGATCGGGCGTCTCTGTCCAGATTTCCTGTTCAACCAGATATGGGTTTTGGGTGCAAGATAGGGAGATCCCACGTAGAAGTTTGGTGTGAACATCGATGAGCTGTAAAAGGTTGCTCGCAATATTTCTGGCCAATTGTCCACTGCACCACGTCGGCAAATTAAGGATCGTACCATCGCCGCCAGGTGATATTTCCTTCGAACTGCCTTTCCCTTTCGTCAAAGTCGCGGTTCTGCGGACAATCTCAATGGCCTGGACCAGTTGTGCCCTCGTAATCGCGGAGCTTGTGGGCGACGATCTCTTCCTTTCGGAGGAGGTGATGGAAGGTAGCATATACAGTGAGGCTTTCACTAGCATCTTCCTCGTCCAGTGCCGTAATTTGGCTGTTATGAAAGCATTCGAATACGCCGATGAGGAAATTTGCAACGGCCTTCTTCCGTGCGACGTTGATATAGCCTACCTCGTCTAAATTAGCTTGACTTGCTCACTGGGCGCCTCTGTGGTAGGAGGTTGTGACTTTACCGTAGGCCATGAAATTCGGAACGTGGCACATGCTTGAAGACCGTTGGAGCGGTTCAGGAGTCTGTGCAACTGCGACCTTACTAGACCTCCAGAACAGTTCCTTCATCTTGCAGAGCGCAGCAATGTCCAACAGCTCCTCGAACGTGACTTGATGCTGCTTCAGTGTGTATATGATACTCTTCATTCCTGTTGGATCATTGGACGCATTCTTGATCTCATGAATGACGGGAAAGAGCCTGTCGGCAATAACTGGCTTGAAAACCTCAACACACCAATTGCTGCTGGCGAGCTCGGCAAGTTGTCTCAGGCTCTGTCCTGTTAATTTGCCGACGTTCGCATGCTTGTAGTGGATAATATTGAAGAAGTCCAGATAGACCTCTGGGCTGCCGTTCTCCCCTCTAATAAATCTGTCACCCCCTTCGACAGGTGCCGAGGATAATGGCCCGAAGCTAGGTGCAGCGTGACCGATCAGAGGACCTGCGACCCGGATAGTACGAGCAGCGTCACCCTTGCCAATACTGACCAACACTTTGCCTTCTGGGTCGACGTCGATACATCGAGGTTGTATTGGGGATTCGTCCTCCATCTCACCCGCTTTGCGTTTGAGTCTGTGGCTGCTAGAAGAGGAGGAAGACATCGCAGGCGACTGTACAGGTAGAGAACAGGCGGCGGGGATGGCAGGGGAAAGAAATGTAAGGCTAAGGAAGTAGATGACGGGAAATACATTTGCTGGGGTGATGAGCGCGGAGTCAGCGGAAGTTGAGAACGAGATGGGTGCAAAGTGAATGAAAGGCATTTTCCGAAAAGGAGAAAAGACACCCAACCTGGACTCCACTATTGTCGTCGCGGCCTAACGGTCTTTCGCATTCAACACCAACCCCAGGGCATTCACAGTCGATCCTAATAGCATTCAACCACCACAGATATTGATCCCAGCACATTTCAGCTGCGACGCGGCCGGTCAAGCCTCAAGTCTGGCTCTCTTGTCGCCAGCGTGCTCGTCGACTCCTCCATAACCTGTTCCCTCGTACTCAGTGTCTACCTTGTCGTACCCGCTCTCGAAATTGCGCTCTGTAAGCTTCTGACTGTCGACGTTGAAACTCTCCGACTCTCCCATATCAGCATTGAACATGTCCTCCTTCTCTCCCATAGGCGTCTTTCCCTTCTTGTCAACCCCCTTGCTGACCACACTGTACGCTCTTCTTCTCCTGTACCTCCTCCAGCATAAACAACCACCAGCCAGAAGGACGAGCAGTATGACTGCGCTGACGACAGCAATAACAATAATATACTTCGTGGCAAGACCGTGGCTGCTGGATTCCGTGGTTGAAGCAGTGTTGTCTGAAGCCAGACCAGCGTTTGTCAATTTCTCGATTCCATGTGTGATCTTCTCTGCGTAGACCGTGCTCGTGGTTGTTTGCAGGTTAAGAATTCCACTGGCGGCGTCGTCGGCAACTCCTGCTTGAGCCAACTTGCCTAGGGCATGGGTGATCTTTGCGTTGTTCAGCACCAATGTGGTTGTTGGGGCGCGATGACCCGTTGCGTTGGGCACAACTCTTTTGTTCCCCGCAATGCCTCGAAGCAGGCGATCCGGAATGAAGTCCATCTTCATTACGGCAGCGAGATGAATCGAAAGATGTGTCGGTTCGTACGGATCGACTTCAGAACCAGTCGCCCTGACCAAGCAGAAAATGACCCGAAGAAACTCGTTAACAGGAAACACAAGGTCGCAGCGAAAGTCTGGACCACCAACGCTTCGCGAAGGTAGACCAAGAGATCGACGCGAAAACAGCAGAAGGATCAGTATTTCAGGCCAACGACCCACCGATATGCGGGCGCATGGCTAGCCACATAGAGGGTTAAGGTGAGCATAAGCACTTGTACCAAAGCTTCGCGCGCCACCAACACGATTTCTCGGCCAAACGAGGTATCGTAAGCAGAACATGCTTGATATAGCAGCATACCCAGATTACACAAGGAGAATGCAGCCACAGGATTGGGTGGTTCCTGGATCTCAGCCCCTGGTCAATGTCAGCAAAGCCCTTCAGCTCGAAACGTTGGCCCCTCAGCCCCCTCCTCGTATGGCTAAGCTTTAAACAAGCCTCGCGCTGAGCTTGTCCTTGAGCAGACCATGCCCGATACATTCACCAATGGAAACGTTCCCGAATGGTAAATCATGATAATCCGTGCCGAACACACGATCTCATGTGGAAATGAGGAAGCGCGCTGGTGCTCGCCGAAATTTAAGGTCTAAACTGTAAAAGGTCTAGCCGAGCATGAGTCATTCTCATTTCACGGATGGCCTATCACGTGCCTTATATGACTCATGCAGAAAATTACCTCTACGCAGTCACTTGCAGCCCACAGACTGCACACCAACATTGCATTGAGCGTTGGTTGAGATGGCTCGTGCCGCAGGGAAGCGAGGCACGAAGCCTGCGGCGAGCTCATCCAATGCTCCCAGACCGCTGGCGAGTACTCCTTCCGGACCCCCGTCACCTTTCCAGTATGCTCCGCCGCCGCTACGTCCGTTCCTTTCCACTCTCCCTACCGATCACATCTACCTCGTCCACCTCGACCATACCCCACCGAGCCTGAAGAAGCGCGTGTTCGTTGTACCAGTCCTCCTAAACCTGCTCATCGTCCTTGGACTCTGCGCTCGAGTGTATTATGCTGCGCCAGTATACCTCGAGCAAATCATCACGATCTTTGGATATGACACTGCATATAAAGTCGACACGGCGGCTGCCGGCGTTGGAGAACTCGTGAATGCTGTGACCTCGCGGACAATGCTGTTAATGATCGATTATGCCATATTCGGCTTGATTGGTAGTTGGCCGCGGGAGTTCTTTTTCGGGAGCAAGTTGTCGAGATTCGCGAGTCCATTGCAGTGGAGGAGAAGACTGGGATTCAGAGACACAGAAATTATTGTCCGAAGAGGAAGGAAGTGGGATACGCTCTTGCTCGTTGGGGAGAACCCGGATCAGGTCAAGACGTGGAACGTAGATGAGGAACTCACCATCAAAGTCAAGGTCGATCCAGCCATGCGGCCGGCGTACCTAGCCAAGACAGGATATCTGCTGCTAGACAAAGACTGGGATCTCGATTTCAAGGCGATGCTAGATGCGCACAGATTGGTCGAGAAGGGTACCATTCAGCTCAAGGACCTGGAAAGTCTGGTATTGGTCTATTACCAGAAGCAATGGTTGGTCTGGAAAGTTCATGAGACACCCGATTCCACTGCGCACGATGCACAGGAGGACAGCACTGTAGAGAATTTCCGACGCAACCTTGCCGGCCTTGGCGCTGAAGATGTCTTTTTCCGGTGGATCGAAATTGTTCAATTCGAGACGTCGCAGCCGGGTGGATTCACCGAAGGACGACAGGCCGAAGCGATCAGGGAGTTGAGGAGACGGCTCGAGAAGAAGCGGGTGGATTTTGCCAGGTTCTGGGAAGACATCGGCGGACAGAATGGCCTTCCTGGATTTGATGTACCAAATCGCGATTGACTCATGAGGACCGAGAGCTTTTACAGACAGGGAGCCCCCGAGCCATACGAGGCAGACTCACCCCTCGGAACCCCTGTCGATATTGTGTATATGCTGGGTCGGCTCCCACTCGATGAACTCCTGCCCAGCAGCACAAAGGTTGCAGAATGCCAGAAAAATGGCTGCCAGTGTAGCGCACACGAGCTGAGGAGGAACCTTCGCCATTCCCTCTTTCGGGCATTGAGAATTGACGCTTACTTCGCCTGGCATGATATTCGGGGACTCCTGGCCCTGGCGACCCCGACTGAACCATGCTCCACGCTGTCCAGACGGGATGGCTGTTCCCCAAATTGTCGTGATTCCTTTGCTACAAGACCTACGAAGGGCTCCAGGAGTGTAGCACTTGGTATGGGATGACTCCGAAAGGATTCTGCGAATGGCACGAAGTCGATACAGTCGGAAAGCATGGTGCTGGTTGTGATCACGTAACGGGACAATGCATCCACATACTGACTGGTTGTTCCATGAGCAAGCCGGACGTGAGGCTGCATAGGCATTTGCAAAGCTGTGGGAGCTTGATCGGTGACATGCAGAGCGGTCCAACATCTGGCACACAACGGGCACGTACCGAGTACTGGGTAAGGGGTGCGTACACCGGCGAGTATTGGCCGTACTGCGTAGCACAAATTGCCAGCCAAACACCTTGTACTGTGTACCAGTGATCCAGTACTCCGTATCAAGCACGGACGTGGCAACCGGGCACGAGGTATAGGTCCCTTTTTGGTTAGCGGCTACCACCAATGGTCTGTGCATCAGGGGTTAAAACAAGTGCTTTCACCATGTCCTTACTCCGTCTTTCGTTCTTGGGAGAATCAACCTGACGATTCGAGGCATATGCACCGCTACCGATGCGAATTGTCCCTCCAATGCATAGAGGCGGTGTTCAAGTGACCTGAGTTGCTCTCCTAGCGTCTCCTCCTCAGCGGACAGCTCGTTTCCATGCCTTCTCCGCAAACTTTGGTCACTATTCCCGACGACGGGTCGGGGACTAACAGCATGTCTGGCGGGAACAACAAGAAGCGAAAGGCGGATTGTACGGATGTTGCAGCCAGCGAGGCAAAGCGGGTGCAAAGAAATAGCCAAACCGTCGAGATCATTCCAGAAGCTGACGTGACATTGAGAGTTGGGACAGGGGAAAATGCTTTGGATATCAGAGCCTCTGGTCTCGTGCTGGGCCTGGCATCGAAGCTGTTCAAGGCAATGCTGAATTCAGGGTTCAGCGAAGGCACGACGAAGGTCATCGATCTGGACGACGAGCCGCAAACAGTCTTGGACTTCTGCCATATCATCCACTACAAACACAATTTCATTGAGTCCATGGACGCCAAGCGGTTGCGTAACCTCATCGTCTTCGCAGACATGCGACAGTGCCACGAACCACTGAAACCGTGGCTGGTGTACACCCTGCGCGAGTATGTGGCTTGGTTTGGACGTTTCGCTGCCGATCAGTTCGACGCTCAGGCTTTCCCAGATCGATATCCAGGACTGCAACGGGAGGATTTTATTCCCATCGCCGCCTCATTCGGTCTTTATGACCTATTTTGGCTGGTGACAAAGGCGCACCTTGCGAGGTCTAAGGATTCCATAACGCCATGTGGTGACGGAGGTTTGGCTGGGAGACTGCCGCTTGCGTCAGGTCATGATGGTCTTTCCATATACGGTGCGTACACCCCCTGAAACGTTTCGGCACCGTCATCCGTCAACACTCACTACCAGGCAGAGTTTCTCGACAAAACACGGATCCGTCGCACCCAAGAATTACTCAGGCAGGCTTTTCTGGCAGTCGGGCGGGACTTTGGGACAGATGACAATTGCTGGGCTGCCCGGGAGAAGTTCGGGACTATTCACATCTGGCTCATCCAAGAGGGCATCGAAGTTGGCAGCCTTTGTTGGTACCCGGAGTCCTGGTGGCACGCTTATGTCTCCCTACGAAGAATTTCCACACCCATTCCGGGTAATGTTGATCAAGATGGCGGCCCAGAGAACAACTGCTGGTCTAGGGATTGTGGAGAACCGGACGTATGCCTGTATTGCCAAGAGAAGCACATGCGCTACATCCGAGAAAGTTTGGGCAAGGAGATGCAGTCATTGCCCGGGGTCTGCTTGAAGTGCTTCCTTGAGAAGGGAGAAGATTCTTTGCGCCTTTCCTCGTCCTGCTCAGAGCCAGGCCATTCTGAGCGAAAGTCGGAGGACTAGGACTGGAGCAAGGAAGGCAGGCAGACCGAAAGTTCAGAACAGTTTTCTTGTGTACCCCCGAGTCGAGGTCTTTGGGGATATGTCATGTTCAAGGTAGGATGGCTCAGCGAGCAAAAGCCCGGAGTTCGAGGATATAGATGTGTTGAGGGACCCTCAAAAGCCCTTCTGAGGCAGTCAATTTGCCGACGAGGCTGTGAGGCCGACGAGGCTGCAGCGACCCCGCAGTTTTGTGCATCACCCCGCATTTTCACAATGGTGATCAGAATTTCTCAATCGGGGGATTTCTCTGAAAGCTCTCCGTCCAGACCATTCAGCAACACATTTCCCTGCGCAAACACCTGCACGACTGCTACATCGTGATGTCTTCCTCGAAACTGTACCTGGCCGTCATCGGCGTCGGTGGTGTGGGCACCTGTTTCCTCTCCCAACTTTCCTCCCTGCCAGCTCGCCTGCGGCCCAACGTGATCTTCGTCTCCCGCTCGTCAAAACAACTGTACAATTCATCCTACACCCCTGTCAACGCCTCCGACCTCCAGTCCTCGTCCTCGAAACTCCTCTCCATCCCTGACGAACTGATCCGATACCTCTCCTCCGCGCCGGGCAAAGTCATCCTCGTCGACAACACCTCCAGCCAAGATGTCGCAAACGCGTACCCGTCGTTCCTGCGCAAGGGCATCAGCGTGGTAACGCCCAACAAAAAGGCCTTCTCAGGCTCGCTACAACTGTGGAACGACATCTTCTCCGCGGTCGACTCGTCACAGGGCAACGCACTGGTCTACCATGAATCAAGCGTGGGCGCGGGCCTGCCCGTCATCTCCACGCTCAAGGATCTAGTCGCGACGGGCGACCAGGTCACGCGCATCGAGGGCGTCTTCTCCGGAACCATGTCCTTCCTGTTCAACTCCTTCGCCCCGGCGGACGGGACCGGCAAGGACAAGTGGTCGGAGATCGTCAAGCAGGCCAAAGAGGCCGGCTACACGGAGCCCGACCCGCGAGATGACCTCAACGGGATGGACGTCGCGAGGAAGCTCACGATCCTTGCGCGGCTGGCCGGCCTGAAGGTCCAAGGGCCGGACTCGTTCCCCGTGCAAAGCCTGATACCTAAGGAGTTGGAAAGCGCAAAGTCCAGCGACGAGTTCATGACGCGGCTGCCGGAGTTTGACTCGGAGATGGAATCGTACAAGGATAATGCGGCGAGGCAGGGCAGAGTCGTGCGTTATGTAGGATCTGTGGACGTCGGCGCTGGCAAGGTCAAGGTCGGGTTGGAGATGGTGGAGAAGGGCACGCCCATCGCGAGCCTGCGAGGGAGTGATAATCTGATTTGCTTCTATACGAAGCGGTATGGGTCGAATCCGTTAGTGATTCAGGGGGCCGGCGCCGGTGGAGAGGTCACGGCCATGGGCGTCACGGGGGATCTTATCAAGGTGGTGGAGAGGTTGTCGTAGTCGAGGGTAGACATAGATGCGGGCAATGAGCCTGGATACCAAAAAGCATAGCGAGGAATTAAAAAAGGCATGACGCTACGGTACCGTTCTTACGCCTGCTCTTGAAGTTGCCTTAGGTTTGCGAACAGGCAGGCCAGGGGGTGTCGAAAATCCATCGTCATGCATGAATCTGCCAAATATCCACACGAATACTATAGCGGAACATCAAATCGTCTTCCTCATCCTGTACGAGTACCAAATCCTTGTGGCGGACTGCATCGCTGAGCCGGTTAGCTCCTCAGATACCTCTTCACAGCCTCACCCCACACAGCTCCTCTCTTGTAGAAGTGCATTTGAGGGGTGCTGCCCTCCTTCAGCCCATCAATCGCCTCGGCCACTTCCTCTCCCCTGCCCTCGTCCTTGAGATCCTTGATCGGATACATATACGTCTTGAACGCGAATACCAGTGCCTTTGTCTTTGGCAGCCGGTGCAATGTCTGCCTCTCACATCTCAGGAAGGTATTCTCGGTATCTACCTCCTCCAGCTCCGTCACGGCATCACCTTCGTGGGCGTGGTTCGTGCCCTTGCCCGCCGAGAAGAGATTGCCGTTTGTGGTGATCGCCCAGTTCACCCGGCGGACGTACTTTCCTACCTCGAGGCGGGCGAAGAAACGGTCCATACTGGCTTCGAGTTTGGCGGGATAGCCCGGCACGGGCTCGTGGATGCTTGCGAGTCTTTTGCCGAGTTTCTCACGCGGGTCGAAGCCTGAGGGGCAGCAACACACGTACGCTTCGAGAATATATTTCGCACCTGGCACGTCGTCCTTGTCTTTGTTATCCGGGGATGGATCTTCGTCTTCCTCAGGCTGGAGGAACAGGAAGTCTTCGTCGACTGTGCGGCCGAGGGTCTCTAGCAGCATGGCGGTCGGGATTGTCGGCGAGGCTTTCGCCGGGAACAACGCCTTGGTGACGAGGTTTTCAAGCATGAAGGTCTGGCCTGCCTCATAGTACGCCTCGTGGAGTTTGAACATGCTGGGGAAGCGGAGAGGGAGATACGTCCCCATAAGGTATTGATAGAGCTCGACCACGGCGGGCCGCACGCGGTAGTCGTCGTGGACGGCGACGACGTGCTCGCCCTCTTCGGACATGATTTTGCGGCGGTAGGCGACGCGATCGGCGTAGTTCTTGTCCATGAGCAGGAGTTCCGAGGGCGGCAGATTCTCGAGTGCTGAGACGTCAGATTCGGCTCGTGTAGAGTCAGTCCCTTCTTATCGGTGGACAAGCGGAGAAGAGTATAACTTACCCATCGTCAGGTGGTACTTGGGCTTGAAGGGCCGCAATTGGAGTGGTTCCGTAGTTTTCCAGTCAAAGTCCGGTTGCTCCTCGACCTCAGGGAACTCAGGCGCCTTGAGGTATCTTTTCTCGTAGCCGGCCTTCTTGGCCTCATTCTGCTTCCGCCGGATCTGGTTGAATGCCAGGAGCAGGAAGACAATCAGCAGTATGACGTTCGAGTAATTGCCGAGTGTGAACCATGATGTCCTCTTGAAATCATCCAGTGATCTCCAGTGCCACGTGAAAGACGGCTTTTCCAGGCTATCGAAGCGGCTCATGATTGCGGGTATGTGTATTTTCGGGAATACTGTCACGGAGGACTGCCCGTCGTCGGCGAGAGGGTGAAAATGCTGGACTTCAGATGACCCTCGCTGTCTTGTGACTTGGACTCGAAACCTGTGATTCCCTTTGCTCACTCACGCACTTATCACCTTGGAATACACACGCTCATGAAAGGTCCCGTCAGTTTCATCCGCCCTTTGACAGCCCAAACCGGTGCAGAAGTGCCAGCCAATACCTTGAATCGCTATCTACTCCACATCTCACGAATTATATACAGAGTACTAGAAGGAGAAATTCGCAGTATTGGACCGCATCGGGCGAAGAAACCCAAAAGCCGACGGCGCCTTACTCCGCTTGGGCGTCATTGTCCGTCCCCACAGGCATGTGATTTGTGGATTCGCTGACTAAGGCATTTCAACCACTCACACGACACCGTTCTGGGCGCAGACGCGGTATGGATGATGAGTCCGCCTAGTTGTGTCTCCCGTTCTATCAGTTCCCACGACTGGGCAGCACAAACTCCGAGCCGACGCAGAGGTGGTGGTGAAGGGGAGGTCATGGCCTTGCAAGTGTATATCTCGCACAGCGGCAATGTCCTCACCTACAACGACCCAAATGCTCGTGTCGACATCTTACGGTCATGGATCGAAGCCAACGCTGCGATTCCGGCCTCTCGCCAGATCCTGATGACAGGCCGGGGCAAGATTGTCAAGAATCTGAGCAATGAGCAAGAAGTCTTTGTCTATGACAAGCAATTCTTGTCGTCCGACTCGAAACCTCCCTCGAGAAACAACGTCGAATTGCAACCCCTGTCCGACTATCCCCTTTCCCTCGCCGATGAGACCAGCCTGACAGCATGGCAAGACCTGTTCATGCAGAGACGGGCCTGGGCCTTGGAAGCCCTCGAGGTTGCTAAAGCGGGCGTGGAGAACATTGAAATATGTGCGGATGAGGCTTCGGTCATTGCCCGGTCTATGAAGGTTGCTTTGGAAAACCTGCGGAACCATGTCACGACCCTCCAGCAGAGGTTCGAGGAGACAAACCAGTGGGCGCAGGGCTATATACAAGAGCATAGAGATGTGCTTAAGGACTGGCAAACGAGCGCAGACACGCTTGCAGAGCTGCCTGTTCGTGAAGACGTGGCCAAAGTACTGCGGAGGCCGACCGAGCAGGACCACGGTGGTGCCTCCTCGCCCGTCGGCACATTGTCCGACCTGATCGATCGAAAAGCTCTACAGGCCGCGGCGGACAGCGTTGAGCGAAGTTCGGCGGATTTCGAGAAGAGGCTGCATGAACTGCTGGCAGGCATGGAAAAACTCAAGCACGATACGGACGCAGCCCAGGGTCGGTCAACGCAAGTTCCCGACTACGACACGAATGCATTGCTCGAAGAGACAGAGACACTGGCTAAGCGTATAACATCAGACTACGAAGACGTGTCGCAGATGCAAGACAATCAAAAGTCGGTGGTGGCGGCTTCGAGGAAGGCTGCCACCCATACCCGCGAGCTGTTGCCCGCGCTGCAAGGCGTGGTGGGAGAGACTATACAGACTTCTTTGAGTGCTTCAGATGCGAGAAATGCTGCTTCGCTCGACTGGTACTCGACATTGCAGACGATCTCGAGTATACAGTCCCGCCTTGCTGAATTACAGTCGGCTATCACGAACTTGGACTTTCAGGACAATGACAACTTTGCCGCCCTGGGTCGTGTCTTTCAACTACCTCTTGTATATGGTGCTACACTTGTGGAAGCCACCCGAAGGTCAGAATGGACCGAGAAGATGCGCACAGAAGTTGACGCCCTCCACGAAGACTTGTCGCAGCAGACCGAAGAGGAGCAACGGCGACGGAAGAAATGGACTGCTTCCCATAGCGATTTCTTGAGCGAAGATATGAACGCCAAAGATGCACTGATCGACTTGAAGGCCACGGCTCCACGAAATTCTTGGCCGTTCGTGAGCAGGGATGAGATTTTCGCTTGGGTTGACGACCTGCGTGCGTTGGGTATTGATGATGCCGTACAATCCATCATGCAGCGGATGAAAGATCTTGATGCTCCCGTCCGGAAGCAGAAACTCAATCCCTTCAAGAATGGAAGCATTCAAGACCTAAGCCAGAGTGCCGCTTTCCGCAACGGGGATGAAGTCCGGAGCTTACAAGACGAGAAGACTCGACTCGAGGAGAAGCTGCGAGCTTCAGACAGTCGCGTCAGGAAACTTGAAGACCTTCTGCACCGTCAAAGTCAGCTCAGCCGGCCTGCTAGTGGGGTCTTTCACCCGGGCAGTGCTGCAGATTTTGAGCGGCAACAGGCCCCTTCACCAAACACTATGCAAAGGCAGAGTGATCTGTCACGCAGGTCATCGGTATCTCTTCGACGGCTATCGAACAATCAGGATGAGCGGTCTCTAGTGCAGAAGATTGTTGCGCTAGAAGCACAAGTCCAAAAATTGCAGGACGAAGCACATGCTGAGCGACGGTTAAGCACAGAAAGCCGGGACAAAATGCAGGAAGCAGAACTAGTCAAGCGCGACTTGATGGCTAACTTCGAAGCTCAAAAGCAAGAGTTTGAAGAAGAACGCCAACTGCTGGACGATGAAGTACATCGGCTGAAAGTCAAACTCGAAGAAGCCGAAGAAGAGCTCGACCGACTCAATGACTCACGAGACCACTTCCACAAGGAGCAAGATCAAGCCCTGATCAACTTACGCAACGAACTCGAGCAGGCCAAGAGAACCGCCGCGGACGACCTGGCACAGTCAGAACGCAAGCTCGCAACGGCACAAAAGGAAGCGGCTACCCAGCGAGAAAGAGCGGCTAGTCTGGATCGCCAACTCCATCAGGTCAAGGAAGAGCGCGCGTCGGCGCAGTCGCAAAATGTGGCATTGGCAAGCCAGCTACGGCAAATGGAAGATCAACAGCAAGAATACCTTGCCATCTTGCAGGGCGCACATATGAACCTTTCTCCCGCGGGATCACCGCCAGATGATCTGAGGAGGCTTGTCAATGCACTTGAGATTCTGTCCGAAGGAGCCGCGATTCATGCGCGCGGGCTAGACGATTCGCTGCAGCTTGCCACGGCGGAAAATAAGTCCCTCGAGGAAAAGCTGGCAAACGTGGAAGGCCAAATAAAGAACTTGACCGAAAAGCTCTCCAGTGCAGAAGCCCGCGCTACGCAATTCAGAGAAACCCTCGAACAGGAGCGAAGACAAATCTCCGCCTTGCGCTCAGAGCTCGCTAGCGAACGTACGGAGATGCACTCTCTGCGAGAGAAATTCGCCGCTGGCGAGACCGGATCTGACGCCTTGCGCCAACAGCTGAAATCGGAAGAACTGAAAGTCGCCGAGTTGGTGGACCGCAAGGCTGAAGATGAAGGCGTTATCCAGCGTCTCAAGCATGAAATCGAAGAC